AAAGAGTACTGATAGAAGAGTTGCAAGTTTGTTCGAAGCAAGGTTCTGAATCCTCCACTAAAAGTGAAAAGAGTACTGATAGGAGAGTTTAAAGTTTGCTCAAAGCAAGGTCCCTAGCCCTCGACTAAAAGTGGAAAGAGTACTGATAGAAGAGTTTCAAGTTTGCTCAAAGCAAGGTCCCTAGCCCTCAACTAAAAGTGAAAAGAGTACTGATAGGAGAGTTTAAAGTTTGCTCAAAGCAAGGTCCCTAGCCCTCAACTAAAAGTGGAAAGAGTACTGATAGAAGAGTTTCAAGTTTGCTCAAAGCAAGGTCCCTAGCCCTCAACTAAAAGTGAAAAGAGTACTGATAGGAGAGTTTAAAGTTTGCTCAAAGCAAGGTCCCTAGCCCTCAACTAAAAGTGGAAAGAGTACTGATAGAAGAGTTTCAAGTTTGCTCAAAGCAAGGTCCCTAGCCCTCAACTAAAAGTGGAAAGAGTACTGATAGAAGAGTTGTAAGTTTGTTCGAAGCAAGGTTCTGAATCCTCCACTAAAAGTGAAAAATGAAGAGTTGCAAGTTTGCTCAAAGCAATGTCCCAGGCCCTCAACTAAATATGGCAAGAGTACTGTACTGATAGAAGAGTTGTAAGTTTGCTCAAAAAAATTACACATTTTGGTTCAATCCCATGTCCACCACCTCAACCGGGGTGAAATAAATTAGGGAGGCCGAGCCAAACGGAAAGATTTTGGTTCATCAATAATAGTATCATTACATGTCAATTGCTGCTTGTCAGAGCCTTGTTCAGAGTGAAAAGGAATAAGCTCTTTTTAAAAAAAAAGATATCGCTTCCTCGACAAATAAATTATTGATCTGAGAGAGAAATCATTGACAGTAAAATAACAGACGATACTTATTTTTCCATCATACTTGAAATCTAATTTAAATTTGTTTAATCCTTTAGTCTCATCACTGATCAATAGTGTAATTACAAGCTGAAATAGAGGAGTGAGTTATTTTTTTCTGCAGTGTTGGAAAGTTGGGTGCTCCCATAGTGTGTGTACCAGGTTAGGGTTAGGCCCTAATTTTATTCCGATTTTCCCTATTTTAGTTCTATTACGTGTTCATGGACTGTCTGTGTTATCCAAGTGAAAATATATCTTGCCCATAGGTTTCAGTCCCTTTAGGCGAACAAAATTAGTTACCTCCATATTGGTACACATACTTCTGGAGTGCCTTTGAAAATTGTTGATTACTTTTTACAGAAATCTTAGCTTGGAGAGTATATTTGCAGTAATTTTGTTTTTCGAAGTGGGTGGGAGATTGTAAACGACTTCTTTTGAGCCTTAGCTTGGAGATGTCGGTAGATTTGCCGCTGTGTAGTTTTTTTTTTTTTTTAAATAGGGGAGGAATGGGGAGAAAATTTTGGAATTTGTATACGACTTATTTTGAACCTTAGCTCACAGGTGTCAGTAGATTTTCGGCAGTTTATTTCTTATTGTAGTCTGGGAAGTGCAAGGAAAAAAGTTATAGACAATGTCTTTTGAAGCCTTAGCTTGTCAGTAGATGGCAACGGTTCAGAATTTTGTTTGTAATGGGGAAAAAGGGATAACTTTTGGAAGTTGTTTATTTTATTTTTTAAAAGGGTGACAACTTGGAAAGTTGTAATGTTGAAATCTAAGTTTTTTGGAAGTGGGTGAGAGTGGAAAAATTATAATAAAATTTTACGAATCCTATACTTAGAGATGCTATGCGTAGATTCAGTTGTTTTTTTAGTGGGGAAAAGGGCAAATTATGAAAAGATGTTTTTTTTTAAACCTTTTCTACAAGTTACCGTATATCAAAAAGCTAGAAAGTAGTCCCAACTTATCCGATCCAGATATGTCTGCTCTATCTGTCAACTTTTCCATCAGGATTGGAATCCGCCTCTACTTAATTCTAATTAATAATGACTTTCTGGACTACTGGATTTCTGCCAGTACGGTTTTAGGCAAATTAGGTAACTCTAATAGAAGCAGTGCTCAGTGTATACGACTTCTTTAGTTTGCAATTTTTTTTTTGGGAGGTGCTCTTGTAGTATGTGTACCAGGCTAGGGTTAGGCCATAGTTTTATTCCAATTTTCCTTATTTTAGTTTTAATATGAGTTCCGGGACTGTCTGTGTTAGCCAAGTGTGAATATACACCCTGCCCATAGGTTTCAGACCCTTTACACAACTTGATCTGAGGTAGGCGAACAAATATAGTCACCGTACCTTCATATTGGTATATACACTTCTGGAGCGCCGAAAACACTCTATAACAAAAAAAAAATTATTTGAATGTGATTAATTTTGGACATACTTGCTTCGAGAAAGATTTTTACCTTGGGAGAGGTGGTGGCAGTGGTGTGTCTAGAGAGGGGGAGAGGGGAAAAGGGGTAGCCGCCCCGGACAGCACATTATAGGGGTGAGTTTATTGCTTAGTTTGAAGATTTAAATAACAAGAGAGCTATGCTCAAATATATGGACACGTAACGCCACCCAATGGCAATAATTTTGATGACGTCATAGCGAAAAAAAAAGTAATAGCCTTCTGGAGAAAAATTTTATCTTTAACCACTGAAAATTTCAAAGCAATTGGTCCAGTATTCGAAGAGAAAAGCGATTTTTTAAAAATGGAGACGGAGACAAATAACAATAACAACAAAATTTTGAAACGATCGTTATGTCCACTTCGTGTCCAAAAATAAAACATAACCTTTAATTTATTTATTCTCATGTATAACACCTATAGCACACCTATACTTAATCTAACACTTATAATTTGTTTATTCCCAAAAATATTTTTGAAGTTAGGTATAAGGGGCAGCATTATCAGAAACTCACTCCGGGCGGTAAAAAAATTTGACATGTGGTGGCCACCGGATTTGAACTCAAGTTGTATAACACACCAATGTAGTTTAGTCTAATGATTTTACCACTAGCCCACAAAGCAAGTTAGATTCACAAATCAGATCAATGCAGGAATTATTCGAACATCGGGTGTAAAGTGTCATCCAGTAATGCTATTCTATTATTCATGACTTGCGAGTGAGAGCTGCAGAGATATCAGGGTTTGGTTCACAGTATGTTGCTGATGTGTGTCCAGTGATTGGAATTTGGATGGTTATTTTTTATGAGGATGTTTGCCCAGTGCATTCACTCAGAAATAAGGAAATTAATCCCTTATTAAAGTTATTTGTGACTACTGGCGTGCCGAGAGGTTGATGCACACACACTCACAGAAGCAAAATTACTGACTAATTTAGAAGGTCTTCTTTTTAAAATGTGTAGTTATAAGGATTTGACACTTTATGGCATACAAAAAATAAAATGAGTTATAACTTTTGACACTAATAAGGGGGGTTATCACTGAATAAGAGATCCCGAACTCGTAATAAAACTAAAATAAAGAAAATTGGAATAAAATTATGGCCTAACCCTAACCTAGTACAGATACTAGGTACAGGTACTAGTAATAAAACTAAAATAAAGAAAATTGGAATAAAATTATGGCCTAACCCTAACCTACTACAGATACTGTGTTCCGGTGTTCGCCATCTTGGTTCACATACTTCGTGAGTACCGATTTTTTAGTGCTAGTAAAGCGGTTAGATCTGCTGCCCTATGTCCGCTAAATGCAGAGTTTAATCTGTGAGGACAATATGACACTCCTGAAAATTAGGCTAAAGTTTTATATTTTCTCGAAATAAAGAAAATTTTGTCTCTTTGGCAACACTACTAAGTGCACCCAAAATGGCTCGAAATTGACCTTATACATTATTCCCTTGGTGATAAAGTATAAAATTGGAATGGCATTTCTGTGGCCTCCATGCCGCTCTCTTTTATAGGGTTTGTTGTCAAAATATGACATCTTTGAAAGCCTTTTCTATCCCATGGGGTTAAGGTGTAGGATTATATTGCACACTCTAGCCATCATTAGGTTTGTGCAAGAAATTTGATTATAATAAAATATGTGTTGCTTCTAAGATATTCTATGCGTGATGATTTAGTGCAGAGGTTCTCAATTTTTCAGGCTTTTAAGAAAAAATAACGTCCAAAACTGCCAAAAAAAAAATTCTAAAAAACTTGAAAAGCTGTCAAAACCACCAAAAACGTGTGGAAACAGTCTAAAACCACAAAAAAACCTTGCAAACGCTGTGAAAAACCGTAGTCAGTTTGGAGCTTTTGGTTATGTGAAAAAGTTGCGATGCCCTGCTTTGATTAACTGACCATAGTGTTGCGTCTCAAAATTTATATGCCACTATACAACAACACGTTTATAAGAAGTTCCTTTAAAATCCTGTGTACTTGTGAGCACTAGGGCTTGGCATTTCGAATCGAATAGTAAATTATTCGAATCGGTTAAGAGCAAATTTTCGAATCGCCGCCTTCTTGTGTTACTCTTTCCGCCAATGGCCGAGGTAAATTTCTCAAATTTTTTTTCATTGAAGCCATATGTTTTTTTAACACAATTCTGACATATGACTCTTTTCTGTTTTGATGATTGATGAAAACGTGTTTTTTTTTATTGTCAGTGATGTATTCTATGTTTTCAGTAGTTTATGTGTCTGGAGGACCTAAAATAAAAAGAAAGTTACATACAATTTCATACCTTCCAAGTATTCGAGATTCGATTCGAAAAAATTATTTGATTCGATTCTGAAATCATCAGGTATTCGAAAATGCCCAGCACTAGTGAGCACTGTGGACATCTTTCATTTATTCAGTTCATTTATTCCCCACTGACAAACTCCCACTGGTTGCGGAATTCTCGTCCAGTAAGTAGACTGGGATGGGTGGGTCATAAGTATGGCAGCATTGCAACTTGCATACCGGTAGATATAGTCAAGAAATCTCACACAAAATTTAGAGAGAAAAAAAATTGAGAAAGAAAATAGTTTTACTGGAAATAGGAAGCTGTGGTGATATAACATATTAAAACTGCTACTATAGTTGAGATATCTCAATTGTAATATTTCTATTTTCACAGAGAGATAAAAGTCTAATGTAATTAGTTTATTTAATAAGTTAAATAAATAATGAAAGCCATTTCATGAATGTCAAACATATTTGGATTCATCTTCAACCTTCAACCTCAGGAAACAGGAAATAAATGGACTTATTAATGAAATTTAAATCCCAAAATACAAATGAAAAGAGGAAATCTGAAACAAAGAGTGCTGGATGCACTCTACAACACGCCAGCATCAAGTAAAAGTGGGAATTCCCCCTCAGCAGGAAGTTCGAATGCGACAAACAGCAAAAGTGAAACGGACATAGCGGAGAATTTGACATCCGAATGTTTCCAGTTGTGTAAAATTGTTCGACATGGATTTCCACATCGTCCTACAGCGCTTGCTTACGACCCCATGCAGAGACTCATTGCCGTCGGTAACAGAACAGGGTCCATCAGGTTGCTAGGACAACCTGGGGTTGATGTACATGTCACCCATGATGTCGAAACAGCTGTCGTGCAGCTATTATTTTTAATTAACGAGGGGGGGCTAATTTCAGTGTGCGCTGACAATTCATTGAACATGTGGAATTTGAGACAGAAAAAACCTGGAATTCTTCACACTCTGAAATTTAATAGAGAAAGGATAACACATTGCCATTTACCATACCAAAGTAAATGGCTGTACATAGGCACAGATCGTGGGAACGTACATTTATGTTGCGTCGAGACTTTCATGCTATCCGGGTACGTCATAAACTGGAACAAGGCGATTGAATTGTCACAGAAAACTCATCCAGGGCATATCGTTGGCATAAGTGAAAATCCTTGTGACGAAAACAGACTTTTAATCGCGTTTGAGACTGGTCTAATTGTGTTGTGGGACTTGAAAATGAAACTGATTGAATACCGTTACTATTCTGATAGTCCAGTTCAAAGCATTACTTGGCATCATGAAGGAAAACAATTCATGTGTTGCCATGCCAACGGAAGCTTGTCGCTATGGAATTACAGAAACGTGAAGCCGCAGCAGGTTCAATATCCTCATGCGAAGAGCAGCGATAGTTCGAAATTTGATAATTATTGGCCGATTGAAAAGTTAGAATGGAAATCATGTCGAAGCAGCGACCCTTTTGTTATTTTCACAGGCGGGCTGCCGCAAGATATGGATAATGTGCGACCAAGTGTGACCGTCATGCGTGGGAAGTCAATGACAGTGCTTGAAATGGACTATAATGTTGTTGATTTTATTGTTATATCGAAAACGCCTTGGAGATGTGATTTCCAGGACCCAGTAGCTCTCGCTGTTTTATTAGACAAAGAATTGGTCGTTGTAGATTTAGTATCCCCTGGTTACCCTTCAATAGAATTCCCACATCCTGTGGACATCCATGATTCACCTGTAACATGTTTACATTATGTCCTTGACAAAAGTTCTGATCTTACGCCGGGACTGTATCAAGTCGCAGCTTCAAAACCAAAACGATCTTCAACATCTAAAATGGAGTGGCCAATGGACGGTGGAGAATGGAGCGTCGATAGCTGTACCGGTTCGCCTGAAATTATGGTTACTGGACATGCAGATGGTTCGGTGCGATTCTGGGACGCCTCCGCTGCCTCTTTACGAGAGTTATATAAGTTGCGAACGTACAAGTATTTCAAACGTTCAAGCAAACGGAATCATGAAGTTACAGGGACGTCCGTTTCTGAGCCGCCAGATCCGCATGATAGTGATAATTTTGCAATATCACACATCCAAGTTTGCCCAGAAAGTCGATGTTTACTGATTTCAAATGTGGGCGGAGCTGTTCTTTTCTGTGAATTGAACCGTAACGAAATTACGAAAGAAATAACTTCACTGGAATTGCAGCCAGTTTGTGAATCTTACCAATTTGACGATTCCCCGATGGCGGATACTTTACAATCTCCGGGAATTAACGATTCAAAGCCATTATTACGACAAGGTTCAGAGTCTTTGTTTCCGCAAACGACTGCTGAACATCGATTACTAAGTAAAAGTCTTTCTGACGACGTGCGCGTGAGCGCGATACAACATCAGATGTCAACGTACGCACCAATTTTAAAACTGCGTTCTGGAAATATTAAGCAGAGTCCAGGGTTCCAAGCAGAACTGATATGTCAAATAACAGGTGCAGATATTGAGCCGCATTCACCGATTACGGAATTATCCTTTAGTTCTGCTTATGGAGTTTTTGCTGTCGGGACAATGAACGGATTATATTTAGTCGACACTGTACAAAAGAAAGTTTTATTAACCATGGCAAGCTGTGATCTGTCTTCGGATAGGAAAAGACAACCGAAAAGCCCGAATCGTATAAAGCCACCGACATCTCTCGGCGACATCGTCCAAATGTGCGTTTCCGAGGCTCCGTTAAAATCACCATCAGTGGATGTAACCGACGGAAACGCATTATCTGGAAATCGAACCCCCCACAAGGAATCGACTTCAAGTATGACCAGTAGTGGTAGCGGCCCTCCCCCCCGGCCCAAAAAACCACCCAGTCGCTTTACCAATAAAAAAAGTTCTTTTAGCTTTGAGAAAAGTCTTGATAGTCAAACAAGTATGGCCACGGATGACAGCCCTTTCAGTCGCACATCAAGTATAAACGAGCTAGATCGACCAGAATCGAGGGATATGGTGACTTCCTTAATTTTTGTCGATTCATACCCAAGAAAAGATGACTCAACAGTTTTTCCTTCATTATGGGTCGGAACGGCAGGAGGCTGTGTTTGTGCGATGGAGTTGAACCAGCCAGAACATAGAATTGATGTTCCACTGATGGCACTTCCGACTGGAACGATTATACAAATGAAAGGATCTGTAGTGAATTGTTCGTTTTTGAATTCGATGGGGGTGGTTATTCCCTCGGCATCTAAAAATTGGAAAGATATTAAAAAATTAGAAAAGCAAAACTCAACAGAGGGCACAAGCAACTCCAAACGGTCACCGGATGTCAGCAGACGCCCTCATCACCACCAAAGTCAAAGCTCGTTAAACGGCGACAAGCATTTTATGATTGTGACATCAGAAAAGCAAGTCAAAGTCATCGCGTTGCCGGCACAATCATTGCTGCATGTGTACAACGTTCCGAACGAAGCTGGATGTATTCTAAGCTCGGAAGTCGCAGTCGTACAAGCAGGCACTTGTCTTCTATGTCATACTTCGATGGGGTATATATTAGTTCTCAGTTTGCCGAGTTTATCGGTTTTATTGAGTATAGATTACCTGAACCCAAATGATGTTCGAATCTCGCAAACATTGTGTTTCACGCCCGACGCTCAAGCAATTTACATGCCGACGCCGTCCGAAGTGCAAAGACTAACGTGCTCTGTGGAATTATATGAAAGCATGCAAGAGATAGTTGGTTACTTGTTTATTCCGTGTGACGCGCCTGAGCGACCAAATCCAGGATTTTTTAAAAGTTTATTCGGGGGTGGCGTGTCGGAATTGGATAGAGAGGAATTATTCGGAGAAGCAAAAAGTGGGAAAGCTTCTCGCGGAGTCGCGAAACACATTCCTGGTTCCGGTTCGATGAGTTTGGAGGGGTTAAGAGGTCAAGCACAACACGGATTAACTGAAATGCAAAAATTGAGGTTGGCGGCGCTAGAGAGAGGTGAAAAACTTGGTGAATTAGATGAAAAAACGCAACGGATGCAAGAAAGCGCGCAAAAATTTTCAGACAATGCACATTCTCTTATGATGAAATATAAAAACAAAAAATGGTATCAATTATGAGAAATTAATCACTCTTAATTTTTATCAAAATGGTCAGGTTTCTGCTGTTGTTAGCCGGAGAAGTATAATATTGTTGGTCTAAATTTTTATACGATTTTAAGTCCAGCATTTTGACCACCAAGCCATCGCACCTGTGAATTGTTCACTTGTACTTGCTACCAACCCAGCCAGGTATTCCATTACTAAACAATGTTGTGAAAATTAATACAAATCCTATTTTGTATACTCGGTGTGGAATCCGGAATCTTTCTGTTCCTGTATTTTTTACCTATAATTATTGGACACATTGGGTAAGGTGTGGGCATCAGGTCTAGAAATAGGATCAATCCAGTCGGCCGTCACACCAACAAATTCTGCTAGTCTAGTGGTTCTCAACCTCGTTTCTTCCGTGGCCCATATTCGTTGCATTCGAAATTATCGTGGCCTATTAGCTTTTCATTGCAAGGAAAACTACAAGAAATATTAAAATGTTTCTGCGAAAATGAACACTTTTCCTTTAATAACTAGAATGAAAATTACCATTCAGTATAGCGGAAAACAGCATCATCAATCATTGGTACTACAATCAAAATTTTGGATAGTGATACAAATAAAACTAGCAATTGTTTTGTTGCCCACCTTAAAATCTTTCCGTGGCCCAGCACTGGGCCATCCATGGCCCACTGGTTGAGAACCAGTGCTAGTCACAACTTTGACAAGAGTGGCGAAGAGATACCCATTTTGCACTATATTTTTTTTCTTGTTGTTTTTTAATTATTCTGGACCAATGAAATGTGTAACAGTGAATAGTAGAATTTATTCTGAACATGGCTTTATCCAAGCACCCCTGCAGTATGTACTCGTACACTTTCACGCCAAATGTGTGTGTATATAGGCAAGGGTGAACTCGACTTATTTTGCTTGGTATTCCTACACCTAGTTTTGTTTTGCCACCCAGCATAATAATTTTTGGCGCAAGTGGGATCAGTCTATACCCCCTTGAGGGTAATAATTAACCCCCTACACCGAGGAATTTTTGGGGCAAATGGTCAAGTAGGTAGGATCGGTTTATGATCTAAAATTGGTGTTAATCAATTCCCTTAACCAAACTTTTCCAGGACAGTATTAAATAGAAGTGCTTCAGTCCCTAGTTAACTGGTACCAAAATCCATTTAACGTTAAATCTAAATTTGGTGTAATCATTTCTAAAATCAAGGATTCCAACTGAAAAGCAATTCTGAATGTGTTTAAATATTTTTTAGACATCCCTTCAGAAATTTTTTTTTCCAAATAAGACATTATTTTATTATGTTAGTTATGGACTTTCAGTGTTATGTCTATATTAATAATAGTACATCTGATAAAATATCAAAAAAGTGGGAAACTATATTTTTTGTAATATTTCATTTCAAATCATGAGCTGTCGCTGACAAGTAGCAATATGCTGATTATATTGAATATATTTTTCTTATCATTGGAAAGTGGACCTATATGTTGTTTTGCAAAATCCCCCTCAAGGTATATGCCATCGTTTTTGACCCTTCGGGGGGGGGGGGGGGGGGGGATGCCCCCCCGTTGGATATATTAGTGCTATAATTTTGGTGAGGAGGATGCCCACTCAGATTTATATTATTATATATACTAGCATCTGATATCATTTCAAGGCCCTCTTTAATATGTAAAAATGTATGCTTTAGTTTTAATTACTGAGGAGGGGACTTCCCCAATGGCCCTTCTTAGATGTATCAGTATATGCTGCTATTTGAAATAAAATTTATCGTTCCATTTTTCGCTAAACTTTTTTTTTCTCTTCTACTATATTGGTATTGCTAGCGATTTATAGATTCTAACTTCGTTATGTCTTGTGTATCGTGTGTAACTCATTGTGATTTCCAGTGGCTGGGGGGAACAGCCAGAGGCCAGTTAATTTTGTTTTAATGAATTGAGAATTCAAATAGGTACTTCAGTTCAAGAAATAAAATTAATTACCCCGGGACCCCTGGTTTGAAGTGCCCTGCATGCAAAAAGGCATCTTTTCATAACAGGACGACAATAAAATTATATTCTCCTGATTCGACAATTCATGTTTGAATAGGCGCTCCATGGATAAAATAAAAATACCATATATGCTCGTTTTATCGCCCGATCTTGATTAAGGGCCTGTTTGAATAGCCGCCCATGTGAACAGAACATAAAAATAAATAAGGGCCGGTGCTTGAATACCCGCCACATGTAAAAGCTGATTTTTCACTGGTAGAGAACAATAGGAAATAAGAAGCGCTTTTGTCACAACGCTGTTGAACTTCAAGTGCCGGTAGATAGCACTCATGCCTTAGGCGTCCAAGTACAAAACAGATACGGTAGCATTGATTACGTAACACCATGGTTCTCAAACTGGGCGTCGCGAGCCCAAGTGCGTTGTTTCAATATTGATAGGGCGTCGCAAAACATTTTTTTTTTGCAGATTTGTACCTGCGGTGCGTAGAAAAAGTCAAAATTTTCGTTATTCTTGTCCAAATCATACTTGAAAACTGGAAATAAATATATATTAATTATTGTAATGATCGAAAATAACAAGCGCCCGTGCTTGAATGAGAGTTGGTTGAAAAAAATATGGGCCCTGGCTACAAAACGAGCAAATACAGTACATGTTTTTTCATTATCACAGAAATTACTAAAAAAAAATGCCCCGTGGAGCCCCAGTTTGAAGAGCCCAGTACTGAGCCATTAGGGCCATCTCTATAAAACGGGACGATTTGCAATAATATTATATGTGCTTTAACATGATATAAAACACCAAAGGGCTGTTGCAATACTTTTTCTGTATCTATGTGGCTATTTTGCCTTTCATTGCAGTTATTGAAACACAACTAACCATATACGATTTATTTTGGGATTTATGATTCAGAATTTTCCTGATATCAAGAATTTATTAATGTTGAATATATCGAATTTTATTGTAATCAAATTTCCCAGGACTCCATGGAAGAAACCTAGAGGCTCATTGATCTACTATTTGTTTACTTATTGAAATACGGACTTTTGCTGTCCAAAGAAGTAATAACGACATTTGCATTAATAAAATTTGACAACGGTAGCTTCGAAATGTGTCCTCAAGGCATTAATTCAGATATGACATTATCTATAACTTCCAATAGACAACAATGTTTGAAGAACAATTTCTATGAATTTAATTGCAGGGCTTCTTAAATAATATACCTATCCCACCGGCTTCATAACACCAAAGGTTTAAGAACCCCTGTGCTCGTCCATCGCCTGTGTATATTTGATTACTTTCAGATTTGTTTGCATATGTCCGGGTCACTGGCCTTTATAATCCCCACTATTAATAATAATGCCTCTTTATTTCTTTACTTCTATATCCTATCTATGTTGTTGTTGTGTCGTTGTTGTTTTAAATTTATATTTTTACTATATTCTGCTATATATCAATGTTACACATTAAGAGTTTTTATATTACTATAGTCGCTATCATGACGTAACAGTTATTTTTTTTTTGATTGTGTAGACAAGATATAACTGTAATGTTGAGCATCCATAACTAGGGGGTAACTAGCTTTAACAAAAGTCTGTATCGGGGGGGGGGGGTGTGCAACAGGCAGCCCGGGGGCCACGACACGGCCCGCCAAGCCATTTAGTGTGGCCCTTGTCAACACTCAAATTTTTCCCTATCAAGCATAAAATCCTAATCCGACAGTTCATATTTGAATAGGCGTTCATATGGGTAAAAATACATTTGCTATTTGCTCGTGTCGCAGCATTGACACAGTTTTTTTTTTTTTTCAGTGCATTTTCTACTGAAGTGCTAAGCAATAGTCTTATTCTCTTCTATTGACTTTCCTGCTGATTTTTTTTTGTGTGGCCCGACTAGATGTCTAAAGTTGGATATATGGCCCACCGGCAAAAATGTTGCATACCCCTGGTTAAAATTAATTCCTATCTTCGACATGTTTCTGTGATAATCATATGGCCAGTTTAAATTAGATGGTAAACTGAATCATCTCCCCTTGGTTGCTAATGATTTTTGGGTGCTCCAGAGTTATGCGCACCAAGATGTCGCACAACCTGAAAAATAACCGGTACATACATACTATGTTCAGGTTGTGCGCCATCTTGGTGCGCATACTTCTGGAGGTCCGATTTTTGTTTGTCCCCAAGTTTTACAGCATCTGCATAATAGTTAAATGTTATGACTGAGATGGAATACTTGTAGTCAGGGGGGCAGAGGTTAAAATGTAAAAAAAGCATTCTTATGTATCATATTTTTCATAACTTGAAACCCTTTTTACACCTTTGAAAACCTGTTTTCTCGCTAGTTGTAGCGATCGAGCTTGGCCAAATATAAATTTCAGACCATGCCATGTGCGGCATGTATCCTTCACAAGTAAAACACCTGACCGCTACATTATATTGGGATTTTAAATAATCAAGATAGGTACTTCATGTCAAATCTGAAAACAAATACCTGCCCAACTATTCCCATACTAGACATTGACTGGTAATCGAACGGGAGGCCGCCATATGATTAAGCCGTCGGCTTTCCTCTCCACGGATTAAAATATAAATCCTATCCCAAGATAATAGAATCAGATAAAACAAATGAGAAATTTGGTTATTGCCATAACAGGATATACTTTCCTTTCATGATCTATATATTATAGTGGTGCATTGTGTGATAAGTTCATTGTGCTCTGTCATTTCTTCAATATGTCCCAGGCAGAAGTTTGTTCAGTCAAGCATGATATTTATGTTCATCCAAGCATGAATAAATTCTGTCTGGGATTGTCATTATTGTTCATCATATTATTATGTTTAATCATTTCAATAAATTGAATAATTGTTTATTGCTGTATCGAAAAATCTGTCTTTGATTTACGAATATATCAAGGTAGGGTATTTAGGGAGACTTTTCGGTACTTCGGTAATGTGTGTACTTGTTAGGGTTAGGCCATAGTTCTATTCCAATTCCTTATTCTAGTTCGATTACGAGTTCGGGGACTGTCTATGTTAGCTAATTTAATCTATTTCGGCGCGGCGGTGTGGCTCAACGGGCTAAGCGTTAGGAATACGCTCGCCACCGCACCTCTAATTACTCTGCGTGGGTTCGCAGGTTCGAATTCCATGCAGGGATGGTTATGTGCGAGAGGATTGCTGGACTCCTCGTCGTCGTTGGGTGGTTCACGTAACCGCTGGTCGGTTACGGCTTCCTCCACCACAAAGTCCATGCTTCCGAAAACAAACAATACAGTAAAACTAATCCCATACCCGACTTGGAATGGTAACCGGACGAGAGGCCGTGGTTCGCCATATAGATACGCCGTCTTATCGGCTTTCCTCTCCCCGGGATAAATATGTAAATCCTATCCTAATACATAGCATGGTTTCAGTCCCGTTACCAGTGATTTCCCTACACCCCCCCTATAGGGGGTGAACACCCCCCCTAAAATTTCAAACACCCCCCCTAATTTTGAGGTGCGATTCAACACCGAGGGGTTCTAAACCGCAGTCTGCGGGTCAATTAGGCCCGCGTGACGATTTAAAATGGCCCGCCGAACTTGAGTGAAATAGTTTAACCCTTCATGTGGTACCTTTTGAGTTTTAGATACCGTCTATTGTTACATCATTATCACAGTTTAAGCACGTTTATTTCGTAACAATTGAATTATTCCGGTATCTTATGTATAGGTATGGGTATTATGATTACACACTGCAGTATTTTAGATATCAGCCATATATTAAGAAAGCTTAAAGATGTCACAAAACTAGGACTGAAAACAGACGTTTTTTAGATGAATGACAGCGTTTTTATTTCTTTATTGAAAAGAATCAAACTTCAGCGATTTGTCTCCTTACAAAATATTTCAGTTCTGAAGGAATACAACATTATGCGACATTATGATCAGTTGACGAGCGTATTTCAAAATTTAATTCTTCCAAAGTCAAACAAACATGTTCAAAAAAATTAGAAATGTGTAACAAAACAAGCCATAAGTAGCCATTCATACAATGCCAGATGAGCAAGTAACTTCATTAGTCACTATCAGTTGCAAATTACTTGTTGAAACGTAGTAGTATGTATTTTCGGTTGAAAGCCGTGCTTGTTATCTATTCCCCGAGAATTCTATCAGGTAAATATTATAATTATTGATTTTATTACATAACAAACTGCGATGCTAGGTGTATCTAAAATCAAGCTTAGAGCCTATTTTGGTGCCTATTTCTCAAAATTTTCTCAGGGCGCTTGAGCGCGCCCTGAACCCCAGCCGTGTCGTCCCGCACTTTTCCTCGCTCCCCTTTTCTGGCCCTACAATTTCATTCTGCTGTGGATTTTGGCTCGCCGGCAATCAACCCGGGGGGCCCCCCATGTACATCGTTTCTTAAATACATACCATTTTTTTAAGAATGCAAATAGCCTAGTTTTATCTCTAATAGCAAATTATTTACCACCCCCTAAATTTTGAAACACCCCCCCTAAAGGAAAAAGCTGGGGAACATACTGCCCGTTACACAACTTGATGTAAAATAAGCGAACAAAATTAGTTATCTGCACATACCTCTACTGAAGCGCCGACTTTTCTAATGAATCTTTCTCTAATTTGCGTAAGGTGGTATGGATTTGGGAATACGCTTGCAATCGCACCTCTGACTACACTTCGCGGATTGAATCCCTTGAGAGATAATTATGTGCGAGAGGATTGCTAGACTTCTCGCCGCCGTAGATGGTTCATTTATTAACCGTTGATCGACTGAGGCTTCCTCGACCATCAAGTTCATGCATCTGAAATGAATAATAACTGGTTAACTAATACATACCCAACATGGACTGATAAGCGAACGAAAGGCCGTGGTTTTCCATATTATCATTAGGTTCCCGTCAGTGGCGGCGCGTGGTCATTTTGACAACCGGGGCAAGCTACTGCGGGACCAAGTCACCCCCATCTACAGGGACAGGATGAGCGCTGTAAGTTCTCCCATCATTTTATGAGTATAAAAACCATTCCATCGGTAACAACCAATCGGCAAAAGCGACAATTTTTACCGATAAGAAAGTGTCTTTAAAACCGGTCCAAGTCAAGGGATTAATAAATATAGACATAGTTTATTTTGAAACCTCTTTCAAAAGGAAAGGCAATATTTACCCAGATAAATACAATGACATATTAACAGAAACTTCGGGAAAGCAGACAAAACCTAAAATAAGGTTTAAAACGTTACTATGAAGAAAGGAAAGAAATTGCAAAGATAAGGACATGCGTCGCTCACTCATAGATATATATGCTGCTAGACTTCTACTGCTTAAACATATATGCAACACGCCGCGGTTTCTTGGAAGCAAAATGCTCAATAACGCGCTGATTAAAGTCATGCATCCCAGAAATAACGTCTCTGTGAATGGATAAAACAGCCAAGGAATTTAATCTATCTTGCTTCATTGTGTTTCTGAGATACGTTTCAATACGCTTCAGCGTGCTGAATGTTCGCTCTGCGTCGGCGGAAGAAATAGGCGTCGTCAAAATGATGTCCAGAAATTTTGCAGACGCCGCAAAGGTAGTTACTAGAGTGTTATCTATGAGGAACCCATAGAGCGCGCAAGTTGATGTGATGTTCAAAAAAGTTTGATTGGTGTATATACATCGCAATTCATTTTCCAATTTACCCACGTTTATCATGGGGTAAAATTTGGAGACAGTAGCCAACAAATGGATGGGAAATTGACCAAAGAGAACGCGGCAAGGTGTTCAGTGCGCAGACGATCGCCTATTTGATTCACCAGAATGTCACAGCATTCCTTTGCAGACAAAATCAAACGCTGCGTTGTTTGCCCGCGGCGTAAAGAAGCACTCCATGTGTCGTCGTATTTTATTGTTTCCCGGATACGAGATACAGCATCGCAGAAGTCTGAAATACATGACTGCACAGACGCTCCATCCATTAGCCTTGACTGCAATGCGCCGTATAATACATCCACGTGATAGAATATTGTGGAGAAAAAGCGAGAAAAAATGAAAACTCTTCATCTTCTAGCAGACGCTTTAGACCTGCCGCCTCCCTCACAGAGCGTTCGTCCCAAACCGGAAAGCTCTGAATGCCATTGAAACACTCAATGAGCTCAGACCTAATTTCGGACACGCCCTGCACCACGCGTGATTGGAAGTTCCAACGTGTTGGTGCACAAGCTGGGAGACGGCGGCTACATATCTGGCGAAGGAGGTCAGAGCGCTTCGGCGAAACGGAAAAAAATGAAGAAAACCCCGAAACATTTGCAAAAAATATACGGACGAGAGGGGTATCAAGACACATATTTTTAATAACGAGGTTAAATTGGTGTGCATAACAATGTAAAAAATGCGCATGAGGAAAATCTTCTTTTATATAAACTTGAACACCATGTTTCGACCCACTCATGACTGCCGCGCCGTCATAAGTTTGAGCTATCAATTTTGACTTCGCGTTGTAAGGCTGTAACACTTCTTTCAGTACAGCCGATATCCCGCAAGCCGTGCGATCAACGATTGGTACAAAGCTGTGAAACTGTGAAATATTAACATTTCCGAATGTTCGGTATTTTACTGCATTGTCCAGATGCTCCATAGAAGATTGATGATCCCTGGCACGCTCGGAAAGATGTTTAAGATCTCTAAAACCAAATTTACACCAACGTGAGTCACGGGCGGTAGCAAAAAGTAGGCAATAAAAACAAAAAAGTGCATTTTTGTCCTCGCTGTAACACAACCATTCGTGTTTTTTATACCAAGTTTCTGCGCAGAATGTACGCCGACGCTTTCCTCCGTCATGGGATTGTTCCAGTGAACAATTTTTTGGTTGATAGGGCCCAAGACGTTGTACCTCTAATTTTTGTTCCAGCGGCAGCTGCGAAAACGGAGTGCGAAGTAGTGCATCAACCTTATTCATTATGAGGTCTAAGGCTAAGAAATGCGAAGCCGGAAAGAAGTGAGGAGCTCAAAAGGAATGTGGAAAATCGAAAGCAAAGGGACTAAAGGTCTCTAACTGATTCAAATAGCGAAACAAGCGACAAAAACGAAGGCGAGGAAACTATCAACTCTTCAAGCAACCAACGAACGAGAAGGAATGCGTGAATATGTCAACACGTTGTTGTAAGAAACGTCGGCATTGTGTCGTCATAATTTCGGGGCTAGCCCCGATCGGCCCCGATGATTTAGTAAAAGAAACAGAAAACAAACGAGACAAACGCGGCGAGTGGAAGCTAAAAGAGAGAATACGATATACAATGAGCAACCGGGGCAAAATCGGCGTCGCCCCGTCGACGTTCGGCGAAGGCTTTGCGAGCGAAAAATGAGCCATGTCGGGAGAATATGGCTAGTGTAGACAGTCTGTGCAACCGATATTGAGGTATTTTTCGAATATTTTTTATTATACCGAAAAAACAACCGGGGCATTGCCCCGGTTGGCCCTATTGACGCGCCGCCACTGGTTCCCGTACATCTGAACCCACGACAATTGCACCTATGAAATTATTTTTTGTTTTATGGATATTTGAACCCGCGGCGGTGCGGCTCAAGGCGCGGCGGGCTAAGCGTTAGGAATACGCTCGCCACCGCACCTCTAATTACTCTGCGTGGGTTCGCAGGTTCGAATCCCATGCAGGGATGGTTATGTGCGAAAGGATTGCTGGACTCCTCGCCGTCGTTGGGTGGTTCACATAACCGCTGGTCGCTTACGGCTTCCTCCACCACCAAGTCCATGCTTCCGAAAAAACAAACTTTATAACTAATCCCATACCCGACTTGGAATGGTAACCAGACGAGAGGCCGTGGTTCGCCATATGGATAAGCCGTCTTATCGGCTTTCCTCTTTCCCGGGATAAATATGTAAATCCTATCCTACTAACCCATGGGTTTTAGCACCCGCATATAGATTGAACCCGGGGATATACACATGGGTTCAAATTCAAATGCACGGTCACCGATTATTAATTAAGCCGTCTTTCATCTCCCCCTTCTATCCTTGTTCTTCAATGGTTCACTCGTGGCTACGCTCGGGCATGATTGGTTACAAAGTTGGTGCGCGTAGACTTTCATAGAGCAAATTCTAAAAAAATCTGCACCGCAACGGCTGAGTAGAAGTAAGGAAGGATTTGAAAATTGTCTTTTTTTTCTGTAACTTCGTGAGATGATTCATTTTTAAAGAGCTTATCCCAGTGTGGGGTGGGGTGCAAGTCTTTAAACAGATCTGCACCCCAGAATCACACGCGACGTCGAGGCAAGTGTTAAAGTTCAAGTAACTGCACTCCCATGGCATAACTCGAGTTGTTGCTATTTCATTTCCAATTAGGTTTATGCAAGATGTTTCATATTTTTCCGCGCTATCGGAATTTTTCAAGGTAAAAATAAGAAAATTATGCTAAATATTTTTAAAAGTGTATTTAAGGTAGTAGTTTGAGATTTGACAAACAATATTGAAAAGATGTTGCTTTATCTTATAAACTCCCTTGTATGCTCCACCCTTACCTCTATTAACACACCCGTCCACCGCTTTCCCTTGGAAAACTGTCTGTATAAGTGACCATATTATATGTATTTATTTTGACGTTTTTTTTAAATATTGATCAAGATGGGTGCATTCCGTACATTTGTGTTTTAGGCCAATATGGACTTGTGGCCTTGTGCATGCATCCCATCAATAATTGTTGAGATGTTTATATTTCTTAACACTACGGAATGAATATGCATACATCAAGTTCATGAAACTGAAAAAAAAAGTAACTGGCTAACTCATTCCATACCCAACATGGACTGGTACACGGGAGAGAGGGCGTGGTTCACCATATGATTAAGCTGTCATATCGACTTTTCTCTTCCCCGGGATAAATATGTAATCCTTTCCTACATACAAATATGATTTACTATGTTATCATATCTGGAACCGCCTACATAGGCACCCGTGGGCCGTGGGACGTTCGAACCAATAGACACCACATTTGCGACATATTTTAGCGTCCGTAAGTTTATAGATTACTCGCAGACATTCGCTCCGTATATATTTGTCCCAGCGGTCATTTGCACTTGAACCGGGTACTAACGTTTGAGGGTGAAATTCATGAGGGAAATTGTTGCAATTCAGTGGCGATTCGCCTTATTCACTCAAATGATAACGTACAATTATTTCAATTGAACAACAGTCGTTAGAAACTGTCAGTACACGATCACGGGGGCGCGCATTTTTAAACTTTGTCATGGGCGCCATTCTACGTAATACGCCATTGCTCTTATTCAACAGTTTACCGGATTTAGAGCTGTAGTAAGTTAAATACTCGACACCAATATTATGTATTACACATCGTGTTCTCCCTGATTTGTGTTTTTGTCGTATCATGATTATGCACTTATCAGGCTAACTACATGGGTGGGCAAGGTTTTGGGGGCCCATAATTTTGCCCACCTAGACTGGCGGGCTACGTGAGTGTGACGTAAAATTTACATTTTATGAACAATATTTACAGTGTTACAAAAGCAAAAGTGGGAAACAACAAGCATCGAGTCAAAACAAAATTTAATCGCAATCTCAACAAATTCATTGAGCTAGTTTTTAGATAAAACATGAAAATTTGGTTTTAGTTTGCTTGTGACTTGTGACATCGTCAAGCGGGCTACTACGCTACTATACTACGCTACAGATACCGACACGTCTAAGTACTTAGGAACACGCTTGCTATCGATTATGAGCCTTCAATTACCTCATGCGATTTCGCATGTTCGAATCCCGTGGGGAACAATTATGCGCGAGAGATTTATTGCTGGCTTATCGCGGTTCTCGACTGTGGTATTTATGCAAAATGACCCCTTGGCAATTTTTAAAAATACACCCTTTGATTTATTAAATGACAATTATTAACGACTGCTGTTGAATTGAGATACTTGTACGTTATTATTTAAGTGATAAATGCAAGTTATTATAATGCCCTCTTTGCGCCCTGCCCTCTATCCAATCGGCGCCCATGGTCGGAGCCTCGCACTGGATTATCTTCTCTCCACCTCTTCCGGTTAGGGCTTTCTCAGTCATGCAAGTCCATGCCTTTGAAACAAATAACTGGCCCAGTGAACCGTGTTTTGCCATTTCCAGAGCCGGTTTGGATATAGGACACGGCGTTATAACTTTATGATATACTGTATGTTTGCCATCCAACAGTCACATCAGGAACAGTTTTCATTCCGCGCGATGGCACTAGAATTTCACAAAAGTTAGTTCTGCAAATTGTAAACTTGCGGTAAATTCTGATTTAACAGTTGAGTTTTCTGGTTTACCGTTGCGCGATCGTTCGAAAGTTTGTAGTTTTCAGAACGCTTAGAACCGAACTTTGATTTTCATAATTTATTCGTTATGGGCGATTACGACCCCACTTCATTCTCTGACCCTCGTGTTGTGGAGATAAAGAAGATTACACTTGATTGGACAGTCGATTTTGATTCTCATACCATTTCTGGAAATGTCGTCCTCCAGGTTGAAGTGAACGTGGACAATGCTAAAACATTGGTTAGTGTTTTGTGTAGAACTTACTTGTTATTTCAAGCTGTTTTTCTGATTTTTTTTTTTGATTTGGTTTTTTGCTCCGCCTAACTTGTCCGTGTCTAGTGTAGTACTGCAAGTCCTTTCAGTGGGCTTGGCACAATTTGGCCATTTTTGCATATGTTTTTCCGGGTCTAGTGTAGTTTCGTAACTGACGTACTTCTAGTAGGCGTAGCATAACAATTTTTTGATATGCCAATTCTAACCCTCACCCGACTACGCCATCCAAAAATTACGTCACTACGACGTCACAATCAAGCCATAGAGCTTGCCAAATATACGCACGATTGACCGAAATGGCATTGCCGCCGACGATAAAGAAATGACTGACGTTATCGATCTCTCTCCTATTGGAATCATTGCGACGAGAAATCGAGAGAAATACTGTTTGATTTCGGGTGCTCGTTTGCACGTCTTGGATGGCAGTTCGCATAGTTTGAAGGGCTCTATTTTTGGTGTGTTCAGGTGTGGGTTAGGATTGACACATGAAAAGCTTAACTAGACGTAAGTTAGGTACGAAACTACATGAGACCCTGTTTTTCCTAACCCCGACCCGACTATGTCATCCAAAAATAATGTCACTACAAAGTCACAATTTTGTCATATAGCTTGTCATAGTATAGCTGCGATTGCCCGAAATGGCATCTGTGCCGACTATAATAAACTCACTAACGCCAGCGACGTCTGTATTTAGGGGGTCGCTCAATTATATCATCGCTTAATTACTTATCGATCTTAAGATCGGTAAGTATATTGATAGGTATTTGTATGTATGTCTGTCTGTATGTCTGTCTGTCTGTGTGTGTGTGTGTCTGTTAGATGCACGCGATATCTCACGAAAGCGGGATTGAATCTGCTCCAGATTTTGCATGTGCATTCATCTTATCTCGGACCAGAATCCTATTGATTTTGGGCGAATTATGTCGTATAATTAGCGAGTTATCAATCAATTATTGATATAGTGATCTAGATTTTTGTAAAGCGAGAGAATTTTGAAACCCGCCGAGTGTGTGTGTGCGATGCGCAGTGCGCAAGTTACAAGAGCGGATGAATCGAAACTGCAGTTTCTGTTTTGGGGGATCCCCTAACTATCGATCGATAAGTCTTCGGTTTCCAACCGATATTCTCGTTATATTATTGATAAATATATATATATAAAACTCATTTAACCACTAAGAAATTAAAACTTGTGAACTAGTGCAGGCTAATCAGAAGTGTGACGGCGACTGCTTGCAGGGGTGGACAATTACTGAGTGGGCCAGTTATATATAACAGACTTGATTACTGGGCCGAAGGCTCAAAACTCAGTATGATGAAACAAGAATGGAAACAGTTTATTCACAACAGCTAGGCTAACGTTTATATAATAATAAGAAGCACGATGTAACAATCGAGGTCATTATGGAGTTATTCTCATCGATATTTTCAATGAAAGTTTATATCCATAAAAGTAAAGTCGTAATTTTAGCAGGTACAAGTGGACCGGATACGACCTGTGAGCCGCTAGGTTGCCCTTGATATTCATACATATTGACCCAAAAATGCATAGCATATTGATTAATGTAATATATGATTGGCTCGGCGGTGTGGCGCATCATGTTAAGCGTTAGGAATACGCTCGCCACCGCATCTCTGATTACCCTTCATGAGTTCGCAAGTTCGAATCCCATGCGGGGATGATCATGTGCAAGAGGATTGCTGGACCGTTCCTCGCCGCTGGTCGGTTACGGCTTCCTCCACCATCAAGTCCATGCTTCCGAAAACAAATAACTGGCTAACTACCGGTAATCCCATACCCGACCCGGACTGGTAACTGGACGAGAGGCCGTGGTTCGCCATATGGATAAGCCGTCTTATCGTTTTTCCTCTCCCCCGGGATAAAATATGTAAATCCTATCCTAATAAATTCCTTTCTAATACTTAATTGGTCGTATAGTCTGAATGCACAGCATGTCCTAAGTTTTCTTAGAACTGTAATAAATTATGAAACCAACTAGCAGATTTTTCGTCTTAAATATTATGCATTTCTAAGTTTAAAACATTGAGTTCCATGCAGGGGCATGTCTAGAGGGGGTTCATAGAGGCAGTTGCCCCAAGCAACGAGCTATAGCGGCGAATTTAGGGGCAGCATTATCTGGGACTCTCCAAGGCAGAGGAAAATTTTGACTTGTGATCCCATTGTTTTCGTCTGGACATGGCCCAATTTAAAAAAGTTAATTTATAATATATTTGGAATAGCAAATCTCTCAGTTTTAATCCCTTGCTTGCGTGCTACTCTCCTGTCAAATAGTCGAACATTTGTCTGTTTTCAGACCTTGGACACAAAGAACTTGTCCATTTCATCAATCAGTACAAAGGAAGGTTCCGGTTTGAAATATTCTCTGAGGGAACCACATAAAGCATTCGGGTCCGCGTTGGATATAAGTTTGCCGGCGGAGTTGAAAAAGTAGGTTTTGTTTTGTTTTTCTCAATAGTGATTTATGTTTTCAGTCATTTTTGGTAGGAATTTTTAAACATAATTGGGTCCCGTACTATGTGAACCAAGATGGTGGACACCAGAACGTAGTATGTGTACCAGGTTAGGCCATAATTTCAGGTACAAATATTACGGGAGTCACTTGGCTAGTTCCCGAACTCGTGTAATAGAAATAAAATAGGGAAAATTGGAATGAATTATGGCCTAACCTGGTACACATACTACGTTCCGGTGTTTGCCATCTTTGTTCACATACTTCAGGAGTTTGCTTTGTGTTGTAGTTCTAAATGAGAATTCATGTTTGGAGTCATTTTTTGTTTTTTCAACATTTGACTGGCTATTTTGGTGACATTGTGGTGAATCCGGGTTGCATAACTCTCTTGTTATTTATTGCTATCTCCACTCCAAACATAGATCCGGACAAATAGGTCGAGTACGGAAAAGAGAGATTTGTTGCAGTTTGTTGTTGAGCACATGTGTAGGCTCTAGACCAGTGGTTCTCTCCCCCTTTTTTCTCGCGGTCCACCTTAAAAATAACTCGCTGACAATAATCTACAAATAACACATAGTAAGGCTAAAGTATATTTTATTGAAGAACACGTTGAAAATACGTGGATTGAACCAAATATCCAAAATAAAGCTGGCAAGATCAAATCCAACAAATATTTTTATTTTTAATTAGCTTCACGCCCCCTGAAAAAATTGGGGCGTGTCCCATTGTTTGAGAACCACTGCTATGGGCTGTTTTGCTAAGTTTTTGGTATTATTCAAGTTATTTTACTGGAAGCGACTGGAATATAATTGGAAATATAATGGTACTATGAATTGTTTTGCTGTTGCTGTGGTAGAACAGCCCCTTGGTGTATTTTCATAAATTTTATAAATAAATACCCAAGGCAAGGCCATAGGAATTCACTTAGAGGTGAAATAAAAGATCTCTTGCAATTCTTTATTCAACATTTATTCAACATTTTAGTTTCGATGTCCTTGTCTAGCTAAACCATAGGTTCATAAAGTTCCCCATACAGAGAGCCCCAGGGCTCCTTAAGAGAAACCTAGGTGAGCTATTCGTTTACTTATTAAAATACTGACTTGACTAATTTTTTAACTGCCCAAAATAGCAATAACGGCTTCAATGACATTTAACAGCGGTAGCATCTAAATGTGACTATAAGTCAGTAATTCAAATATGACATTATCTATATGTTCCAATAAATAATGTCATATTTCAATTAACGCCTCGTTGCCACAATATAAATTTTTTTAAACAAAGCAGCAAATACAACAGAGTCACTGAATAAGGTAATTTTAATTTACTCAGAAACATTAATCAATAAGTAACAAAGTGTTTTTTATTTTTATGTAAGTTTTTTGTTGGAATCCGTAAATAATAGTCAATCTCTTCACAGGCTCCATAACATAGAAAGTTTGAGAAGTCCCATCTTAGATCATTATCACATTTTTGTGATAGAGATGTCAGTATAAATATATCGTGTTTGAATAGTAGTTATTTCTGAAACATAAATAATTTGTGACAAACGGTACGCAGGGTTTCAAAGTATCATGTGCATAGTAAACAACGGGTGTTCTGTGTCTTGAGTTAATTATTAAACCAATTGCTTTCCTCAGCGTTTTATTGTTTGCTTGCCTCACAAATAAATCAGTCATGCTGATTTTTAATAAATGGTTTCAGAATGCTGTTTTTTGATAAATGTCTTAACTCTCAATCAATTAACCCCACAGGATTTGAACCTCAGAAAAACTCTTTCCATTTTATCTTAAAATATTATAATTTTTATTTTCAGAGGAACAATTTTGGACATACAGATTAACTATTCAACTTCACCCAATGCTGGTGCCTTGCAATGGCTGAAACCAGAGCAAACAGCAGGAAAGAAACAACCTTACTTGTTCAGTCAATGTCAGGTATGGAGATCATTACTTATCGATTTTAGTCGGTAAGTATGTTGATAGGTATTTGTCTGTATGTCTGTTAGATGCACGCGATATCTCACGAAAGCGAGATCTAATCTGCTTCAGATTTTGCTTGTGCATTCATCATATCTCGGATCATAAGCGTAATGATTTTGGGCGAATTATGTCGTATAATTAGCGAGTTATTAATTAATTAGTGATGGCACACAAGGTGTCACTATGGAGTAAGAGCGCTGTTTTTGGGGATCCCCTAACTTTTGATCGATAAGTCTTCGGTCTCTGACCGATATTCTCGTTAGAATACTTGATTATATAAATGATCGTTGTTTTGGTGATGTAATAAAAAATTGTGATGGTTGACTCAAGTGAATAGAGCATGGGTGTGCAACAGTGTAGGCCTTCTCAACACTGGGATTTTATCCCATCAAGCATAAAGCCTGAGGCGACTGTTTGTTTAAAAAAAAAAAATTTTTCTCTCTTGTCACTGTGTGAAATTTTTCGCCGCTTTGCCAGTTGCTTTTGTTACTGTAGGGCTAAGTTGTTTTCGTTGTGAGAATTTTTAATTAGTTGTGTACATTTTTCTAGATGTCTGAACAAGGTTATATGGCCCACCGACAAAACGGCTTCTCTAGATCTTTCAGAGAGTAATTTTCTGTTTATATTTCAGGCAATCCACGCTCGTTCTATTGTTCCCTGTCAAGACAGTCCATCTGTGAAGGCTCCATACTATGCTAAGGTATGATTTTATTATAAATTTGTGTTTTATATGGTTTATTTTGCTAGGACATTGCATGTTTTGCCACGACATCCATTCTGCACTTACGCAACTTACAAGGTTTTAAGAGCCATGCAGTCTAGGAAACCATTTTCTATCTGTCTATACTTGTTCGAACGAACCTTTTTTCATCTCGATAATCCTTAAACCGAGGAAACTTAGGATGTTCCCTCTAAGATGCGCAACTGCACCATTGCACAGTGCTACCAGACCATTTCACGGTTAAATTTTAAATCTCGCAGGCTTACAAATCGTGGCTCCGACTCATATTTTCTAACGCCTAACTAGAATGTCTGTTCCATGTTTCATATGTAGTTTGCTTGCCACTGTTCATTGTGATGTCACATATGTGTCTGTTACGTTCAAGTACCTTAAATTCTCTGAAAAAAGTGCAACTTTTAGCCGAGCCTACAATGCCAGCGCTTTCTGATAATATGTTATTCTATTGCAATATTTCACATAGTTTGTAAATCATTTAGGACTCTGCTCAGTCTCAAAATATGGATGCTCAGTAAAACAAACATTTGCTCAGTGGAACATTTTTTTAGAGGGAACACTGATTTACAGTATCAACCATCAGCAATGTTTTATCCTGGGAACCTACCATTTCACAAATCTCATCATTTAAAAATTGATTTCACAGAAAAAAATTAATTACTTTTATTTACTTCATTTTTTTTGTTTGTTTTTTCAAATTTTGTGTCGTGAACTTCAACCATTTCTAATAATCATATTTTACTGTGAATTTATCAGCGTAAACTTGGAGGGGGCTGACTTCGATAACCGCATGGTCTAATCGCTCCTTCCAGTCTATACCGAAAAAAGCGTATTTTTTTATAGCCATTATTTATTTATTATTATGACTGTTTTTTTCTGGTTGACGAAATAAATCTCTCTCTCTCTCTCTCTCTCTCTACCGGCTTGTTCTAAATTAATGGTACCAAAACAGTGGAAAATTTTTTGAGGGGGATGAAGCTAATTAAAAATGAAAATAGTTACTTGATTTGATCTTGCCAGCCTTATTTTGGGTATTTAAGTTTCATCCACGTATTTCCAACGTACTTTCGCCTTGCTATCTGTTATCAGTAGCTTATTGTTAGCTAGTTATTTTTGAGGTGGGCGCGAGACTTGACAAATTCTAAAAAAAGGGCACGCCTTCGAAAGTTTGAGGACCACTGCTCTAAATGATATTCGGTTCATTTCCTAACCCAGTGGCTCCCACCCTTTTTGTATCACTATTGAGCTCTTTAAGTATTCGCTCTTTATATACAAACTGTCTATTAAAAAATGAAATCGCGTCGTCGCACACCAATGACTGTGCCGTGGCACGGTGGTTGGGAACCACTGCCTCAACCCCTTTTTAAAATTGTGAAATTTTGAATCCCCAGGTCACTGTGAAGGATCCACTTGTTGCTTTGATGAGTGCAGTGGGAACAGGAAAGCAATCCCTCGGTGATGGAAGAACGGCGTATACTTTCGAACAAAAGGTATGTTACCATTAGGTGAAGTATGTTACCTTCAATTAACAACATATACTATTGGAAAAAAAATCAAGCAGTTTATTTAGTCTATTTGGTACACAAGGTATATTGTATGTTATGCCACTCAAATTCACAGTTCTGAAGATGTTTGACAACTTGAAAGTCCAATTGCCAACCCAAAATTGATAACCGAGTCTGAAGGAAAATTTGCTTATACCTCATCCAATCTGATAATAAATGAGTTTATATCAAATTTATACATTTCTTATTCTTATTTACGATGATTCTCCATTCCCAGGTACCCACCTCATCCTACCTCATAGCGCTTGTGGTAGGTCAGCTTGAAAGCAGGGATATTGGGCCGAGGTCCCGGGTCTGGTCCGAAGCAAAGTTTGTGGAGAAAGCTGCTGAGGAATTTTCTCAGGTAAGGTTTTATGCTCTAACCCTGCGATTCGCCAAGCTATATAGTGTGGTGCTTGTCAACACTCAGATTTTACCTCATCAAACATAAAATCGTGTTCCATCCGCCGATTGTTTATGTTTAAAAACTTACTCTCATGGATAAAAAGACATGAAGGTTTTTTGCTCTTGTCGCTGCGTTAATGCTTTCGCCGTTTTGTGCACTGCATTTGTTTCTTTCAAGTATTTAAAGATTAAAGAAAGAATCATTGACCTAAGTCGTCAATGTAGTTAAGCCCAGTGTCCTTAACATCCTCTCATTCCTTTTTGCTCCAGACAGAAGACTTCATATCAGCTGGTGAATCCCTCGTTGGGCCGTACGTTTGGGGACGATACGACCTTCTTGTGCTTCCGCCATCTTTTCCATTTGGGGGAATGGAGAACCCTTGCCTCACTTTTGTGACTCCTACACTCTTGGTGAGTCGGACTTTTCCCTAATTATTTCTGCCAAACTGAGTTAGTGTCCTAAAGATTGAGAAGGCTTTTTTGCATCGCTTCTGTGATCATCATTGACTTGAATAAATATATAATAGAACATACTAACGAAGTACCTCAAATATGAAAGTCATGGAAAGTCATTTTTAGTCATTTTTAGAACAATTGCTTGGAATAACGAAAGATGCTTCTACCTCTGGTACTTAATCTTGGATTTATATATAAAATGTATAATGTTCTTCCATGGGGATTCCCCTTCTGTTGAATAACACATTTTCAAAAATATTGTCTCATTGTCAAGAGTCGTGATTGGAGTGATCCTAGTGGATCCCAGATGGAGTGATATAGTGGTACTCCCGAAGTATGCGAACCAAGATGGCGGACATCGGAACGTAACATGGGTAACAGGTTAGGGTTAGGCGATAATTTTTTTCCAATTTTCCTTATTTTAGTCCTATTATCAGTTCGAAGACTAGCCAAGAGCCTCCCGTAGTATTTATACTTAAAATTATGGCCTAACCCTAACCTAGTACACATATTACATTCCGATGTCCGCCATCTTGGTTCGCATACTTCGGGAGCCCCGATATAGTATTTCTGTAAAAATACTATTAAAATAATTTTTCCTTGTTTCAGGCTGGCGACAAGTCATTAGCAAATGTAAGTACTTTTATGTTTTATATTCATCCAAAGTACGCTGGATGGCCCGAAAGTATAAAAACTGTTAGATAGAAAATAAGCGTCTCATTAAAATTTCTCTCTCCTTGAATAACTATGAAAAAATTCCTATGCTACTCTAATTTAACGTTCACTCTAAATTTTTCTAAATAACCTGAAATCAATTACAGTCGTCTTATCACTTTTCTCTTCTTAGGAATACATATAAAAAATCCTATCCTACTATAATCCAGTGTTCACTATATATTTGTTCACTATATATATCTTTAGGTGATTGCACATGAGATTGCCCACAGTTGGACTGGAAATTTGGTGACAAATAAAACATGGGAACACTTCTGGTCAGTATCTTAAGCTTTTGTGTAGGTAACTTATTTTGTATGGCATAGTTCACACAATATACTATTAGCCCAGGTCGGGCTCTCAAACTCGCGGGCCAATGGCGGCACTCAGGATGATAGTTTCTGGCGATAGTTTAATATTAGTGAGACCCGCATGTTACTTAGCTCAATTCGCATGAGTAATTATTAATACATTCAATAAAAGTTCTCGGTTTTGACGCCACAGTCACTAACGCTTGGATTTATATTTGATACATTGAGACCATGTTTTTCATGTTGGGAGACATCACTGTCCATCGGCTGAATGCTTGCTTGATTGAACAAAATGAATTTTTTATACTAAGTTTTTATTGCGGAAAACCTGAGTCTGAGACCCCTGGCCTAGGTAAAATGACTTCTGCCTAATCGAGGTTTCTGGCATGCCACCTGGGATGAGGTTTTTAAACCAATCTCTCTATATTTGAAGGTTGAATGAAGGTCATACAGTCTTCTTGGAAAGAAAGATTGTTGGAAGACTGAACGATGAAAAAACAAGACAATTCCAAGCTATCAGTGAGTATTAAGTTGTTTGGCTTGGCGATGTGGCTCATCGTGCTAAGCATTAGGAATACGCTTGCCACCGCACCTCTGATTACTCTGCATGGGCTCGCAGGTTCGGATTCCATGCGGAGATGGGTATGTGCGAGAGGATTGCTAGACTCCTCGCAACCACTAGGTGGTTCACGTAACCACTAGGTGGTTCACGTAACCGCTGGTCGGTTACGACTTCCTCCGCCATCAAGTTCACGCATATAAAAACAAATAGCTGGCTAACTAATCCCATACCCGACATGGAATGGTAAACAGACGAGAGGCCGTGGTTCGCCATAGGATTAAGCAATTATAGCGACTGCCCTCTCCCCCGGGATAATTATATAAATCCTATCCTATCCTGAAAGAAGTCCAGTAATCCTCTCGCACAAAATTATTCCCGACGTGATTCGAGCCTACAAACTAATGAACTGTAATCAGTATTGGAATGGCCGGTTCCACGTACTAATATTCTATTAATGTCCTATTTTCAGATGGTTTGAAAGATCTTCATGGTTCAGTGAGTTTATTTTATTTATTTTAGACTTGCAGTCTTTTGCATTTTTTGCTAATCTTCTAACAACAACGGGAAGGGTACATTTGGATCGTTTCATTATTATGTTGTTATTCTTGTTGGTATTTTTCTTATTGTTTAAAAAAAAAACGCTTTTCTCTTCAATTACTTGACTAAAAATTTTCAGTGGTGAAACATTGTATTTTTCACCTTTGTACTTTTATTTATCTCAACAATTTCTGAGGCCTCTATAGGATTTTTTGTTTTTTATGCAATGACGTCATCAAAATTAAAAATTGCACTCCTTGTAGCAGTTCCAATTTTGTGCGACTTCAAACCTGCTACTCAGCTGCGATACCGTACCTGTAGGATACTGTGACAGATTGCATCCTTGTACCGCTTTGCGTCTATATATTTTAGTAACGCTCTCTTGTTTACTCAATGTGATTCGAGAATTTTACTCGACACAAACGCAACTATAATGTTTCAATGTTTTCTGTAAGACCTCCTCAGGCAAGCATATTTTAGCCAACTATAAAATCACATATAATGGTTGTATTTAGGCTCAACCTTATATTATTGGATTAGGATTGTCTTAGGAAGTCTAACTTTGACCAGAGAAAATGTGGCATAAATACATTTTCATTAGTGTGCAGCAAGACTCTTCAATCACATCGAATCATCTTCTACTCTTTCTACACAATCTTTGCGTTATGTGTATACTTAGGGGCATACCCAGAGGAGGTTAAAGGTCAGAAACCCCAAGACTCTTTCTACTTTTTGAAGCCTTCGGCCATACCCACTAGCTGTCATAGTCTAACTTGGCAACAGGAAATTTAGGAATCCCCCCTTTGAAAATTTCTGGTTACACCACTGGATCGTATACTGGATCCATTAAGAATATTTTTATAACAGATTGAAGTCTTTGGCCATGACAACCATACCAACCCCAATTGTTACATTGTGCTGTCATTAATATCAACGTTAGCTTAGCTGTTGAGTTTCTTTTTCTATCAACTTTTTCTACGCAGCTGCCGTAATCTGCCATCCTCTGTAATGAAGTCCCATTAATCCTTGTGTCTAGGTATTTACAAATAACCGTTTTTTAATCATATTGAATTTTGATCCTCCGGCCCAGTAACTAAGTCTATTATTTGCATTCGGCCCACTCTGGAAAGTAATTGCTCACCCCTGCGCTAGTTTTTACCATCTAACCCTCTCTTTAAAAATTCCCGTATATACTGGATTAGAGATAAAATCTGAAGCCCGAGCCCGACCCGAAATCCAGTTCGGGTCGGGCCTGAAATGTCAATCAATACGTTCGGGTCAGGTCAGGCTGCTCTATCGCTCCTTTTTTTTTAAAATGAGGCTTTTTGGCCACGAGAGACTGTGGCCTGCAAAAAAACAGAAAAACTGAACTCTTGCAATGACTATTCAATGAACTCCTAAATAAAATATGAAACTTCGGGTTTGCTTCGGGCCTGCAAATCCAGTTAATTAGTCGGGCTCGGTTGGGTCCAATACCCACAGGCCTGGGTCAGACCGGGCTAGAATGGGTCCGATCTTACCTCAATACTAGATCCATTAAGAATTTTTTTATTACAGATTGAAGTCTTCGGGCACGACAATCATCTCACAAATCTCGTGACGACACTCAAAGATGTTGATCCAGACGATTCCTTCTCTTCAGTACCTTATGAGAAAGGACACACCTTGCTGTTCTACCTGGAAACACTGCTTGGAGGCCCAGGTTGGGATTATGATTCAATTTTTCTGCCTCTTCCGGGATCTTCCAGCACTCATGTCTCCCTGTTTATCATTCCAGTGATATTTACAGTGTTATTTTTATTGGTAGATTCTAAATCCCATTATGTTCAAACAATCCATGCTCAACAAAGTGAAAACACCCTGTGAAATAAACTTATCAAGCAATGAGACAAAGAATAACTTGAAGTTTTCTCGTAATAGCAAAAGTAAAATCAATTTTGAGCCTAGCATTGTGACCCCCTGAACTCCTCTGTGACCCCCGTTTGGCAAGCTCTGCCCCTAATTTCCCTAATATCCAAATTTGCATATTAGATTTGTATATTGCCTAGCTGTTGTGAATGTTTTTATTCATATTTTTTCATATTTAATTTTGATCCTCCGGCCCAGTAACCAAGTCTATTATCTGTATTTGGGCCACTCAGAATAGTAATTGCCCTGGTTTGAGCTGTGTAGTTGAAATGTCGGTTTCCCTCTTTTCTACAATGTGAGTGAAAACCCTAAAATATAATATCACTAATCAGTCAGTCAGACAGTAGTTTATTTTTTCACATGCTAAAAGTACATATTGTACAAATATAATTAAGAAAGATAAAACGAGAATATCGGTCAGAGACTGAAGACTTATCGGTAATCCCCCAAAACAGCGCTCTTACTCCATAGTGACATCTTGTGTCCAGTCAATCCCCCAAAACAGCGCTCTTACTCCATAGTGACACCTTGTGTGTCCAATCACTAATTAATTTATAACTCGCTAAATATTCAGACATAATTCATCCAAAATCAATGGGCTCCTGGTCCGACATATGATGAATGCACATGCATATCTCGCTTCCGTGAGATATTGCGTGCATCTAACAGACAGACAGACAAACAGACAAATACCTATCAACATACTTACCTATTGAAATCGATAAGCAAAAATGCATTTCAGTACAAAGGGGAGACTCGATAAACCAGTGATGGTTATCGAACAGCGCTGCCAAGTATCATCTATCTTCGATGCTTAAACCCGTTTTCTCATCGTAAACATTTTTTATTTAATTTCAGAACAATTTGAGCCGTTTCTTCTCGCCTACATCAACAAGTTCAAGTACAAATCACTGACAACAGAAGAATGGAAGGATTTCCTATACGAGCATTTCAAAGACAAGGTAAAGTGTGTATAAAACAGAGAGTTCATATGGTACTATAGAGTTCAATGATTTTCAAAGTTGATTGACGGGGGGTAAAATCGGAAGTGGGAGGAAGGCATTTCCCCTTTCCGGCCCTCAAGGGGCTGATACCAGTACTGGTATCTTAAGTATACATATATATGTGCATAATCGGATTGTTGCGAATATACGCGTGGTGTGATAATGATGTAACAATGAGCGGTATCTAGAACGCAAAAAAGTACAAACATGAAGTGTTAAACTATTTCACTTAAGTTTGGCGGGCCATATTAAATCTTTATGTGTGTTGCAATGTCAAATGCTTGTTCAACAAACCGAGAAACATTGATTGCACTTGATTGACAGTTTACATCTTGTGTAGCTCTCCTTTAAAATCAAACTTGCTGTTAAATGGCATTGCAATATGCCCTTTGCGGAAGCCATTCAAATAGAAATTAGGATTCTATATACATCTTCATTTCTTAACCCTCTGTATTCATTCCTGAATAGAAAAGAATAGGATTCACATATTTATCTTTGAAGATCTCGTCCGGTTACCATTTTATGTCTGGTATGGGATTACCGAAGTTTTTTTCAGAAGCATGGACTTGATGATGGAGGAAGCCATAACCCACCAGCGATTACGTAAACCACCCTGCGTTGGCGAGGATTCTAGCAATTCTATCGCTCATAATTATTCCAACTTGGTATTCAAACCATCGCATGGTAATCAGAGGTGTGTGGAGACCATATTCCTAACGCTTGCAACGCACAACACAGCCAAGCGCACACCATGAGTATATCTTGCCAGATTATTTAAGTTATTTGTTTCCAAAATATTCAAATCAATTAGTGAGTTACTATTTATAACCCTTATTTGCTTGTTTTTAAACGAATTAATCACTTTTTAACTTTTTCCAGAAAGCTATCCTGGACAGCGTAGACTGGAACGCCTGGTTCAACAAACCAGGAATGCCACCTGTTATTCCTGATTACGACAAGAGTTTGGGTTGTGCTTGCAATGAGCTGGCTGATAAGTGGGCTAAGGTAAGCTGAAAATGTCTCTCTGAGTATGTCTCTGGACAGGCTGCTTTTTCAGTATATTACAGTCTTTACAGAGTGAGATGGTGGGAATCAGGTTCGAACATAGGGGTTAGCCAAGGGGATTTGAGGAGGTCCACCCCCCATTTTGAAATGTAAAAATTTTTCCAGCTATTTCGGCCCTGAGGTGTTCCACATTTTTTTATCTTTCTGTATAAGACACTTAACAAAAAAAGTTTTCAATAACTATTGCGGTTTGTGTTGCCTAAGCGTAGCCGTCGTGCCGTGAGTGTTTCAAAATTTAACTAATTTATCAATAACTCAATAGCAATTTTTAATGGGTTTGTGGCCCAGAAGTTGGCCATGGCTCACTGGTTGAGAAGCATTGTTCATTCTTTTTTTATATTCCAGGCCAAAGATCTCTCTGGATTTCAGTCTTCTGACATCAAGGATTTCAAGACTTGGCAGATCATTGACTTCTTGGGGCAACTTATATTGAAGGTGGGTGGCTTTAAAAATAATATTTTTAGGTATTTTTGCATGATATTTTTATGGAAAAAATCAAGGTTACAATATCAAGTTTACAACAATCCCATATTCCTGTCGGAGCGTAAAGACGAGATAAGTTATATATTTTTTCCACGACCCTAATACACAGAGCCTATATCAGTGATGAATAGTCGTAAGATGGAAGCAGCAAGAGGGTCCCTCGTTGCTGGGAAGCAGTCATATCTTATATTGTGCCTAGTCATATAAGTCGGCAAAATTTTGCTGTGTTTGTGCTTATCGAGACATATCCTATCCACTAGATGTCTCTAATTGGCCATCTATGCGAAATAAATCATATTGGGTTTCCCAGTAACCTGATGTTCACGTCATGGTTGTGTATTTTAAGTTCATTTTTTTCAAAAATTTTTTTTTTTTTGCTGTAGTTGCTGCTTAAACTTAGCAATAAGGGGCTGGCTGACTGGATGACTCACTGAGTCTTTTGCCACCCTCATCAATTGTTAGATTCAATGTTTCCGTTTTATTGTTTTTCATTGATTCTTGCATGATGAAAATAAATATCTGAATCTGTTTGACTTTACGGTGTTGTAGGGTGGTTTACATGGACCATTAACCAGCCCTCTGTGAAGAGAATAATGCTCGGCCACTCTGGCTAGTGATAGAAATAATGACTGAGAATTGAGATTTTGTAATGGAAAATGTATTCATATTTTGCGAGCCAGCAAGCGAATAACCTATATTGCAAGGGTGGGTAAGAACAGCATGCGGTAAGCTGTGAGAGACGCATAATTTTTGAAAGTATTAATATTAGAATAATGTGAACTGGAAATAACTTTACACAAGCGTATAAGAATATATTGCGTGGCCATATCAGGAGTAGTTGACTTGTGTGTTCCCATCCCATCTGAAAGTTTTTAAGTCTTGGTGATATGTGCCAACGCAGCAACAAACATTTGATCATTGCGATGTAAGACTTGTCATTTGACTGATTCAACTTTGAATTCCACGATACGATTTTTATACTAAAACATAACCATAAACTTCTTCAACCGCTTATTAATTAAAAAAAACTGTTAGGCTACAGTTTCTCCTAGTTAAAATTGGGATAATAATTATTGCTAGCTAGCGAGAAGAGCCGCATAAAAACACGGCCATGGTTTGCTCACCGTTGTTATTTATATTGGGTAGATTCTCAAAGATAAACTCATCCAAATTCTTCTTCTAGGACCCAATGACACCAGAGCACATATCAGCGATGGACAAATTGTACAAGTTTTCTGAATCTGGCAACAGTGAGATCAAATTTAGATGGCTACGACTCGGAATTCGTGCGAAGTGTGAGTCAGCAGTTTCTCCAGCTCTTGACATGGTGACTGAGCAAGGGAGAATGAAGTTTACAAGGCCTTTGTACAGGTAATGTAATTTTTGAAAGAGAACTTTTCTTTCAGTGTTCTAAAACAAGGGTGTGCAATCTGTGGCCTGCAAGGAATGATAGTTCGGCCCGCGGAGAAGTGTCAATTTTTGAACGTTTTCAATTCACTTTTTTCCACCGTATTTATTCGATTATAACGCGCAAAATTTTGAACTGAATTTTAGGCAAAAATCAATGCTGCGCGTTATACACGAGGTCTGAGAAATGTGGTATTGAAAATGTGGTTTTAAACATCTGAAACGTGCGTGCGCTCGCGCATGCACATTCCAATGCAGGACGATTTCGTGCAAGCACACGCACATGCGACAGCTCAGCGTGCGTTTGACATTCGTGCAAGCGTTCGATTTCGTGCAAGCACACGCACATGCGACAGCTCAGCATGCGTTTGACATTCCCGCTGCGTTGAGAATATTTATTTGCCATTATCGTACTGTACTGTAGATACCCATTATATATTACCCATTATCTATTATGGCAAGACAAAAACGTTCTGCATATAGGGCTGCATTCAAACTGGAGGTTGTTGATTATGCGGAAACTCATGAAAATAGAAAAGCTTCTAGAGAATTCAATGTACCAGAGACAAATGTCAGAGATTGGAGAAAGCAGAAAGTTGTTCTAAAAGATATGAACAAAACAAAGAAAGCGCGGCGAGGGAGACAAGCCCGGTACCCAGAGTTGGAGAAGGAGCTTTATGATTGGATAGTTGATCAAAGATCTAGTGGGTACATCGTCACTTCGCTCCATATTAGACTCCGTGCACAAAAGATTTGCAAAGATTCAACCTTTAAAGCATCTAATGGTTGGGCACAAAAGTTTATGAGAAGGCATGGACTTGCACTACGCCAGAAAACAAAAATTGCACAAAAGTTGCCTCAAGATTTAGAGGACATCCCAAAAAAAATGGTCATCAAAAGTTTTTTAAAGACGGGCATTAGCAATAGTATGGATGGTACAGAAGACGACTTGTTGTGGGATTCAAAATCAGGGTCAGAAGAAGAGGTTGAAAGTGATGTTCCCGCCGATTGGGACACTGATTTAAACATAACCCAAACAGAAATCGAACAGTTGTTTGGTGAATCAGAGACTGAATCCAATTTTGAAGAGTTTTGAATTACTGTGTGCTTTTAATAAATTTTTGTTCATGCTGTGAGTTGTTACCTTATGTGCTTACCAGTAGTTAGTAGAGAAAAAATGAAAAAAAGAATTTTATACCAATTTTCATTCAAAATTTAAAGGTGCGCGTTATACACGAGTGCGCGTTATAATTGAATAAATACGGTAATCCTTGTGGGTCTGTTTGGCCGGCGGGCTGCATGTTGCACACCCCGGGATTATGGGAATGGTTTACCGGCCATTTGTCCCACATTAACGAATTTGTGAGGAGCCTATAGTTTTGAAAGGATAGTGATCGTTCTAGTCTGGCATTGTCAACACACTGGTGTTTTACACTCTGGAGTTGAGGTCTGGTTAACTTAAGCATGATTTATTAAGGCATTGCTGATTAAAATAATCTCATTTTCTATACAGGTGCCTGTGCTTTTCTTTCACTTTCTTGTTTATCGTTCATGTCCAATCCGAGATCAAATATTGCTTGTATAGCTTGGATAACTTTAACAGCAAAGTAAGCAGAGCTATCATTAGCGGCCATTGTACTTGGCTGGCATAAATGCGTCTTAGAAAAGAAGCCCCCCCCCCAATTTCGGGCTTTCTACACTCTTGCAATTCTGATGTTATGTTGATAGTAACTATTTTATATTTACAGGGATCTTGGTGGTTGGGACCAAAGTCGTGAACGAGCAATCGAGAGGTTCAAGCAGAATAAATGCTACATGCATAGCACTACAAGTATGCTGGTTGAAAAAGACTTGAAAATATAATTATTGAATAATTCCACTCAGATTTAATTAGTGTTCACTGTTCATTTTATATATAATTAGGTAATATTGATTATGATGATTAAACATTGTGTGAGAATTTTTTGATTGAAATTTTGCTAAGTAACTGTTGCTTTCCACTTATTACTTACCAGTACCATATGCCTTGTTCAGTTGGAATCATTGAATCGTAACTAGCCAGAATAATAATTTTTTTTCATGGTAACGTAGTTTACATATCTAAAAATCAATTTCAGTTATTAACTGGTTAAAACCGAGAGATACGATTTGCTAATTTTTTGAAAGATTGTCTCAATATATATATTAGGTAAGGTTTATTACCTGTCAACCCTTGTTGTGTGGAACACTTTGAAGCATGGAGGTATTGAAATCTTTTTGAGGGGGATTGATTAGGGCTTGGGATCTTTAAAAAATCCATGACTCCATGATAATTTAAGAAGATAATTCCCGACACTGTTTTTAGCAAATGATTTTGTTTCAAGGCTTATGTGATCTTGATTATATATTTATTGCCAACCTTTGTTTTGATGAATAAATAAATCTCTCTATTCGTTGTTGGATAAAATTTTGATTTTTATGAATGCTGATTATCACCTACCCTGGCTTATTTAGCCTAATCTTTCAAATCCTAATGTTATGGAAATTCGTCATATGATCATTTCCTTTTCTGTCCTGAACAATTATGAAAATCTACATTATGTTCAAAAATATGTGACAATTTTTTTGAAACGGGTATAGAAATAATTAGAGAAAGTGACTTCAATAATTGTCGTCTGCACTGATGTTGTTTTGTGTCTTGAATGGGGCTGAAATCTCGCAATTGAAATTTGGGAATTTTTTCAAAACAACAGGGCAAAGGGAACTTTATCAAATTCGTGTTCAGTTTAAAAAGCACTGTGAAAACGCCACAGAGAGAAAGAAAGAGTACGTAAGTTTACGGGTTTCTTGGAACTAATGTTTCAATTTTATTGTTGGGACTTAGTAAAAATAAGTTTCGACTTCTCGGGTGATGATGTGGGTAATATTGTAATGTTGAAAAATACAGTAGAATTTATGGGCTGGCTTTCTCATATACGGTAAATATGGCTGTGCATTATCATGTCGTCTAATCTCGTTAATACTGCGTACAAGGATTTTCATTTCACTGTGAACACACTCGTTTGTCTCAAAACAGAAAAGGCCATTTTGGATTTTCACTTGTAGGAGATTCATCGCGCAATCAATATCAACTTGTGACATAAATCAAAAAAACTAGAAAGTGAAATTGAACTCGCAATAAACAAAAAGCGAATATTCGACAGTCAGTGGCACCTTGCTTTTTGAATCACAGCACCTAATATACCGCCAGAACAGTTCCAAATGATGAATTTTAATGTAAACAGTCATTAATACTGCCACAACAGATCATAAATATTTTACTGAAAATTATTTACGGAGTTCAATAATTTCTGGAGTGATCAGTCTGTAAGTTGATATAATATGTTGGGAGCATGCCGACACGCTAAGTAAGATCGATGTAATAATATGCCCATGCATCCGACAGCAAGTAGCTGGCTAACTAATCCCATACCCGACTTGGACTGGTAACTGGACAAGAGGCCGTGGTTTGCCATGATTCCTCTCACCCGGGATAAATATGTAAATCCTATCCCAAAACTTATTGTCTTATTGTTCAGACTCAATTCAAAAGCGTTGACTAAAAATGCTGCCAGAGTCTAATGCTTTACTAAAATCTGTGAAGGCCACACTAGTCATAAAAACCACTGATTATCCTGCTCGTTAATTAATTATGCGAGAGAATTGCTGGATCCCTCTGCATCTAAACTATTCCCATTCTCGACACGGTATTGTAACCGGACGGAATGCCTTGACAACGAACCTTACGAACTACATTGCCACTATAATTAATTAAATCTGTATTTAATTTACCTGTTTTAGCCTGCTTCACTTGTGTGTGAGTGCACAAACTTTGCTCAGAAATGAGTCTCCCTTACTTCTGAGTGAGTGCCATAACTTTGCTCAGATATGAGTCTCCTTTACTTCTGAGTAAGTCCTCGTAACATTGCTCAGAGATGAGACTCCTTTACTTCTGAGTAAGTCCTCGTAACATTGCTCAGAGATGAGACTCCTTTACTTCTGAGTAAATGTCCGTAGCTTTTCTCAGAGATCAGACTTGAGTGTGTGCAATTTCAATAGTCTTAACTTTGTCGCAGGCGAGTCTTTTTTACTTCAGAATAAGTGCATATATGACCTTCCTCTGAGCAATTTTATAAAGATTAAAATAGACATCTTGACCATAATACATCTTACCGCAGCATGATCCTACAATTTTTTCATAATTAGAAGAAAAGCCAATTAAAAATTTAATCAGCCTCCTCCTTTTCCAAATAAGTGCATTGACTTTGCTTTGAGTACATTCTCTTGAAAACAGACTCACCCACAAATATGCCCCACTGAAATCATTTCACAAACATGAAATTGAAAAACCGTTTATTCATTGAAATAAAAAATGCTGCTACTGCGTAGATAATAAAACTAAATGTACAGTGAAAACATAGACAACAAACACACATGAGAATCGTAAAGAATCAGACGATATCATAGCCACCCAGTTAGACGAGGGTTTCTAAAGATGGGGTCACAGAGAAGTTCTATGGGGTCACGAACGGGTTCGCTTGCTATCACTCGCAAAGACTACATTAATTTGGAAAAAAACGACAATTCTTTGCCTGAGAACGTTGCCTATAAAACATTGAAAGCAAAAGTAAGTATTTTTATAGGAGACCAGGGGGCCGTAGATGTTGAAAGAAAGTCTTGGACATGGATCATGAATATTTGAGAGCCACGGATTTAATAATAAGCAACATTAATTTTCTGTTATTTTTCGATCTCGGTTAAGGTTATGCCCCCACTTTCAACTTATCCGAACCTGAGAAAAACTTTCAACAGCAAAAAATATTAGACTCAGTGGCATGGCCAAGAATTTTCAAAAGGGGTGCAGGAGCTCTGAAATTTAGAAACTAGTGTGTGTGGCCAAATTACATAGGTTTTTAGAGTCGTGAGAGTTGTTTGTTTGCCTCTATGGCGCAGGCAATAAAGGTGTCCTGACATGCTAAAGTGACATATTCGATGATGCCTTTATCATTAGAGGTGCATTGCCAAATCTCCCTTCAAGTGTTCCGCCATACCTTTACGTAATAAGGACACACACCTTCAAAATGGTACAAAATAATAAAGAAAATAAAACTAAAAAGAGCGCAATCAGATCAAAAATTAAAAAATATTAAACTAACAATCAACGAAATTCAAGATGCACAATTATGTGACACATAAATGGGCATTTTAGAGGGAATTCCAAGAATGATAAAATAGGTCTATATGGTTGATGGAGGTAGCATGTACTGACTAACTCTATTCTCCTCACCACTGTGCAAGCGAATCGTACTGTACATACTGTAGCATAATTGAGAAAGCTATAATGAGTAGTAGCCCAGGTTCTGCATCACACATTGATCGAAAATAAAACACAAATCTCAACTTAATAATAAGCAAGCGATTGACAAAGCCATATTCATATTGTGCAAGTTAGCATGATTCAACTTTATCTCATGATGTTTTTCAATCTTTCTACTTAGAATAAGGCACTGTGCAAGCAGAAAATTAGGGTCTAACGATAAAGCATGAAGTTTTTATTACAAAAAAGTGAAAACATTTTTCTAATGTGCTTATTTCAAACATATTGCAGTGCCTTAATAACGATTATAAAGCTATAATATTGCGAATTTAAAATTGCCACGGTTAGGAAAATAGAGCAAAAGGAAAAAAAATGGGTTCATTTGATGGGGTGGTTTACTAAGGGATAGGAGTGGATAATTTGGTCTTCTAGAGCAGGATTGTGAAACCGCAGACCGCACCTTTATTTGACATAGGCTTTCTAGTAGTTGCAGACACAAAAAATTGGGTTACGGATAGAAGCGTTTTATAATTTGCACCATAAATTAAAAATTTATTTCGAGGGCCACACACCATTCAAAGTGGCACTTCTCCGCGAGTTGCACAAGTTTACCTTGAGGGCCGCATTTGATTCAATAACTGGCAGGATAGCGATTGCCTCGTTGGCGAAAAGCCACATTTATATTGTGCAAGTTAGCATGATTTAAGTTTAATAATAATTTCTCAATCGTACTATTCAGAATAAGGCACCGCGCAAGCAGATACTGTGGGTCCACTAACGTTAACGCATGAAGTATCTATTTATTACTGGCCGCAGGTTGCATACCCCTGTTCTAGAGTGCTTTCTTCTAACTTCTTTCAATTTGAATATTCAGATTGCTCTATCGAATCTAACTGACCAAATTTGATATAAATCATTTAAGATAATGCAATGCATACTCAATAGCTTCGAATTTGGAAACGGAGAAAATTTTAAATAAACAGTCATTAGAGTAGTTTTAATTTTACCGTAATTGCACGTGACTTTCATTGCTCCGAATGACGATTTTTCAAACATAATTATTCCTAAGATCAAGAATCCATAATCGAACTTGAATTTGCAATTTTAATAAGCGGTTCGCACATATATGACCAGCGCTGGCCATGAGTCAGTGATCGCCCGATAAAAAATAACATATCAAAAAGCAAGCAGTTAAAGGCAGCATTTAAAATAAAACAAGTTAAATAAAAACACATTGGAAGAACTTGACTCTGACATCACAATGATGCCAATATGACATCATACTTCAATATATTCTTTACTATTATGACACCATGTGGTGTTCAATGTTTAAAATATCAAATTACTTACAGTTTTGAAAATCCTACAGTAATTTTTCCTAAAATTGCAGTTTGGGACAAAAAGGATGCTTTGGTAATAAAAGTATGACATCATAACTTGTTTATGACATCATTTCCATAGGCACGTAAAGCTTCTGAAAAAATTTTGAAGAAAAGGAAAAAAATCTCTATCACCATACTAAGAAGGCCATTTTGACATCACAGATGTTTTGTAGAAATATTTATGACATCATAATACAGATGTCTATTTGATTATGACATCACAGAAAATTGTGATATTACCATATAAATGGACAGCAGCAGGGCGGAGCGCAAGTTTTCTCTCCTTACAATATCATAAAAATGTTTATGACATCATAGTATTTTAGTCATGGTGATGTCATTTACCACCCTTTTTCTTTTGATAGTCCATAGCTCTAACAATGTCTTGTCTTCTGCTGTCAAATTTAACTTTGATGCAAGTGATGTGATCGTTCTGCTCTTTCTCCAAGATTTTTAAAAATGTGAGAAGTTCCGGTAAAGAGAAAGATTCCCACTGGAATGGATAAGAGGAAAATAATGATAAATATTGCATAAGATAGATAGTTTATTTTGAAAACTCATAACATACACTATACCTTTGAAAAGTTTAAAACGTGAATAATATCATGTGCCCGCCAATCAGAACACACCAAATAAAATTACGAAAACACAAAACTAGTTAACCGTGACTTGGGCCAGAATAACCGTGACTTGGGCCAGAATTCACTGACAAAAATGCGTGAATTCATTGAACTTTCGGGCTGGTTAACTGTATAATCCATAAATAGCCAGAGTTACTTCAATGAATTGAACACCTAACTTAAATGCGTAGATGCAATATACATTTGAAAAAGGGTGACCGTACATTTGAACCCACGTACATTTGAACCCATGTGTATATCCGCGGGTTCAATCAATATGCGGGTGCTAAAACATGGATTAGGGTTGGTATGGTTTCAAATATCCGAAAAACAAAAAAATTTCCATAGGTGCAATAGTATGCAGGTGCAATTGTCGTCGGTTCAAATGTACGCGGGTTCGAATGTACGCGAACCTTGAAAGAGTATTAGATTGATTGTACAAAGCCCTGAGAAAAAAGCGGAAAATTTTTCAAAAGATCAGATACTGTGCAAATGAATACAAATCGGGCAGGATTTTACAAATAGGTAGCAGCATTTTCTGAGCAAATGTACGATACACATTTAAAAAAGTGTGAGAGTCTGTTTTTGTGAGAAGCGTTGTTCAGAGAAAAACAAAATTTTTCTTAAATAATCATAAATTTACGATTGAATACTTAAAAGGCGATTTTTATAAGCAAATATGACACGTACCTGGATCTCTCTTGATTCGTTTTCTTGTAAGATGAATGCGTGTTGTTGTGTGCTGCCATCCCCCCATAACAAACGAAGAAATAGTGGCCGTTCGCGGGTCATCATCTTACGCAGAATAACTGAAAAAAAAAATTTGAATTGGGAATTTGGATTCTGGCAATGTGAAGTGAATGGGTAAACATTAGGGTAGAATAGAAACACTATCCAGCATTTTAATAAAAATCTTTATAGTCTCCATAATCTTGGTATTCCAGCCGACGCCTGTAACGTTGCTCAGGTATAAGTCTTCTTTAAGGTTCCAAAATTTCTAATTGTTAAGTTAGACCGTAACAGCTAGCAAGTCCAGCCAGAGGCCAGAAAACATGGGTTTCAAGCTACGATAAATTGCTATGTATGCTACAGGAAAATGTTTTTTTTTGCATTACAGTATTTAATTGCATTTTAATTATAAAACATTAAACTAAAACTTACTATGTCCTTCTTCTCTGACTTGTTTTTCAAATAAAGCAAACTTCAATGGGTTGTCTTTGATTCCGTATTTATTAAGCAAAGCAGATACGACTTCCTCTGCCGTCGTATTCGAACTGAGATATAATGCTTTTACAGCCCCCTGGAATGAAGTTTCAAATTGAAATTTAGAACACGGTATATACAGAAGTCTTTGTGTGCGACAGTCTAGAGCAGGTCTCTTCAACTGGCGAACCGCGGTCCGAATCCGGACCTTTCGAGTATTGGATTCGGACCGCACCTGATTCTTTATTTTGGATCATTAGCCGCCCTTTTTAAATTTACTTTTGTAAAATGACTTTTATAGTTTTGAATATATATGAAAAGAACTATAACACCATAATAAACAATCTTGATCAGCAAATATTCATTAGCCGGTCGAGGAAGTTCGCGTTTAAGGATGCCGAAATATAATTCCTGGAAAGACTGGACACAAATAATTTTGAAGTTTGGTATGTGGATCTTCGGTAAAAATAGTTGAGTAGCCCTGGCCTAGTGCAGACATGGGCAAAGTACGACCCGCGGGCCAAATCCAGCTCGTTGGGTAATTCAATCTGGCTCGCCTGATGCTGCCACAACTAAACTGAAATCAAATTTTGATGTTCAAGCTAAAATAGCTCCAGAAATTTGTTAAGATTGCGGTTAAATTTTATTTTGGCAGGAGTCTTATTGTTTTCCACTTTTGCTTTTGTAACACTGAAAATATTGTTCATAAAATGTAATTTTTTACATCACACTTACATGGCCCGCCAGTCTGAGTGGGCCAAATTTTTGGGCCCTGGTACGAAAACCTTGCCTACCCCTGGTCTAGTGATTAGGGTAGTGGTTTCCCACCTCCTATGGCTTGTAGCCCCCTTCCAGAGGTTTTCTGCACTCATGGAATGAGATTTCAAGATTGGAATTTAGAAAAGGTTGGATCCTATTACGAGTTCGGGGACTAGCCAAGTGGCAAGTATTTGTACCTGAAATTATGGCCCAACCCTAACCTGGTACACATACTACCTTCCGATGTCCGCCATCTTGGTTCACATACTTCGGGAGTACCACGCTTTGTGGTGGACCAGTGGAACACGCAAGGATTCCAGGTTCAATTACCCAGCCCAAGTCCACCTCATGGGGTGTAATAAATTGAATAGATAGGACTCATTGTGGTTCTATTAAAAAATTGCAGCCTTTTATGTGGAGTTGCTTGATTAAAGCCTTAAGTTAAATTAAAATACAGTCCACATGCTCGTGCTCACATATGGGACGCTTGTACCCTTTGCTGTCCAAATCACAGATTTGAGGTGTTAATATCGCTCTTAACTTTAGAAAGGTATTGATAGATAATTATTGAGTTAGCATTTTCTGTGAGAAACTTCATTTTTAAAGCCTAATCTAACAACCATTTGATCATTTTAAAATATCAAAAATAATACATCTCAGATCAATTCAAACACGCATGATCTAATAGCGTATTTCTCACTATCAATGTCCGAACCGTAATGAAAACAACAATCCAACCTTATTAACATAAAATGAGGCCGATCTCTGTAGTTTTTTCTTGTCTTTTTCTTTCTCCTCCCCGCCGACACTCACAGGTCGAGTCAAGTTCATTGTGACTCGAATGAAGCCTCTGAACGTTTCACCGTCTTCTTGCTGTTATTAAAAAATAAAAAAATAAAATAAATTCATCAGCGCAGCGGTTCACTATGCGACATGAAATTGTGATTGAGACGTAAAATATAAATCCATTTCCTAAAAATTCATATCTGACCTGCCTATGTTCAGAACTGCATGGCGGCTGGCTATATTGGACATTCAACCACTTTCATGAGCACAGAAATAAGCTCACATGTGGCATTTGAACAGATGTGCACAGTTTTTCTTAAATTATAATAATAACTTTGAAAAATTGAAGTTGCAGGCACAAAACTTCTGGTACAGGGAGTCCTCGGGTTACGACGGCCGCGACTTACGCTGTTTCGAGGTTACGAACGCGCACTTTATAACGCTGTTTCGAGGTTACGAACGCATTTCATGAAAATATTAAAGATAATACTGTACTGTAATATCTAAGCCCTTAAACTGGATCATTGTGATCACGAAAATCAGTGCTTTGGGGCCATTGGTTTTCGTCATTTACATTGTACGATACTTTACAATACAGTACGATATGTATAGAGTAATTAATGGGGGCTCCCGAAGTATGCGAACCAAGATGGCGGACATCGGAATGTAATATGTGTACTAGGTTAAGGTTAGGCCATAATTTTAGGTATAAATACTACGGGAGGCTCTTGGCTAGTCTTCGAACTAATAATAGAACTAAAATAAGGAAAATTGGAAAAAAATTATCGCCTAACCCTAACCTGTTACCCATGTTACGTTCCGATGTCCGCCATCTTGGTTCGCATACTTCGGGAGCCCCCATTAATTACTGTACAGTATTATGTTCCGACTTACACTAAAATTCGGGTTACACCGCTTCTCAAGAACGGAACTGCGTCGTAAGTCGAGGACTCCCTGTATAGGTTTTGCAGAGCAGAAGGATTGGAATTACTTGCACGTACCAGATTAAACTAAATTGAAAACTTGCTTCACAAACCATTCAAATTGGCCCTTCTCTGCGGGCCACATAATTTTACTGAGTGGGCCACGGGGGCAGGTTGCACATCCATGATTTAAGAAATAGTCTGCACTTACCAGCGTCATTTGTTGAGTGCTCTTGACAGTCTTATTAAACTTCTCAATTCTTTCTTTTATTTCTCCAATCGGCATAACTCGATGAATCGTGTTGTATTCTTTTAATGTCGACTAAAAAAAAAATATCAAGTTTATTTTTTGTATTGTGTTTAAACAACAAGGCAGAAGAACAAATGCAGAATAGATGTAATAAACCAGCTTCGAGTGATTTTAGATATCCCACAACAGGGGTGCAATATTTTTTGTCAGTAGGCCATAATAATCAACTTCAGACATCTAGATGAGCCACACAAAAAATTTAGTGGGAAAGTCAAGAGAATGGAATGCGGCTATCGCCTAGCTTAGATAGAGTATTATATGCACAGAATTGACGAAAGATTCAACCGGCGACAGGAGCAAATAAACATTAGGACCTCCAGAAGCATGCGCACCAAGATGGCGCACAACCTGAACACAGTATGTGTGTACCGGTTAGGATTCAGGTTGTGCGACAAACATTATGTATTCCATGTGAGTGGCATTTCAAACATAAACTTGGGAATAGGATTTTATGCTTGAAGAAAAAAAGTTTGAGTTTTGACAAGGGTCACCCTAAATGGCTTGTCGGGAAGGGTTGTGGCCCGTGGACCGCCTGTTGCACACTCTTGTTCTACAGCGTCACAAGATAAATGCATCCTTTTTTATATCTGAAATTCAGATGTGTCAAATTAAACTATTCTGAATTTTTACGAAAGTTTCAATTCCATTTCCATTGTATTCAAATATAAAATTCACTATGGAGAACCATGTCATTCTAAAAAAATTTCTTGCCATACGGAACCCCAACCAACAAACCGGTAAATTTCTCGCCCTACATATAAAATTGGCTTATTTAGGACACAGATATGGAAATTTGTTTGCAATCAACCAACCTCATCTTTTGTCTCTTCCACAATAGTTTTGTACCAGGTTGGATCGACCTGAGATGCAGCTCTTATTTCATCAGCTTCACACGTTAGTGAGACTGTTGATGCACACTTCCCATGGCAGACCATCATGCATTCTGTGAACAAAGGCACAAATAAGAAGCCATTGCACGAATCATTATAACCTTCAAGAAACTGAACCCTGGTAAATCGAAACAAATTCTAGAGCAGTGGTTGTCAAGCGGTGGGGCGCACCCCACAAAAGAGGGAAATTTTTTTTTGACGGGTCGTGGAATTATTTAAAATTATTTGTTAGATCTGATCTTGCCTGCCTTTTTTTATATATTTACATTTCTTTATTTTGGATATTTACGTTCCCTCCACGTATTTTCAATGTGTTGTCTGAATAAAACATTCCCAATTGTTAGCTAGTTATTTTTGAGGTAGGGCACGAGACTTCGAAACAAATTCTAAAAAGTAAGAGAACCACTGAACTAGACAGCTCAGAGCAAGCAACCACAAATTTTTATATGTGCGCAAAATTTTACACATCACTTACTTTTGCATTTCACACATTTCCCAAACAACGATAAAATGATACTTCCGCAGGCATCGCACCAGTTTACCCAGTCTGTTAACTCATGCGGAACGAAATCGTGGCCTTTCTTCAGCGGTTTTACTGTCTTCGATACCGGCATTACATGAGCTCGAGATCTCCTAGGAGGAGCTGAATAAGGAAAAAAAATAGTTAGTTGTGAACAGTGACCTGATGGTTGATGCATCATGAAAAGTATCGGGAACATGTTTGTTTCTGCAGGAGTGTGCAACCTGCGGCCTGCAAGGAAAAATTGTGTGGCGTGCAGAGAAGTGCGGATTTTGAATGCCGAGAAACGAGTTTTTGATTTTGTTTAATCATTTTTTTTTCAGAAATTTATGCGTCATAACTCATCATTCCCAAAAGGATTCCTAACAATACCACAAGATCAATAACAAAAAAATGGTGCTCCCGAAGTATGCGAACCAAGATGGCGGACATCGGAACGTAACATGGGTAACAGGTTAGGGTTAGGCGATAATTTTTTTCCAATTTTCCTTATTTTAGTCCTATTATCAGTTCGAAGACTAGCCAAGAGCCTTCGTAGTATTTATACCTAAAATTATGGCCTAACCCTAACCTAGTACACATATTACATTCCGATGTCCGCCATCTTGGTTCGCATACTTCGGGAGCCCCAAAAAAATACTATATTTTGTGCCTGCACTGTACCCGGGCCCTGATGTAATAAAGGTCGCACAACCCTGGTTTAAATAATCATTGGTTGGTTAATCCACCAGTCAATTTCAAGCATGCGGAACAATATATTCGCTAAGTTTATGCATGGTAATATTGTATGTTTTGATTTTAGCAAATTCCTTTGTCGAGTGTAAATCAATTTAGTTTATCTAGTATATCTGCATTGGTATTTACATTCAGGTAAGAGCCTTAGCCTGTATCTACACTAACAAATCAATAAAACCAACACTTACCTAACAGTTTTTCATCTTCATTGGGAGATTTCGCTGTGTCAGCAATTTTTTTCGTCTCCAAAGTAGCGTCATTTTTTTCTAATTTCGGCAAAACAACGTTTTCACCAGATTTATACGAAACAGCTGAATTGCTGTTGACCTTTGGCTTTTCATGCATGACTGGCTTCTTAGCTGGGGCGTCTTTCGCTTCTTTTGTAGAAGGAGTTGAAGTAGAACGTGCACGAGGGTTTTCTTTTGGAATATCTTTCGTCCTGTAGAAATATTGAACATTGCATTTTATGACGCTCCAGAAGTGTGTGTACAAATATGGAGGTAACTTATTTTGTTCGCCTATTTTACATCAAGTTGTGTAAGAGAACTGAAACCTATGGACAGGGGGTATATTCACTTGGCTAACACAGATAGTCCACGTACTCCTAATAGAACTAAAATAAGAAAAATCGGAAATAAAATTATGGCCTAACCCGGGACACTACGGGAGTAGCCATTTTTCGTACATCGCAAAATATTCACAGTATATTCAGAACATTGTGTAAATTTTTTTGGTGCTCCCGAAGTATGCAAACCAAGATGGCGGACATCGGAACGTAACATGGGTAACAGGTTAGGGTTAGGCGATAAATTTTTTCCTTATTTTAGTCCTATTATCAGTTCGAAGACTAGCCAAGAGCCTCCCGTAGTATTTATAGCTAAAATTATGGCCTAACCCTAACCTAGTACACATATTACATTCCAATGTCCGCCATCTTGGTTCGCATACTTCGGGAGCTCCATTTTTTTTATGGTGCCCTCTGGTACAGCGTTTTGCAATGGAACAGGAAATATTTTCGTGAAAATATCAATGAATTTTCATTTTACATTAGGCACTGTTTTTTAGTGATATTTAGTCATACATGATTGCTATAAATATTAAGAGTGCAGACTTTTCCGCACAATTGACACCCCCCTCAAAAATTTCCTTTTTCAACTACTTTACATTTATAATTTCTATCAAAAATTCCTACCTACGTAAAGAACGCAGCATCGTAGAAAAGAAACTGAAAAGAAAAGAAAGAATAAGAACAAAGAATGAAAAGCAGAGAAAATAGAGAAAAGGTGCCGGCAGAAGAAGTTGAGACAAGCATAGAAACAACATAATTTTTACAATAGAGTAGTAAGAAGAGAATGAAAAGGCCAGAATAGATAAGATGTGACGACGAAAGCTTTGGAACATAAAGCACAGAGCCGTGTAGGAGGTATAGAGAAGCAGGAGCATTTTGCGGTATAAATTTTTAAATATCATTTCGTTTAAGAGCAATCAATTTTAATTTTAGATTCAAACTCGACTTACATGTGAGGATATACGATAGATAATTAAGATTAGTAAAAGTGAAATGGTGATGCAAAATTGTAATTACCTACTTCCATGCTAAAATAAAACTAAGATACACAGGTGTGATCTGGTTTAACAGTGTTCCAATTATATTCACAAATTAACTTTGTCTAATTCTAATCCTGATATTCGCTTAGTTTGAGTTTCATTGCGAGCCACAAAATGGCACAATGGGGGTCGCAGTTAAATGTTTTTTGACACTAACTTATATTAAAACAAGTGGGCGTGAAAGGGCATAATCGGGCTGGTAAAACATTTTCGAAACTAACTCATGTTAAAATAAAATATTTATCCAAAATTTTTAACCAGTACAGTAACCTACTATCAACAGAATAGAGCCAAGCTGTGTTCTTTTGCGCGGTCTCATTGAAGGCATTGTCAATTTTAGTAGTTTTTTTCTAGATATTTTCCTGTTTCATAAGTTTTACTTTATTTGGGAGTTGCAAAAAGATTCGGCCATGCAAAATGGTGATAAAAGTGTAAATAACACTGTCATAGTTTATAAATCAAGAATAGAATGTTCTTGCGAATTCAAAACCTTGTTCATAATGAAAAACGTATAAAAATAAACATAAAAATATGTGAATATAACTCACTGTGGATGTGGCGTAGAACTGTTGTTATTAGTAACTGAGGATGCAGCCCTCGCCCTATTCTTTGCATTAATGGCTGAAGGTTTAAGTCCCGGTGTATTGCTCACGTTGGAATTGTTCGGTTTCGTTCCGGAATTCGCAGGCCCAGAGTTATTGACTCGGCGGGCCGCTGAAGCACTTGTCGGCCTCCGATATTTATTTGCCTCTCTGTAAAAATGAGTTTTTAATAGAAAATATGAAATTTTATGTGCATTAATTAATAGGAACCAGGGGCATACTCAGAGGGGGGAGGGGTCAGAACCCCCCACTTTTCCGCTCAAATCTGCTAGCTGTTACGGTCTAACTTGAGAATTGAAAATTTCGGACCCCCCCCCCATCTTGAAAATTCCTGGAACGCCCTTTATAGAAACATAAATTTTTTTATGTCCACCACCTTATACGGTGAAATATGATCGAGTATGCAGTGCAGAACCAGGAAGATATTGATCTTTTAAAATTGCAGCTCCTGACCATGGGCGTAGCCAAGGGGGATTACGGGTTACCCCCCCCCCCCCCTTTGAAATGTAAAAAAAATAAATGCATCTTTCTGTATCATACTAAATTTTTTATGTGGCCCAGCTAGATGTCTGAAGTTGGTGATACGGACCAATGACAAAAAATGTTTCACACCCCTGGTCTAAATCATAATTATATTCATCATCAAATTTTTTGTTGCAATTAATTAAAGGTCAGAATAATGATATATGTCGATATTTGGATATAGACTCTATGAAATCTTGCCAAACTATATTTTATATAAAAATTAAATCCATAAAGAAAAACTTCAATAACTAATATGAATTAAAGAGAACGGTACAAAAAATTTAAGGAACACATATACCTGGAATACCACCAAACAGGGCATACCAGAGCGTAGCACTAAGCAAAAGTGAGTACGGTTTCAATACCAAAAATGACTCAATAGGGCTATTCATAACATAGTAATATTATATTGTCATTAAACCCAGCATGAACACTTGTTAATATTTTCGTTTCCTGATATTTCAAATTAATCTTCTGTCAAACACAAATACCATAATACTATTGACATTCAGAACAGTGTTCACTTAAGCTATTTTTAATATAATAAGTCTTGAGTATAAATTATGACAAACCTATAGGGGAACACGCATTGTATGCTATGACATTTTAAAATAGTAATGACTTTGAAATTAGTGTTCACTTTTACAAAACCAAATGTTTATTTATATAGTTTTGCATACAGGAACACTGTTTTTATTTCATAACTTTCAATATCAGTATTGCTTATTTGTCTTTTCAAATAGTGTTCAATTATATGATGAATTAACAGCAAAATCAAGTTTAGATTTAGCAAAATTGCTTATGGAAATACTATTTTCGCCAATACCTCTAAAGTGCACTCTTGATAACAATATTTCAATAACAATACTAGAAGAACTTGGATATTGTGTATTGAACTGCAGGTCCTTTCTCCTCGTTTACTTTCTACTTTGGATCCGTATGTGGTACTCACCACAAGGATGCTTGAACGATATAGTATTAAAGTGATAAGTAAAAATAACATGATCTCTTTTAACGAAATAGTAAGTATATTTGTGAGCTTTCGTTAGATCATGGTCTAACTTCTTCAAACAATACAAGATATAACTTAATCAAATAGCGAATCATTATTCGCTAACCATGATCTAACGAAAGCTCACAAATATACTTACTATTTCGTTGAAAGAGATCATGTTATTTTTACTTATCAATAACAATAGTTGAGATATTCATTGAAGTTTGGTATTTACATTTACATTATAGTTTTGAGTTATACAATAACTTGAAAATCCTTTACTCAGTATAATTCTAAACAAAGCTAACGTAATAGAAACAATATAACATATTACACCCAACTTTTAAAGCATTTTTGGAGCCTTTTTTGTGAGGTTTAGACAAGAGGTTGACTTGTGGCCCCCTTCTGAAGGCTTTTAGTATTGCAGTAGTATTTATAGTGTTATTGGACATGTTTAGTGGCCATAACGATCGTTTCAAAATTTTGTTGTTCTTGTTCTTTGACACGTTTTTAAAAAGCGCTTTTCCCTTCTAATACTGGACCAATTGCTTTGAAATTTTTAGTGGTTAAAGATAACATTTTTCTCCAGAAGGCTATTACTTTTTCTTTCGCTATGACGTCATCAAAATTATTGCCTTTGGGTGGCGCTACGTGTCCATATATTTGAGCATAGCTCTCTTGTTTTTATTGTTAGATTCCAATCACATTAGGTTTAAACAATTCATTCCCAATCGAGGTAACTAAATACCCTTAAAGCTATGAACCAAAGGGAGTTTTTTTGCAAAAGTAAAATCAGTTTAGCACCTATCATTGTGGTCCCTAGTTTGGGAATCTCTGGCTTCTACTTTTTGTAAAGTGCTTAAACGTACCTTCCGCTCTAAAAAGACCAAGTACATGCAGATACCTATCAATATGTGAGAAGCTAATCTTACCAGATTTATCTTGCCCACTCAATTGATTACACACTAGGTGAGAGTCTGTAATCCAGTGGTTTCTAAACCGCGGCTCGCAAGCCAATTAAGGCCCGTAACGGTTTAATATGGCTCGCCAAACTTGAAACAGTTTAAAACCCTTTGCAAGCACTCCTCTCTTGTGACCCGCGAATATCCTTCCACTTCTAATTCAGGCCACTGATTAATCAATTTTGGGGACCACTGGTTTTGGGGACCACATCAATCGGAACTCAATATATTTAACTGCCACCCAACATAGTGAGTTAAACTCCCTAATCTTCAGGCCATTCATTACCTTGGTTTCAAAGTCCTCAGTTCAATAGATTCAAATCTTACTTTCTTTGGCGGCATTCACATTATATTGATTTAAAATACTATAATAAAATTAAGTCTAAAACAAATAAGAAAAAATCAGGGTTTCTATAGCGGGATGTTACCTACCCAAATGCAGTCTGAGGTCTGATTAGGGTTACAAATTCAGTATTTATCACATCTATTAGAGATGTAAAATGCAGCTCGCAGGCCGACCTCCTATTATGTTAGCACCAAAAAATGGCTCAACAATAAAATTAATGTTTTTTAACCATGAATGATGCCTCGACCTCTTCGAGATTAGCAAGATATAACATTTAGAGGGATATCTGTATGCGAGATGATTGAACTACTGGTCGTGAGCGAGAACCTAGACTAGAGTAAAAGGTTGGCAAGTGAGTACGAACTTTAGGGAGAATAATTACTTGCTAGAGGACAGGACTCATCACAATGTGGTTCATAAGTTATTCAATAATATCAAAGATTGCCTCAACCTTCATGCAATATCATAGCATTCACAGGCTGTGAAGTAGTGCATATGCTGGACCTGCATGGACTCTTAAGTAAAAACCTTTGGGGGATAATTATATGCAAGAGAATTTCAGAACTTCTCTTAATTTCAAATTTGAAAACTTTGAAAAATTTATTTTGGCAACAGATAACTGAAAAATCATTGTTTTTATAATAAAGCTTCACAAACAGGATTAATTAATCAAAGACTGATTTGTTATTTAATCATGAAAAGTACCGGTAATATTAAATAATGATCAGGATGATTAAACATTCAATAGGCGTTAATAATCATGTGAGAAAGTTAATAATTAATTAATCTTTAGTGAAGGGCCACAAGCACCCATTGGTAACAAAATGCTCGTTAAATCATCCTTTTTTTCTAATATATAAGGAATGAGGAACACGATACTCTGAATCCCCTAGATTTTCATTCCATTTGCACACTAGGTATGACGTTAATAAAGACATTATCTGTTTATTTATAGTACCGTAATTCTCTTGGGATGACCTATTGGTATTTAAAACAGCTAGCTAGTAATGTTGATAAACGAGATCCAAATAAAATTTATAGATAATTTCGAAAACAAATAACTGGCTAACTAATCCCATACCCGACATGGACTGGTAACCGGACAAGAGGCTGTGATTGACGATATGATTAAACCGTCTTTTCTATCCCAGGACAAATATGTAAATCCTATTCTATCTATCACATTCAACTGTTTCACTGAGAAAGTTTTTGAGTAAAATTGTTAAAGAGCCTAAGAATAAATTAATCTGAGTGAATGAAACCCTATCAGCTGCAGATACACTGCATTGCGCCAAGTACATCTATTTGAAATGAAATACCTGTAGCAGACAATCAGTCACTTCGTGTTTAGGGCTGGGCAAAATATTCGAATACCGAATAGCGAATCGAATATTAAATTATTCGAATATCGGGTACCACATGATCTCCGCCGCTTCACTTGGACACAGGACGTCTCTGAACCGATCGTGAATTGCGCAAGAATTCACCTACAACGCTCGCTAACAGACAAAAGCAACAAATTAGAAAAAATCGTCCTTGCGTCGTGGTGTTATTTGTTTTCTTCGCGTTTCAGTCGGTCGTTTCAATTCCCTATTTTGCAAAAAAGGTACCGACACCGTTCCCTAAATTTAGAAACGTCAAATCAGATGAGGTATTTAAAATAAATATCCCAGATATTAAACTCCGTATGATTGGCGGCACATGACTATCCGTTTCGTGAACCAAACACAAATTTGTTTAACGAAAATCAAAATAAATTACTTTCGCATGAAACCATACACGAACAAGCCATGACCAGAAAAGTAATGACAGGATATAGTTCTTTAAATGTATTTTCAAATAATTCTTTAGTGATCCCTTTCATTCTTGACCAAGTAATGTTTCGAAAATGTAAACATTTCACTCGGGCATGCATGGCAGGTGGAGTGTAGAAATCGTAAACAGGAGTATAACGTAAAATCAATTGTGAATTTCGATGTAACAACGCGCACTGTCTCGTTTACAAATTGTTGTATCGTCGGAAATTATTACATTTGTTATATTTTGAGCATTTTTGCACTAATAAATAGGGTGTTACATTATCAAAATTGTCAAGAGAAGTAAAAGTGAATTTGCAAATTCCGTAAATAAAATTGTGAATTACTCGGTAACGATATTAGCTATAATGATCGCGGGGTTTGTTGAAAGAAAACGTCGGAATTTGAAAGAGTTAGTTATAATTAGCGCCTGGCCATCTATTAGGCACAAATGCTCAATTTTTTTCAGCATCAGATCTTATATGTAAATTATTATTCAAGAAGCGCTTTCTATTACCGTCATCTCGTCTCAGAAATGCCTTTATTGCCGAATTATTTAGTCACTATTTTTAATCAACATTCGGAATTGACGCAATCGCAGCCTTGCCAGGTTTATCTGTAAAGTAACATAGACACCATAGAAAAGAATAGCAAAGTTCATTACGGTCTTAAAATAAATATCTACGGTACATCCCGGTATCGATAATAATATTACCGTTCGCTTAATATTGTGACGATAAATTTACAAACATTGATAAGGAATTAATACTTGCAAAAAACAGAAAGGGCTGTAATATAGATTATTTATCGCCACAAAAACGGTCACGGTGACTAAAACAATCAGCGATTATGACGAAATTAAACCTGAAAAAAACGCTTTGTAGCCGATTTTTCAATGTCTTTATTAATTTCCAAAGGGAGTATCTACTGAAGTTCTGGACCTCCTGCTGTGTATAAAAAATATTTGTTATTCGACTATTTGGTATTCGTTAAAAATATTCGAATTATTCGATTCGAAAAAAATATTCGATTTTGCCCACCCCTATTCGTGTTACAAGTATTCACAGAAACTGTCGGTTGACGGTTGTATCAAAATTTCTAAACTTCAGACCACGTTGTGTAAATTATTCAAAAACTGGGTAAAATAAATCCAGCCTAATAAAATCCAATGATCTTTTGCCATAAAAAACACAAAAAATTACTCAACTTTAAAAATTGATGAAATTCAACAGTTGCTTGGAATGGCCCATATGCTATGAGTTTTGGAGAAAAATAAAAGAACCAATGCAATCATTTTCTATATTAATATTCCAAATCAAAACTCAATAACCATAAAATGACTTCCATATGGTCCAAATATTTTAAATTGATTTCTAAATCAATTCCAAAATAATTTATATTTGTGAAATAGGTACTCTTTATCCATCCGAAGGCACTTTTGAAAGTATATATCGACTAATTTTGAATGTATTTGAATATACAAACTGTTTTTGACATCCTTGTAGCAAAAACTCAATAATTTTAAATTTCATAGGCTCACCCTATCAAGCAAAATATTCCCATACAAAATATTCCTTATAAAATACTTTATTCAAATATAACTAAGTCAAGTTGTATCTGAATATGCTATATTATGTTTTGGACATCTCTGGCACTGAATAATTTAATAAAACTTTACTATGCCCCCTCCCATATGGGAAAATCTCCATACACAGCAACAATTGTCTATACAAGGCTTTATATCTAACCTGCATATCTATATTGCAAAAAAATATTCCAAATTTTACAAGCATGAGTCAAGAAATATTTCCACTGCAAAAATTTTTAGCACTACATTATTAAAGTCATACTACATTTGGAAACCCGATATTCATTATTGGTAAATCCTTATGTTGTACTTCACTCGTCCATCTATACAACACACTATCTAAAGAAAGTTTTGAAAGTAAAACTGCCGAACCTTAAGAAGAAGCTATGAATAGACTGATCAATAGTTTCATGCGACATATAAATTACAGTGACACGATATCTGATGCCAAAAATGACACAAATGTCAGTGTGCTGTAAGGGATGTTTAATTACAAATTGCAGACAGTTGGGAGCATGGAGTATTAAAATCTGGAAAAGTGAAAAAAATTTGTATAGCACATGGAGAAACACAGCGCCATTTTACAGACAAATTTTGCATTTTGTGCAAGTATCACAGAATTAATAATAAATTTCACTATCAGTATGTAATATTACAATGAATATCGAAATTTCTAGAATAAACGTACAATATTCGAAGTAAAATTTATGGCATCTAAATGCTAGGATATCACAGACATGTCATAAAACTTGATGAATGTTAAATTCAGTATACTTAAAATAAAATAAAGAATTATTAATTTTTAAGTTGCTTGATATGAGTGAAATTTAACTTTTTTTGCAAAATAAATGCCAATAAAATTCAGGGATCTTTTGCAATTGAAAACACAAAACAATTAATCTCGCTACGAAGAAATTTATGAAGTTTAACAGTTGCTTGGAATAGACATATGTTGTATATATGTTAAATACAGCATGTCTATAAGCAGGGATTCCATACCGTCCTTATTTCTAAGATTTGTCATTATTTTTGACTTATTTTTCGATTGCATCCTTATTTTTAGCTTCCGTGTCCTTATTTTGTCTTATTTGGATTTCATCAAGGAAGCTTTGTTGTTTGTTTAATCTCGAGAGTTTTATTGTGGCATCATAAAAGCAACACAATCTTATTTGGAACACAAAGAAGCAATGCACAGATAAGCATGAAGTATTGTTAGTGTGGCAATCCTTAGGTTTTGTCGTGATGGTGGTTATTTTAGCCTAAATTTAAAAATGAGCAAACGTAAGAACGTTTTTCGTGATGAGTGCGGGAAAGAATTCAAAGCTAAACGAAGCTTGAAGGGTGATTGCTTTGCACACTGTGACATCTGTAATTGTGACATTAACCTGGAGACCATAGGAAAACCAGCTACTTCTGCTCACAATGCAGAAATATTTCCAGTCGTCCTTATTTTGGGTTCCAGATCAATGGAATCCTTGTCTATGAAAGATGTATTCACTTGGCTAACACAGACAGTCCCTTAATTCTAATAGAACTGAGGAATCAAATTATGGCCTAACCCTAACCTGGTACACACACTACGGGAGTACTGAATTCAGTATACTCAAAAGGAATCAAATTAAAGAATTATTGAATTTTAAGTTGTTTCATATGGACACATATTTTGCATATAATGTGTTAAATACAGTCTGTCTATAAGAGATGAGATAGGCAAACCAGTTCAACATCCAAACAAGTACAATTATGAACAAGAAGATATTATATATGTTTGTATGTTAAATATGGAAGCCTTCAAAGAATATAATGTGCAAGATTTCAAATTAAATTGCCAAACTCAACAATATGCATCCATGCATCTGAAAACAAAATAACTAGCTACCTAATCCCATACCTGACATGGACAGGTAACTGAACGAGAGGCCAAGCTTTGCCATATAATCAAGTTGTATTAACATCTTTCCTATCCTCCAAGATAAATATGTAAATCCTATATGGGCATATATCCATATTATACATGGTATGAATGGTTTTTTTATTACAAAAAGGCAACTCCACACTTTCTGATGAGTAATTTTCCATTCAATAAAGTACAAAGCACAACCTTAGAAATGACTAAATGTTTCGAATGACTCATAGCTTGATGTTCAATTGAATATTAGAGTATAGCGAAATGCCACATATTGTTGAAAATAAAAAGTACAAGTACATTCTAATCTTCAATTATGACAGTGGTGCCCAATTTTTATGCCTTCCGAAGGCTTTTAGCACTCATGGCCCCTGTTTATCATTCCAACAGTATTTATAGTTATTTTGACTGGTAGATCACAAATCCTGTTATGTTTGAAAAATTCATGGCTCAACAAAGTGAAAACATCCTGTGAAATTTCCTTATTGAGCAATGAAACTAGGAAGAACAGGGAGTTTTTTTGTGAAGTGAAAAGTTAAAACAGTTTTGCGCCTAGCGCCTGCTCTGTGGCCCCTTCGGAGCCCATTATCCCCCGATTGAGAACGGCTGGATTATAGAATAACGAACATTAGAGATAACCAAAACGAAATAATTTATTGTTCCCCATACATTCTGAAATTATATTTACAGATATGAAACAACAGGAATAGCCTAAACCGAATAATTCACAATATTATTTTAGCAATCCCAAGTGATTGAAGAGTCTTGCTGCACACTAACACAAATATATTTCTGTAATGATTCGTCAGACCAGGGTCAGATTTACTCAGGCATACATAGTTCAACTATCCAGAATTGCCATGGCGTATTATAATAATGCTGTCTGGCACTAGACTTATAAACTTTTACAATAGTGTCTTGGCATGAAACTTGAAGCTTTTCTACTTTCAACTATCAGTAAATAAGCTTGATGAAAGGCAATTTAACATAACAGAAGTTTTAAAGAATATTTTGGTGTAGAGATTTCTGCAACAAGCAGAATACATTTCATTTAAGGCGGTGGTTCCCAAACCATGGCCAGTGGGCGCATTACGGCCCGCGTAATAATTTAATATGGCCCGCAGAACTTGAGTAAAACGCTTTTTTTTGTTCTAAATACCGACAATTGTTACGTCATTATCAAAGTTAAACATAAGTATATTCGTAACAATTTTAATCATAGGGATAACTCAATTATACCCCCTTGCGCACACTCCTCTCTCCTGCCCACGAATACCCCTTCGCTTCCAATTTCAGGCCGGTCTATCAACTTTGGGAATCACTGATTTAAGGAGAGAGAAATACTAAGTGCTAATCAACTGAATCTACAAACAATAAGATTTTGGAGGGAATGAGGATCAAGCACACAAGCTAAGGCAAATAAGGACAGATTTAAATTTATTTGCTGTGCTACTCACTTGTTTGAAGATGCAGGGGTAATTTTAGGTCGTTGCCATGGTGTTGGAGGTTTCGAATTTGCTGCTGATGTTGGTCTGGAGGGAGGAGACCTAAAAATTATAGGAAAATCAATTATTTCACAAATGCTGTTTTCCCTGGCAAATAGAGTAACTGGTTCACAAAAAATTTTGATTTTTAACTCTGGATTAAAGTGATTTTTGACTCTAAATAAAAATTGAACACAAAAATACTGATCGATGCAAACATTCTTAGTTATCACTAGAGCAGGGGTTCCCAAGCTTTATTCAGGACGACCCCAAACACAACTTTCAAGTGTCCAGTGTGACCCCAAGTCAATGTATATATTTTCCATGAAACTTTAGAGCTTCTTTTACTGGACTTTGAGTTTGCTCATGTGGTGGTATTAAGTAAAATAAGCTACAACAAAACAGTGATGTCACAATAAGCATAGAGCGATGCCTATGGGCCTGTTTTACAGTAAGCCATGCTACAAACTGCTAAATTTAACATGGTTTGTCAAATCCTAGATGGTTTGTACATCCATCCTCTACCATACCTCAGCGACCCCACCTACCCCATAACCTGTTTGCAATCCTATCTACTTACCACTCCGACACAATTTGGGGTCGCGACCCCTGGTTTGGGAACCCCTGCACTAGAGGAAACTAACTCCCAATTCTTCCTCAATGCTTTTGCGCTAGTGGATCCGTGTGCACTAGCGGATGCTGTGGCAGGAATAAACAAGACCATACTATGCAATTCGAGAGTCCTGCTGTACACTAACGCAAATGTATTTCTGTAACGTTTCGTCCGACCAAATTCAGACTTCCTCAGACAAGCAGTTCACAACAGTGACAACAAATATTAATACAAAAACAACAAAATGGGGCTGTATGTTAAACGAAAACAAAGTGCAATTTCATAAAGTCGCCAATGGATTTATCTAGGAAAAAATAATCTGATTCAGCTCAGCAAGTACTGTATGTTTTCATATAATAATATATCAGGCTTGCATCAAAGAAGAGATGCTATCCTGCATACAGGGTACTAAAGTAGATCAAACTATTATATACGGTGAGGCACAGGTGTCTGATTCCAAGAATAGTCCCATATTGAAAGACATCAATTATAACCGTGATTGCAAACCTCTATTTTACGAGACAGTCTGAGCCTCCAATTCTGCGAAAATTGACAAACCGGCATCGAGCAACAAACTAAAATAAAGTGCAACCTAAAAATGTTACCATTGGATCTACAGAAAAAAATAATCGAATTTGATGAAGGAAAATACAATTTACCATAGCATTCGAGAGTTTTTAGCAAAAAAATGCAGTCTTTGTCATGTCGACGACGGCATGATGCAATTAATTTAGGATTATTATTGAGACAAGCATGGTGCTATCTGACGCATCTGCTGTCGTGCCAGATGCCTTCGTTTCAGAGACAAATTGAGTGTTCTTTTTATTGAACTGGAAGTCGAGACACCCTGGACCCGGAGTACTGTGCAATACTGTTATACATAATCTTCAATCTTTGGGCAAAATTATACTTACTTTACATCCCCATTCTTTGATGCACTATATGGTGACACGACATTGCTTTGCCTTGGCTGCGGTACTGCACGCCCCACTGGTTTTTCGTTTACTTTCTTTGCACCAGAGGCATTTTTAACAATTTCTTCTGTCCGTCGCCGTAATTGTTTCTTTTCAATCGTTGAGAATGGTTTATTACTCATATTAACACATTACCAATTAATTTAAAACCTAATTTGTAATTAAATTGGCAGTGAATGTTGTGATACATGTAAGACCATTTCAAAAATACATTTACATACAAACATATAAGATGGGAATTACATATTTATCCAGAGGGCAGTATGACACACTATACAAATCGGGTGACATTGTCCCGTTTCAGAGAAACTCATTTTACAGATGATCAGACACCCCTCCTTCGGGAGACGTCTGGGCATTGTTGTCCCTCAATATCTGTAATGAGACAGTATAATGAAACTGTGCAAAATACTACAAAAAAGTGCAATCTAGTAACATCATCATTGGATTCCTTGGGAAAAAATATACCGATTTACCAAAGGAATAAAAAAATTTAACCGAAGCATTCGAGAGTTTTTAGCAAAAAACGTCAATTTTGGTCATGTGACAGCCGCGATTAATTTAGATTATTATTGAGACAAGCATGGCGCGATATGGAGCATCTGACGTGGTTCCAGACGCCCCTCGTTTGTGAGACACATGGAGTGTTTGTTTTATTGAGCCAAATGGAGGGAAATTCTTAGAATTTGGATAGTGTGCTGTACTGATATAACTCAACTTAATAAAAAAAAGTTAAAAACGTACAAGTACATGCCCATCCACCAAAAACAGTCAAAACACAATAAAACAAAAACGCGATATAAAATAGGGCAATACTTTTAAATTAAATTTAAAATGTGAGACGTGTATGTGTAACACAACAGTGCTTTTCCTACAAAACTATGGAATAAAAACACTCGCTGACGTAAAATGGTGATGCTGTAGGCTAGTTCAATTTCATTGCAAAAATAACACAGTGGATAGGATAGGATTTACATATTTATCCCGGGGGAGAGGAAAATCGATAAGACGGCTTATCCATATGGCGAACCACGGCCTCTCGTTTGGTTACCATTCCAAGTAGGGTATGGGATTAGTTATATTGTTTGTTTTTTCGGAAGCATGGACTTAATGGTGGAGGAAGCCGTAATCGACCAGTGGTTACGTGAACCACCCAACGACGGCGAGGAGTCCAGCAATCCTCTCGCACATAACCATCCCTGCATGGGATTCGAACCTGCGAACCCACCCAGAGTAATTAGAGGTGCGGTGGCGAGCGTATACCTAATGCTTAGCCCGTTGAGCCACACCATCGCGCCAAAGTGGCAGTGATAAAAAATTGTTACTAAACAAGAGAGCTACGCACAAATATATGGACACGTTAGACCAGAGCGAATCAGTCCTTACCGGTGCCTTTGACGCTACCGGTACCCTCAAAAAAGTTCTGAATTTCCAGTTGCAAGAATTTTGCAGAATCAAAACGTACAGCCAGTCATGACACTGACTAAAATCCGTGTTCTGGTGTTCCCATGGATAAAAAATAATACAGCAAAATTTTAGACGAAATATCAAATTTCATAGAATTCACGCAAAATTTTGAAATAAATAAAAGTAATAGCCTTCTGGAGAAAAATTTTATCTTCAACCACTGAAAATTTCAAAGCAATTGGTCCAGTATTCGAAGAGAAAAGCGACTTTTCAAAAACGTGTCAAAGAACAACAACAACAACATAATATTGAAACGATCGTTATGTCCACTTCCTGTCCAAAAACAAGTTCGGTAAATAGATTGAATGTTCCATAGCAGTCTATGCACAAACTGACAAATCATGAATTGGGGTATCGGGTTCTTTTGTCGTTTTCGATTAGTTCAATTTATATGATATGATACCGTATTCAGCACTACTTTTTTTGCTATGGTACCGGTACCTGCTGTCTGGGAGTACAAAAGCGGCCTAATGGTTCCGAAACTTCTGATCCTGTCTCCGTGTCTGTAAACTCGTACGGTACCACAGTACCATACTGCCATACGGCTGTACGGTAACTGAATGCGTCTGGAATGCCCTAAGCGCCGATACAGGCGGTACCGGTACTGGTAACCGGACGAGTGGTCGTCGATTTGACTAAGTCGTCTAGTCACCTTTTTCTAATGCAGGATAACGATAAACTCTCCAACTCTAACAAATGCAACAAACTTAAGCATGAATCATACAGTCATAAACGATAATATACAGCTGTAACAAACTTTTCTGGCAACTTGTACTCCGTGACGTCATCCTACTTCAAGCGTGACCTTACGTTGAATGAGATTTTCATGTTTTCATGAAAGTTTACTCAGAGCCATTAACTCATTTAACTAAAAGTACTAGCAGAAGTGTTGATGATGGCTAATAATGCCTTGTCGAGTAACGTCCCTAATAATTGATTGTGCTATCTGTCTTGTGCTAACGTGTCGCAGTTGCGTCACTCGCTAGTATGTTCAGTTGCTGTAAACATCTTATGTTGTGTGTTATGCTGGTGTAATAAAGAAGTGTAAGCGTATTCAGTTGAACCCTTATTCTATAATAGCTTGGGTGTAGAACTTAACATATAACCAAGACATTATTAACATGGTGGCAGCGGTATCTGAAATTCGCTTACCGTCGACTCTTGATCTGCATGATGAAAATTTATCAGAAACATTTAAGAAATGGAAGAGACAGATTGATATTTTCATGCTAGCCAGCGGTTCTACTAGCAAGTCAAAGGAAGAACAGAAGGCAATAATCTTATATTGCGCAGGTGCTCAAATGATTGAAGCTGCCGAACACTTTGTATACAGTGATACAGAGGACGAAAATGACCCTAAAGTTCTACTACAGAAAATGGCTGAACACTGTAATCCTCGGAAGAATGAGGTGATGGAGACTTTTCGCTTTTTCAATATACAGTACAAAGACAATTTTGATACATTTCTCGTTGAACTCCGTAGTAAAGCCGATTCTTGTCATTTCGAAAACAAAGACCGAATGATCAGAGATAAAATCGTATTTTCAGTAAGCGGTAAATTACAAGAAATTTTGCTGCGGGAAAATGATCTCAATATGTCAAAAGCCATAAAGATTTGCCAAACATATGAAATGTCAGAAAAGCAAGCGACGGAGATCCGTGCAACTTCGGAAAGCGAGCAACGAATTTTGTCGACTAAAAATAGACAATACCGAAATACGAACAGAGCTTCGAAAAACAAGCGTATTCCAAATACATACCAAGAATGTAAATTTTGTGGACGCAGACACAAGTTTGGGATATCCTTTTGTCCTGCCTATGGAAAAACTTGTCATTCGTGCAATGGTAGAAATCATTTCCGAGTGAAGTGTAGAAACGCAAGCTATGTTCGACAAATGAAGAAACATGACCAAAATGAAGAAACGCTTGAAGAAGGACATCAGCGTTCCAGAATATAAATAACGTCAACAGTTCAAGAATTACTGCTCTGATGGAAGTCAACAATTATGAAGTCAGATTTCAAATTGATAGTGCTGCAGATGTCAACACAATATGCGAGAAATATGTGCGGAAAGACCAAATTAGACCAACTACTGACAATCTTGTGATGTGGAATAAAACGAAAATGAAACCACTTGGTGAGACAATTTTAAAGGTAAAAAATCCTCGAAATGATGAAGCCGCAGAGGTACGATTTACTGTTGTCAAGAATAATTTCAACTGTCTTTTGGGGTTAATGACAATACAAGAAATGGGTTTGATTACAATAAACAGCGATAAATTTATTGCAAATGTTGACCTACCGCAAACTTTGGGAAACTTGGGAATAGCGAAATTAAAAGTTGATTCTGATTTTCAACCTAGAGTTTTACCTTGTAGAAAAATCCCAATAGCTCTCCAAGATAGAGTTAAATCAGAATTAGATAACCTGGTGAAAAGGGGAATCTTAATACCGGTGGATGAACCTACCGATTGGGTTAGTCAAATGGCTGTGACTGAGAAACCTAACAAAAAGCTTCGAATATGTATAGACCCTCAACCTTTAAATGCCGCGTTGAAACGGGAACACTACAGATTACCTGTTCTTGATGATGTATTGCATAAGCTACGCAATGCAAAAGTGTTTACCAAGTTTGATGTAAAAGAAGCATATTGGCACGTAATATTAGATGAAGAATCGAGTAAGTTAACGACAATGATCACACCTTTTTCTCGTTACAGATGGGCTAGACTCCCATTTGGTTTGAATGTGAGCAGCGAAATATTTCAAAAACGTTTAAATGAAGCATTCTTCAGATTGAAAGGTGTTATAACGATTGCAGATGACATCATAGTAATTGGATGTGGAGACACGAAATCTGAATCGGAAGCGGATTTGAGAGAGAACACAAGAAATCTCCAAATCAGGTGCCGAACTAAAAACATTAAATTAAATGATACCAAAGCAAGAATTAGGAAAGAAGAAATAACTTTTATGGGCAATAAGATTACAACAAGTGGGATAGAGCCAGATCCTGCTAAGACAGAGGCCATAGTGAAAATGTCATCGTTAAAAGATGTCAGTGATGTGAAACGATTTTGTGGCATGATTCAATATTTATCCAGATTTTTGCCTAATCTTGCCAGTGATCTAGAGCCAATTCGAAATCTTACTAGAAAGTATGTTAAATGGCTATGGGACGAAAAGTGTGAGGAAGCTTTTCAATTGGTCAAACGTAAAATTACGAAATCGCCCGTATTAGCTTATTACGACCCTAACCTTGACCTAGTTCTACAAGTTGATAGCAGCAAAGATGGTCTTGGTGCTGTTTTAATGCAGAATGAGAAGCCTATCGAATATGCATCCCGTGGTTTGTCAAAATCTGAAAGAAATTGGGCTCAGATTGAAAAAGAAACTTTATCTGTTGTATTTGGACTTGAACGATTTAATCAATATACCTATGGTCGCAAAGTTATAATTCACAACGATCATAAACCTCTTGAAACAATTTTGAGCAAACCCTTAAGTCAAGCGCCCAGACGTTTACAAACTCTTATGATGCGATTGAACAGATATAATATCCAATTCAAATATATGCCTGGAAAATCCTTATTAATTGCTGATACCCTCAGCAGAAATTTTATCGAAAAGTCCAAACATTTTCCACATATTTTGAAAGTAGACGCTTTAGAACAAATTCCAGATGAAAGAATTGAAGATGTAAAGCAAGCTATGATGAAAGATGATGAATCGATGAAGTTGCTGAGATATATAAAACATGGATGGCCCGAGCATAAGTATGACTTACCTGACTGTGTAAAACCATATTTTTCAATAAGAGATACATTGAGTTATCAAGATGATATTATTTTGAAGGGTGAACGGATATGGATCCCAAAATCTATGCGTAACGAAATAAAGCAACAACTTCATTTTTCTCATTTAGGTTATGCAAGTATGATGCGCCGTGTTCGTGAAACTGTCTTTTGGATTGGTATGTCCAAAGAGATTGAGCAAATTGCTAACAATTGTTTTTCTTGTCAGCAGACGAAACCAAATAATCAGAAAGAACCATTATTGCAACACAACGAAGGAAATGTTCCTTGGGAAAAAGTTGGAATTGATTTATGTGAGTATAAAGGGAAAAATTATCTAATCACGATTGATTATTTTTCAAGTTTCTTCGAAGTTGATGTGATGACGACGACAACTACGAATCAAATCATCATATGTCTGAAACGCCATTTTGCTAGACATGGTATTCCAAAGATGTTAATCTCAGATTGTGGGAGAAATCTCAACTCGTCGGAATTCGAGAAATTCATGGGAGATTGGAGAATTCAGCATGTTACCTCTTCACCTGGACATCAACAAGCGAATGGAAAAGCTGAATCGTCCGTGAAAATTTTCAAGAATATGCTGAAAAGGACTGCAAACACGAATGAAGATCAATTTCTAGCTCTTCTAGAAATAAGAAATACGCCGCGTCAAGATTTGAACAGCAGTCCGTCAAAGATGCTATTTGGTCGATCAACCAGATCGATTATACCTACAATTACGAAACCAAACGAAAATTATGACTCGAAACGCCTGCGCCGAAAGCACAGCGTTAAGAAGAGTTATGACAAATCTACAAGACCAATGCGAGAACTTGAGTTGGGCGAAGCTGTATATTTTCAACATCCAGAACGGAAGGGATGGAATAGAGGAATTATTGTGAAACGAATTGCTACACGATCTTACATTGTCAAATCGAAGAATGGTGTTACATACAGACGAAATCGTGTTCATATCCGTCCTGATGAAAGTTGTAATATCGAAAAATATGAACCAAGTATTCCATTCTTGTCTGACTATAAGCCGAGCAATCTTCCGGTTGCCAATGACAATTCTCGACCTCTGATTTCGAATGATGTTCCAACCAGACCTCGTCGAAATCGTAAACCTCCTATTTGGATGAAAGACTATGTGACTCAGTAGTGACTATAACTTGATTTTGAGTGTTAAATATTATTGCTCATTTATGTGTCTTAATTGTAGTGGTCATGAATTGTGTAATAGGTAAAGGTGAATATTTCCTATTCTGAATTTGAAAATAATTTATGAAATTTATCTTAAACAAAGAGGGATGTTGATGATGGCTAATAATGCCTTGTCGAGTAACGTCCCTAATAATTGATTGTGCTATCTGTCTTGTGCTAACGTGTCGCAGTTGCGTCACTCGCTAGTATGTTCTGTTGCTGTAAACATCTTATGTTGTGTGTTATGCTGGTGTAATAAAGAAGTGTAAGCGTATTCAGTTGAACCCTTATTCTATAATAGCTTGGGTGTAGAACTTAACATATAACCAAGACATTATTAACAAGAAGAATTTCCTATAAAAGATCACTGTTTCATACATCTCTAAGTTTTTACCCTCGATCCACTTCTTTACCCCATCAACCTTTCTATCTTCGATCTCCAGCCTCGGCACATCTTCCTATAATAATGGTGATATGAAAACACAACATGACCCAATTGTTAATGATAATATTCCCGATAGCAGTGTTTTAGTTAATCCTAGTGTATCCAATGACATTAAACAACATGATGGGCAACTCTGACGTCACTCCATAAGACTACAGGCGAAAGGTTGTATTTCATGATACGCTCCAATGCACATATTTCTAGTCGCCTTTCGCGACCGTTTTCCGCTCGCTTTTGCTACTCGGCGTCTTCTTTACGTGTAGTACCTGCCTTTTTGCGCCTGTAACGAAAGAAAATAATCTCTATATCTAAGAAGTTTTGCTCACTTGGAAAGCTGGAATGGCAGACAAGCTGTGAAGAGTAATTCTGGACATCATAAACGTTTTTTTATCAGAGAAGATTACAAACGCGATAGTGTAAAGATTTGTGTGGAACATTTTGCAGATAATGACAAAGTTCAAAGTTACTAATTTTAATGTTTGCACTTAAACATTGAAATTTTCTTTAAAGAGGGTGTTATACAAAACAGCAAAACTGTTTTTACTTCTCTTAACGGTGCTGTGATACAATTCCATAACACAAGGTTCGCACCTATTTAGTAGGTGAATTTATTAGACATATTACATATTCAGTTAATCGTAGGTAACATTGCTGGTACATAATGCCTCGTAAATAGGTTTGTGTCTAAATTTGGAATTCAGCTCATGGCCCACTAAAAAATATTATATTCTATGCAGGAGGTTGCAGGGCCGAATTCAACTTGCAGCGTTACCGATCACCTGACAATGCTCATTTAGTTTGGCTCGAGAAAGTCTTCTTGAAAGACTTGTGTGAATGGGAACTACCTATATGTTTTGCCTTCCTCCGATTTTAGAAGACAAATTTATTCTGAGGGATTTCGCATATAATTCTCATTGATTGTTGGCTGTTTATATTTCCTATTAATTGTGAATTCTGGTTATAAAATAGAGTTAAAAAAATTTTTACGCAATTTACCGGCATCTTTTTCTTGTCAATACTCCAAGCTGAGGTAATAAACAAGACAAAACATTTATGTCATTTGGAAGCAAAATATGCACACTAATTAAAAGTTTGACACATTGAGATAATACACCATGACAGAAAATACAAGTTAAAGATATATATGATCCTCACATGGTAATTAAATTTAAAAAAAAACTGGATTACCTTTATGATAGCAACGATTTTGTATTCAATATAGCGAGATTTTTTTCAATTTAATTGAAGTGATATTATTTCCCAAAGCAATGCTTTGGGATCAGTGGTGTCAAACTCATGGGTTTTTGAGAGCCGCATTGCATTTTGGAAATTGTAAGAAGGGCCGCAAACAGTTTTTGATAATGTATACTTGAAAGATAGTTTTAGTTTGTGACATATATAGTGATGCAACTAAACAGTTGGATTAAGTTTTATTATTTTCTTTAATTTCAAATGCAAATACATATTAATATTTGCATTCCACTAATATTGCAAGTTACTGTATTAATTACAAAAAATCATAAAATTCTATGTACAACCATCAAAATCATTTTTGAACAAGCTTTGGATAAGGAAAGAATAATACATAGACTCAATCCAAATATATAGACCAAAAATACTACAGTATAAACTCAATGTTTTTTTTAATTACATTTGTCCTGACGTTTGGCATCTTTTTTGTGTCACCAGCATACTAAGGCCAGGCTGAAATGATTTTATAGTACCAACTCTAGTTAACGAGGTCACATGATCATGGGTTAATCTGAATCTTTGCGAATGTTTAATTAATTCCAGTAATGCAAAAAGTTACTTTTATCATTTCATGTATAGATCAGAAAAAAAATGAGACATAGGATTGCTTGCATTATTACTGATATTGATTTTTAGTAACTAAGTCGTTGTATAATTATATCAATATGCAAACACATGGAAATTTTCTGTTCGAAGTTGGTCTTCGAATTTTTCATATTGAGTGCTGAGCTTATTGTGTTTTTCCATTGTACTGATGGAAATATGACAAATTAAACAATGTGCCTCAGAATTTTGTGAAATGCGGAAATATTGCAACTCCCATTTTTTTTCGAAAATGCCACCTTCTTCATGTACTTTGCGTTTGATTTAATCACTCAAGTGTTTTATTCAAGTATTCTTTTGCTAGCTTGATGTGTATTCTTAATTGGGTCAAAATGTGAATAAAAAAAATTAATTTTTCAAAACTACTTTCAGAAAATTGGTTTCTGTGTGAATAAGCAATTTCACTTCGAAAGGTTTGAAAAATCTATTACATGGAGAAAAAAAAACTGCCAAAGCACTATAACAATTATTGTTAGGCGTTCGAGGGCTGCACTGGAAGTTCTCTGGGGCCGCGAGTTTGACATTCATGGTCTAGATTGAAGTTGTCCAAAATATATGATAGTATTTATCATGAATAATGATTATACCCTTTCCTGAATTTCTTCTATAGTACTACCAACAGTTGAAGAACCAAATATAAAACAGGTGTAGTGAGTGACCCGTAATCATCATTTTCCAAAGCTGTTTTAAGTATGTCTGGCGTGTTTTGTGCCTTTTTACAAATAAGACCCCTTATGCAATCTTACGCTTGGATTTTAGTTATTTTCCGCAAGCCCTGCAGGATGTGGGGGCCATACACAACTCTACCGAAGGGTCAAATCGTCTTTGCATGCCTGTTCTTCTGCAAACATTTATGGAGTACTCTAATTATATTTCTTAGAATCACACTGTCACTGATATGTCGCCAGACTTCTGATATCTCCCCTTCTGCTACAGTTGTCCTGTGAATAAATAATAGGAAATTGAGGTTATACGAATAGTTGAAAGTTTTGCTTAATGTAGGCTTAATTTCTTTATTGATATACTTACTATTTTTGCTATTGCCTCTTGTGCTGCAGGAGTCTCACAATGCTTAGACAGGTTTGTCCACAACTTTCACATCTGAAGAAAGAGAGGAGATTTATTGATTTTTGTTAAGAATAAATAAAGCAGTCTATATGATTTAGAATGGAAAAGCTAATAAATCCAGTATCCCATGTCTATGTAAAAAATGTTTTACTGAATTTGGTATATAAACCAACTAATAAAAGGGTTTAGTCAGAAAATTACAGGCATTCGTGGCTCCAAATACTTGAGAGATCAGACTATACAATATAGACCGATATGAGTGAAATGTAAGGTGAACTTGTTAACCCTTTGATCCAATACGCAAATAAAAGTGAATGAGCAATAGTATGTTACAGCAATGAGGATATATCCTCACTGATTAAAAAAATCTAAATGGAGGTGCATGAGCTATTTGAAACCATATGGGGTAAGTAAATATGCAATTTCGGCAAATGGGCAACTACGTACCGTACTGAATTAATAATTTCGTAGTATTTGACAAAAGCTGGCTTTCCCACATGTACTTAACAGTGCGATGCCCGGGTGTGATATACAACAATAGTATTTACCTTACCTTTTTCCAATTTCTTTCTACCTCAACTTTACAAAATATCATTAAAATCGACAACAACTGTCAAAGCAGGCACGAACACCATTCGTGCTATGCCTTGAAAGCAGCACGCATCCTCTCGTATTCGTCTCATCAATTATGTGCATTGGAGCGTGCTATCGGATACGATCTTCGACCAAAAATGCCGGATTTGCGCATCATGTTGTTTAATGTCATTGGTTTGACGGAAAGATGTGACGTAATGTGATTACTCAAATGATGAGTAGCGCAACAACTCTTAATTGTTGCGGCGCAATGCATCTCATCTATTCGTCTGGCTCACCAGTCGATATACAGTTGTGTTAACCTGTAGACGTTTGTTTATAATCGCTGTTTTGTTGTATTGTTTAAGTTGTGCCGCTGTTCTCAATAAACGGGGTTCAGTTGTATACGAGTTTCTATTCTGAGCAGATAGCAAATAAGAAACGAAACACCGTGTTTCCCCGAAAATAAGAACTACTCGGAAAATAAGACCTAGCCCGAATTTTGAAATTGATTTTGATATAAGCCCTCCCCTTAAAATAAGACCTAGTTAATAGCGCGAACTTTTTTTTTGACTCAGTCGATAACAAGAAGTACATCCTAGACGTTTTAAATGATTGATAATCCATGTTTTGCAGTTATTTTGACTAAAAACGTGTCATGGCCCATGAGTATCGCTTTTCATATTTTGTATGTTTGAAAATCTCGTAATTCTCCACTTTATAATTCTGTTTTTGATAAATGAAAATATAAGACATCCCCCGAAAATATGCCCTAGTGTTGTTTTTCGGGAGAAAATTGAAATAAGACCCAGTCTTGTATTCGGGGAAAAACGGTATTACTTGGTATATTTATAAATAAAAATTTACAAATGGATTATCAGTCCATTAACCGGCGTAACTGCTGCTAAACTGATACAGAGACTTGCGTTCATTTCATAATATATGTACCAACTTATTTATTTTTTTTTTCCATTGATCACCACGCTCATCTTGATTGTATATCTGGCATTAGGCTACCGCGAGTGCTTCATATTGTCCAGTAGTAGATACGTCACAGTAAGCTCAGCCCCAGCAAGATAAAAGTAGCAAATTTTGGAGCTACCAATTGTGGTGGTCGATTGTCGTTTCGGTTTCCAAGCCTACATTAATTATCTTGGCAAATGATTGTCAATAAGACGGTGCATAGTCTGATTGACATAGTTGAACCGTAAAAATCCTGAAAGTTTGCAAAACCGTAAAAATCCTGAAAGGAAGGATCCATTGATCCAGACTTTGGTGAGGCGCAGATAGATTCGAGACGGACGGAGGTAACCAGAGAGGCTAAAACAGCGCTTCTCAACTTTTTTTCTTTCGTGGCCCATTTTCGTTGCACAAAAATTCTGTCGCCTACTAACTTTCTCATGCGAGGGAAAAACTTCAAGAAAAGCATAGAACTCTTTCTGCGAAAATAGACACTTTAATAATAATTAGGTGAAAATTACCACCCTGCAACAAAAAACTGCATCATCCATTGCTACTACCATCCAATTTAACTGAATTTATCAACAACTCTAGCAATTTTCAATAGGTCTGTGGCCTACCTGAAAATGTCCTGTGGCCCAGCAGTGGGCCATGGCCCTTGGTTGAGAACCAGTGGGCTAAGAAGAGCAGGGGCGGGTCGAGTGTAGGAGGGAGATTGGGGTGAAGGGCGGTGGGACATTAGAGCGTTGTGTCGAAAGTAGTAAGAATGGGGTTGGGATACGAGGGCCTAGGGCAGGCCTGCACAACATACGGGTGATTTGGAAACACGCCACTTCTCGGGTCTAACAATCAAAGCCGGCATTGTTATTTAAGCGCGCCGCTACTCCAATCATATTCGAAATCGTGAGATTTATGTTTTGCACGGCGTGCTCTTCGCGACCCCTAAAATTCGTCGCTCGACCCCCCAGTTTGGGAAAGATTCTTCATATTTTTAAGCTTTCCAGTAATGAAAGTGTTTCATTAAATTTACCTGTTTCACAATATTATTTTGATTTGTAGTTCATTTTGTGAAATATTTATGTGGCAAAGTTCGGGGCCCACCGGGCCTTCAGATTTATGCTTGCGGCCCTCATGGTAATTTGAGTTGTGCAGGCCTGGCCTAGGGGAATATAGCAGGGAGTCGAGGATAGGTAGGCTGAGTCTAGTAGCGACTGCTTGTGTAGGGCGGTGTTAAGATTAAAAAAGCGTTCCCAAAAAACTGTAGTTCAGCGGTTCATCCCCTGGGGCCCTTGGACCCAGAAGAGGGCCACAAAGCGGATGGAGGGGGGCCGGTCATGTCTGAAGAAGACTTTTAGGTTCGTGTACGGTGGTACGTATATACATTCATTCGTTAGCTGTTACTGTGTGAAATAACTGTTTAAGTTTTATTTCTGGAATTTGAATAAAGTCTGCAATAGCAATATAGTAGTGACGCCAGGGATGGCCATTTCCGAATACTAAACTATTCCGAATACATTCTAAAATAATGTTTTCGAATCTGGAATTCCGAATACATTCTAAAATCGAAAATAACACATTTTTGTTTTAGTTGATTAAAACCCAGTAAATTAGGAAATAAGCTTCAATAGAAATATCAGAATGAGGCCACAAACCAACAGTATATGTACACAAAGTAATTGATAGTTTATAGCTATCAATAAAAAATAATAGCAACTTGTGACACAGTCAGTTTATTAACATTATTCACTTTGTACAAATGACCATATGAAAAGATAGCCAAGGAGTTGTCTGACGCTTCCTATCATTGGTACCATGATATTACGATAATAGTCAGGTCTATTGACAAAAATACTACTTGTATTCAGATAATTGTGTATATTTTCTGAGAGTAATAAAATTTATTGGCAATACAGGCAACAACAATCCAAAATCCATTATGCCTTCAAAAATATTTAAGCCTGAGGTATTCTACTACATACCAGTATATTGTTATTATGTGTAACATATTGTTGTGTTTGGAATTAGAAATAAATTAGTAGAGAATAGATGACCACCACTGCCAGCGCGCAGCCAGGATTTTCGAAATCGGAAATTCCCATTGCCGCCTGTAACATCCACCGCGATTTCGCGCTCGTTAAAGAGCCGTCTTTTCAGCGTATAATGATCATTCTGTTACGTGAAATATTCAATCCATGACAACTACCAGATTCTAAAATATCTTTATATATCAATATGTGTCCAACGTAACTCGCGGTTGCTTCTTCTTACGTCAAAAAAAAAAACAATACTATTTGGTCCACGGCGATCTGTGACCTAAAATTACGAGATAAACTGCCTGATGTATTTAATTTTAATACGTATTTTTGCAATCTTGCCAACTCGTTGTCGCCGTTAGAAAAATCTCAAATAATTATATAAAATCCTGTTAAGTGTAGAGTATAATTCATTTCATACAATGAATATACATATAAAGTTTAGCAGTAAATTAAAAATACATATTCATCGCCGCGATTATGCCACCTCGACTTTTACAACAAATAATATAACAACGAATATATATTTTTCTGTTGTGCAAAGTGATGAATTCGTGACCGACACGGGCATATTCAAAATGTCTTGCTTTATTAATTTAATTGTCTTCAATTTAACCTGCGGTTGCGTCGACAAAATAAAATCCTCACCCCTCTTATATACCATTGCAATCCGCGGTCATAAAAATAAAAACGTGAGGTAAACTGTCCGATTAAATATTGTTTTGATCCGTATTTTGCGAATTCGGCAAATATTTAGATGTACTTGTTAATTAACAGTGACTGAGCTCGATCGAAATGCTGCCACTCTGATTATTTTTAGATAAAACTGTTCGAAAAATCCATAAATATGCTGTAATATATCAGAGTGAAATTTATTTCATCACAATAAAATTGATTGAATATACTTTAGATTAATTATATTATATACATCTTCACAGCCCGGGAAAAAGTCGCGTTTAAAACCTTGTATCGTATGAACATGAAAATATTCGACGGCAATTTAAAGTAACGGATAATCAGGCAAATCCCGCCCTCAATTAGTGACGATATGTTTCTAAACGCCGACCAAACATAATGTGTGCCAGAGGCACACGAAATTTTGCGATTTTCACTGCCTAGAAAACCGTTTTTTAAATTTTCGCGGACCTCAATAAAACCAATTTTTTTAACGGTTTTATTTTCAGTATTTTAAATTGCCGCTTTTCAATCAAAAAGTTGCGTTGTCTTTAGAAACTCGCCGCCGATGAACGTATTTACCAGATTCACAATTCCGTGCGCGTACAAAAATAAAATAAATGTTATCGTTATCGTGGAACAAATTTGTGGAAAATTTTCGTTTTAGAGTAAATAACACAATCGTAAAGGCGTTTACGGTCCTAAATAACATGTTACGCTGATGAGTGATGAAAACAATCACGCGCAAGTTTCTATCGAGAATGTTTTCATTCAACGGAAACGTCTTGAAAGCGGCGTCGAAAATGTGTGACGTCACACAAATATTCGATATTCTTATGAACGTGAATTCCGATATTCGAATGACGAGATATTCGAATACATTCGAATACTTTATTCGAATTGGCCATCCCTGAGTGACGCACAACTATAAATACCACAGGTATGGTAAAAGAGACACAGACTCCAGGGAGGGAGCCACAAGACATAAAAAGTTGGAAACCACTGCAATATGGCATCTCAAATGACCCTTTGTCCTTGGAAAAACATGCACAAAAGCATACTTTTGGCACAAAAAAAGATCTGCCAATTTTATTTATTCGAAGAATCAGAAAAAGCAGAACAAAGAAATAACTTTCATTTAATTTTGCAAAATTAATTCTGTGAAACTTGTAAAAACGACTCCATGACCAGGGATGTCCAAAGTTAGTTGGGGGAGGGGGTAAAAGGAGGGATTCCCTGCAAATCATATCACCTGTTACAGACTATCAATTAATTCACTTTCACTTTGAAAATTACCTAAATTTGCATTCATCAAAAAAAAAATATGACTTCACTAGATGCGAAAAATGATATTTTTTCAGGGAGTTGGGGAGTGAAAAAGAGGGAATTCCCAACAAATTTGAGTAAAGGGAGTAATTTCATTTTTATCCATCTTACCTATTAAACAACTTTATTTATTTAAAACAGTTTATTATTAAATATAATCATACCAGGGGAACCAAAAAACTTGATATATATTCTTACACCTATTACAATTAAAAACATCACACTATTTGGGGGACAAATATTGAATAATCTATACAAGTCTGAAATTTGATTGGCCCAAAATATGAAGTCAATCAAGTGGAACTTTTTTCTGTACTCCAGTAGTGTATGTACCAGGTTAAAGTTAGGCCATACTTTTATTCTGATTTTCCTTATTTTTTTTAGTTCTATTACAAGGACTGTCTGTGTTACCCAAGTGTGAATATACCCCCTGCCCATAGGTTTCAGTCTCTCTACACAACTTGATGTAAAGTAGGCAAACAAAATTCGTTACCTCCATATTGGTACAAACACTTTTAGAGCACCATATTTTCAACTAAGCTGCGTAAGAACGCACTACAAGAAATTCAGAACTTTCAGACAAAATGGTGTATGTGTTTCCTCATAATTCTGAGCCAACAGTTTAAAATAAAGTATTTCATGCTAAAGTTTTGTGAAATCAGCAAAAAAAATGAGGCTACTCCTCTTCGATGAGACTTTATTAATAGACATCCCTTGTGTCACTGATTTCCAGATAAATTCACCTTTTTTTAATAAAAAACAATTTATTAAGTTGCTAGTCTGTAAAGTGTAAGGAAAGTAGGGGTAAAATGCAAATTCCAAATTGATTATTCTTCTGGGGATTCCCCTTTAATGAGACCTTATGTCACTAATTATCAGATATAATCACCTTTTTTATATAAAAAAACAATTATCAAATCACTAGTCTGTAATGTTACCACAATAAGAGATATGCAAATTAGGGTAATCCCCATTTAAATATTACGATTGGGGAGGGGGTAATGTCCTATAATATATAAGCTGCTATAGGTCTTTTTTTGTAAGTTTGCTCAAAGCTGAAGCTCTTAATCAAATATGGAAACACTGGGCATTTCGGATTTTTATGATACAGTATTTTACGGAACCTAAGGTGCCTTTTAAATTAATTTTTTCCACAAAAATTTATTGTTCACCTTATAAGACGACGCATCTAATATATGGATAAGTTGGATTTTATTGCCTACACCCAAAAACCAGTACCGGTTACCAATATTGGTTGCGCCTTGTAAACAGTGCGCTCAAACAGTAAACAGTGCGCTCTATAACCTGGTACATGTTTGCTACATGCGAAGCTGTTAACTAAAAATGGAATGAGTATTATGGTAGAAACACAAGTCCCAGTAACAAGCGAGGGGTATTATGTAGTTCCGGGAGGTTTTATTTCAAATTGGTCATCCCTGGACATTGCTTAGTTAAAAAACATACAAACGAGTTTAAATTGTTGTGGTACTTCCCCCTCCCGTTTTAGGAAATTCTAAAAACTTCCAAGTTTTCTATTTTGAGTAAAAACCAAGCAAAAACGCGAAACACTAAAGAGAAAAAAAAAGACAAAAAGGTAGAATTTCCTAAAAAACTAACAAGAATTCATTCATACAAAAATTCGCATTTTGATGTCACTACTTCAAAAATATTCGATTCTATCGAGAACCGGTAAAATTACTCGATCAACATTAAGCACTTCTCAGACTACATTTGCGACAGGCTTTTATAATATGAAAAAGGCCGTTGTATGTTATCACAAGCATCATGTCATAGCCCAGTTGCTTTGAAACATAGGCGACTTCGGACAGAATAACTGAATTTCCAGAAAATATTTGTAAGTCAAAAAGCGAAGCCTGAACTTCAGTGTGGTATCTGCAGGGGTGTAGCCAGTGTGGTTTTGGGGGTCGAAACCCCCCTTTTCGAAATGTAAAAAAAATTAAATCATCTTTCTGTATCATACATTGTCCGAATGTGACAATTTCTCGCAGCTGGAAACGCTTTTTAGAACCTTAAGATTCATGAAAACACATGTTTTCCGGCGTTTGGTCGGACCCGTTAGCTGTCCCGATCTAACTTGGCAAATGGAAATTTCAGAATCCCCCCCTTGGAATATTTCTGGCTACGTCCCTGGGTATTTGAGCCTAAATCATAAAAAAATCAAACATCTGATTGCCAGATAAATCACATTCAAGGATTTTTACAAACAGTCAAAATTTGAAATTTTGATAAAATTCTTTGATCTCAAAACCTCAAAGTCAGTTTTAATTTGTAATTTCTAAGTAAACTTGGACAATTTATCAACACCTACTGTATGGTCCAATAGTCAGAATCAAAATGTATGTTATTAAGGACTCAAAAAATTAGTTTTTCACTAAAATTTTGAGAAGAAAATGAATAAAACCCCACAGATTCTGGTCTATTCAACCAAGCATTGAGTAAGCTGTAGTCCCTAACAATACACATTGGAAGTGGAATTAATTGTTTTCTAATTAATTGCCGAACTATTCCATATATATTTAGCCAGGAAAAACATTTTTTTTTTACTGAAGCGTAAACAGCGCTCGATAAAAAAATCCATCTTACGGCATTCATGCGACTTAAGTTACCAACGTTATGTATATCAAAATTAGAATGGGCTGTTTTCTATTTATTTTTCCAGGCTATTTTTATTCAGAGTAATATCCATAAAAGCCTAAACTAGTAAGATACCAGTTCTATAAACCTGTATGTGGTGTGGTGGTTGGAGTCAACTTTTTTCACTGAAGTGTAAAAGCGCTAACTCAAAAATAATTGCATCTTACGGGATTCACACGGCTTAGGTTACCAACGTTCTGGTGTGGTGATCAGAGTCAACTTTTTACTGAAGCATAAACAGCGCTGACATTCTTGTGAAACATTTTCTAAATTCTGTGTGGTGTGCAAGACATGTGCGATCATGCGTTTCTTTCGCTCTTAAAAGCGTTTTTCAGTTCATTGTTCGTAGTGCATCTTCGTGTCACCCGGCACGATTACTTTGGCGCCTCTAGTGGGCACGTTTCTCCCCGTATTGCGTAGATTATTCATATATTCCAATCAAAACTTTCGTCACACTCACTTCCTGAGATCAAGAACACAAACCTGAAAAAAGAAAGGGTTTGGATAAGTGTTAGAGAGTCATGGACTGAGACTAAGTTAACTCTGTTGGAAATATCGGAGATTGTGCCGAGTGTTTGGGATTTGTTTGACATCACAATTCTAATCGCAAGGGTTCACACGAGTGATTACCTTAGGGCAGGGGTGTGCGGCCCCGAAACGAGTTTTGGTATGGACATGAGGGAGTGATGCGACCAGATCATCAAAGTCAACTCCCTCAATATGCTTATAGGAATATGCAGGGGCATCAATATGATGGCAGGGGTTCGCATCACTGCACATTAAGAATTTGAAACATCATTGTCAGGGAGGTTCTGGATAAATATGGGTCTTGTTCAACAAATTCAACCAGTTTGAAATGAGCAGAAAAGTAAAGATAAACAATAATTTGATTGATTCTGTTTTAAATTTTTCTCAGAAAGTAAATGAACGTCCTGTGGTTTCACTGTTCAAAATTATATCTAAAATCGAAAGTCTAAAGCAGGGTGGTCCAAGGTTGTCGGTTCCGCGGGCCACAAAATTATTTTTGCATTGTTCGCGGGCCACAATAGGGCCAAGAGGAGGTAAACAGTGCAATACAAAACAAACACTTTCATTGTGCAAACACATGATTATCAGACATAGCCATCCAGGCTAATAGAATCTGCATTCGATTTTTAGTTTTCTATGATGCCTATGTTGTTAGCATATATTCCCGACCAAAAAGATAGAAAGCCAGATAATAATTTAGACTGAGAAGCGCATCATTCAACTTCGCTAGTTGCTCGACAATCCAGTGACATTAGTGATGTAACAATATGTCAAAAGATTATTCTGATTAATTTTATAACACGGAATTTTTGATTACTCTCCGAATGTGACGCAGCCACAGATGAAGGGGCGGGCCACATGTGACCTACGGACCTGGGTTTGGACCACCCTGGTCTAAAGTATCGAATATAAAATTAATTCCAGATCTGTTCAAATATTCTCTTTGTTTGGTGACTGGTTGCAAGAAAAACGCTGGTAAACCCTGATTGATGAATAAAGCAATCAAACTACCAAAATTGACGCACAAAGAGGCATAGCTGAAACCAATTATAAAATCCTCCAGATTCGATATTTTGGATTACCCTCTGCAAAATATTAGTCGTTATCACTTACCGTTCCATCCGATGCACTCGCCCCAACTTTAGTTCCTGCTGCATTCCAACAAACTTCAAATATTCCTCCCGTGCCCTCGTAACTGCGTACTAGTTGACCACTCTGGAGGAAAGAACATACATGTTGAATAAAAATGAGAAGTGAATAGTGTTCAAGACAAAATTTGCTCATAATTATTGATCCTGCAGTGCCTTGAAGCAGAATTCTCAAGCCATTTACTATTCGGTACACCTTTTTTAATATTTTATTGGCTTCATGTACCCCATTAATAACAATGTATAATTTCGATGAGTGAAATCTGCAAAACCGCAGTGGTTTGATAAATTTTGACTTTTTCTCTCAGTTAAACTAAGTTTGGAACCCGACCCTGTATCAGAATACTTGAGAAAAAACAAATTCTAAGTCAATTGTTTGTTGAGAATGCTGAAATAACTAAATATTTTTTGAGTTCGTGTCGGATTCCGCTTATAATCATTAGAAGTCAGAAAATACGACTTAAACTTAGACTCCAATATCAATTAAAGTATGTCGGACTCATTGGACAAATTGTTAAAGTGAATTTTTTCAAAAACATTAACAACAAACTACTGTTACTTCATCAAATATTTCCACATAAAACTACGCTTTACCTGTGTGTTCCATATGTGAACACATTTATCAAAAGAACCGCTTGCTAGCAACCGTCCGTCCGGACTGAACGCTACAGAATACACAGGTTCTTGATGCCTCGTCAACGTATGCAGACAAACACCTCGTTCCGATTCCCACAACCTCACAGTGGAGTCAAAAGATGCACTGAAAATGATGGAGTATTTTTTAGAAATAAGGAGAGGGATTTCCCAAAAATATTTCAGGAAGGGGGAGACTTCTGCTACGCAAAAAAAAATGTTCCTAAGTAACTAATGAACTGATTTTAAAAATATGGAGATGGAGTTGAAATATGCACTGGAAATGAGAACTGGAGTATTTTGGAGGGGGGGATTGACCCAAAATTTACTTTTTGAAGGGGGGGATTTCTAGTCCACAAAATAATAATGTAACTATAGCTAGAAATCGAATGATAAAACTATTTTAAAAGTAGTGAGGGAGGGGGATTTTCCTTGAAAATTACCCCCCAAAAAATTTAATTTTTTTTATACTTAAAAAAAATCTTCTATTCAACAATTTTAAAATAGGTAGGGGGATTTATCAAAAATACTTTTCATTTTTTTGGGGAGGGAATAGGTACTCTTGTAGTATGTGTACCAGGTTAGGGTTGGGCCATAATTTTATTACGATTTTCCCTCTTTTAGTTCTATTACGAGTTCGGAAATTGTTTCTGTTAGCCAAGTGAATGTTTCAGTCCTTTTACACAACTTGATGTAAAGTAGGCGAACAAACTTAGTTACCTCCATATTGGTACGCATACTTCCTGAGCACCAAATTTTGTTCTGAATGAATTTTCTCAATAACGAGACTCACCTGGCAAGTAATAAATTTTGATTTGGATTTTGCGATCCCGGTCCCGCTGGACTCCATTTTATCGTATAAATTTCTTTGTTATGTGCCCGGAGGTCGTGAACAAAATTATCACTTTTCATTGACCAAACCTGAAAAACATTAAAAATGTGAGAAATGACTACAAGGCTCATAAAGTGTTTTCAGAATAAATATTTTGTGTAAAATTTACTTAACGCCAGACAGTTTTTTGGAGTATTAAATACAAAAAAAATAAAAATTTCCAGATTTATCCCAGAGAAAGAAAAAGTAAGAGGATAGCCTGGTCCTATGGTGTACCACATCTGGTTACCGATATGATCCGGTTACCACTCAATGTTGGGTATCGAATTATACTTGGTACCAATGTGAGCGTCTTTTTAAACATAAACTATATATTTGGATTTTATGCTTGATGCAGAAAAATGCGGAAAAAGAGTGTCGAAAAGGGCCACACTAAATGGCTTGGCGGGCTGTGTTGTGCCCAGTGGGCCACCTGTTGCACACTGCTGCCCTAGAGGATCGAGATTACCAAGGTGATTGTTTACATTTTTGCTCTCTGCCACTACCTAGGCACATCATCCACTTTGAGTTAATTCAAATCTGAATTGAGTAGCTAACTTATAACCGATAAAAGTAAACATTTTCAAACCTTCAACGTCATATCGTCTGAACAAGATGCTAATAACTTTCCTGATGGATCCCATTTGATTGCATTAACTTCATTCTGAAAACAGAACAAATTTTTATATGCGTCTATTTTTATTATAAGTTACGATGGATGAATTGGCTATCAACCCACCCCTGACTCCCTAAACGGAGTAAAATGGTGTTTGAATAACGATTACAAGAATGATGAGAGATATAAATGGAGGGAATAGTGAACATGTTTCGAAATTTAACATGCAAAAACAAAAAAAATTCAGTCTAATTGGCCGTTTGCATGGCTATTACAACGCCGTGTCTCAGAATTTCTTTATATTGAGTCGTTTTGCAGAAGTTGCGAAAAAAATTTCAATTATCCAATAATAGGTTTTTTTGCATGACATATTTGCAGAGCTGTGAAGAATCCTTATAAATTCTCTGGAGTCAGTAGTCCAGATTTTTAATGTTTTTACAAACAGTTTCAAACTTAAAAAAAAAAAAATATTTCAAACTGGTCTTGCCTCAACATTTAAATTCAAATAAAATACAACTTCACAATGGCCCTTGAGATTTTAAAAGTGAACATGCTTGCTCTAAAAAATAGAACTTACTGAGTGTCCTTTAAATGTCTTCACAGGTTTATCGCAACCGAGCCTACAAACATGTATGCTCATGTCTGTGGAACAGGATGCAAAACAATTATTGTTCTGCCAGTCAACGTCTAGTGCTGGTGCTGTAACGAGAAAATAGTAGATATAATCTTTTAAATTTTTATTTACATTTAGTCTATTTTTATCGCTGATGCTAAATCCGAATTGATTTAAAATTAGTTATAGTCAATATCTACAATTCTCAATCTTGAAAAATTTCATTTCGAAGATTATTTTCGAAAAATTTAATCATCGTTTTTCGTCATTATTGCCAGAACCTCATCCCTTTTTGTGTTGGCCCATATAACACATTGTCTATTTTAGAATATATAAGGCAAAGTCACGTAGAAATTCTTCGAGCAAAGTTATCGAATACACTCTAAAGTGGGGGCAAGTTCATGTGGAAATTTACATAAATCATTATCACATATAAATATAAATTTTATTGTTTCTCTGTGTATTTTAAATTAGCTTCACGCCCCCTCAAAAAAATTGTCTATGCCCCTCTTGTACGGCGACCCACACCAGTTGAGCACTGATTCTTATCAAATACAATAAAAAATTCAAATGTATCAAAATATTTGATTAGTTTGCGCCATCCCTGGTAATGACTTTGCCTAATTCATTAAGAAAAACATGATTTGGCAAGGCGGCGGTTGTTCGCAATAAAAATAGCAAGACATTGAACTCACCTTGATGGAACGGAAATTGTTGTTTTGATTCTCCTGATTGTGCGTCCCAAATAATTGTAGTTTTATCCACCCCTGCACTTAGAATATAATTTCCCATTTTATTCCATTTTAATGCAAATATAGGTCCTTTATGTTGTCCTAGGAGATTCGCTAAATGACCTGGAATAAAGTTTGGTTTTAAGAAAATGTATATATTGAACAAGAACGGTGATTTTAAACATGTAAGTCAGTGAAAAGTACAAGCAAAGTATCAAAAAATTTGCGATGGTAAAATATAGAAAGAATTTTACAGTGGTAAAAGGTCAAAGAAATATCCTCTTGTCTGGTCACCAAGGCAGAACAGAGCTGACGAGAGGGAGTGCATGTTTTCACTGCGATCAGAGTCGCAATTCTGTATTCTATGGAGCCAAGGGTTGGCATGGCACACAACAAAGGGGATCAATATTTCGAGATTTTTACAACACTAAGTCTGGAGTTGAGGCCAAAATTTTTCCATTCTAGAGTTTAGAGTGTGCTGTGAATTTTTCACAAAGTCACTGGAGTCGGGAGTAACAGTCAGAATTATTTTTCAATCTGGAGTACTGCTACTACTACTGCTACAATAATTATCAAAAATGGATTATTCTCACATCCATTGGTTTGAATACCTAGACCAGGGGTTGACAAGATTTATGGACTTGCAGTTAAAAATTTAGCCCACCTTAACTGTCGGGCCATGTAAGTGTGACCTAAAAAGTTATGTTTTATAAACAATATTTACAGTGTTAGAAAAGCAAAAGTGGAAAACAATGAGCCTCGTGCCAAAACTAAAATTAATCACAATCTCGACAAATTCCTTGAGACATTTTTTTATCTAAAACATCAAAATTTGGTTTTAGTTTGGCTGTGGCAGCATCAGGCGGGCCAGACTGAATTACCCAACAGGCGTAGTTTGCCCATGTCAAAGCTAGACAGAACTTGGAATTTCTCTCGAGTGCGAGTAATAGAAATGATTTATCTGATATTTCCTACAAAACAACTTACCATCTGTAGCCCATATTCTTGCATAACCATCATATGATCCAGTAGCTAGTAATGTTCCATTGCACTGAAAAAAAAGAACATACCGTTAAAAAGATTACAGTACTTTCAAAAAGAGTATCTCCATACATACGATCAGATATCAAGGCCTTGTTTGGAGTAAAAATTTCAAATAAGAGCCCCATAGGAAATCAAAAATACGCCCCACATTCATTGCAAGCTAACTTCTCATAAAATTACCATCTAATTATGGCCACTGTGACTCCCTATTCCTCTCACAAAATAAAACATGATCAAAGGCCTGAGTCAAGGATTCTAGTCATGTTCCATTGCACTAAAGAGAATTCACTGTTGAAATACTTCCTAGTATTTCCAAGAATATTAGACTTTTACATATCGGTAGATGATTGTGCAAGGCCAAGTTCAGACGTGAACAAGCCATGTGCCGGTCAACATTCTAGCATTATTGATAATACAATCTTATGGGCACTGTGACCCCTTATTTATCTCACATATTAAAACATAATTAAAGGGCTAAGTCGAGGGGTTCCTATTGGACGAATTTCACTTGCAAATAAAAATAGAGTCTATTATTAAAAAGGTTTGCATACACTCGAGTATTAGCTATTGAAATTTGATTCTGCAGTAGTTCGAGTCCAAATTTTCATCAACCTGGAAGCTTGAGTGGACATTTTATTCAGACTTTGGAGTTGAATATCAACACCAATAGAAAATTTATCCCCTGATCCAGGCATGTCTCTGTAGGAGCAGCCACTGACAGTAAGAATGTAGTGAGCTTGTTATTGAAATATGCTAAAAGATCAAAGCTGTTCGAAATCTTGAGTCGGAGTCGAAAAATTGTTCAACTTAGAAGTTAATCATAATTTTCCCTGAATCTCACAGCCTAGTCCATGCAAGGTTTTTCATTAGCAGCCACTGATCACACAAGGTTGTTGTTATTAAAATAAGAGAGCTATGCTCAAATATATGGACACATAGCGCCACCCAATGGCAATAATTTTGATGACGTCATAGCGAAAAAAAAAGTAATAGCCTTCTGGAGAAAAAATTTCATCTTTAACCACTGAAAATTTCAAAGCAATTGGTCCAGTATTCGAAGAAAAAAGCGATTTTTTAAAAATGGAGACGGAGACAAATAACAATAACAACAAAATTTCCACTTCGTGTCCAATAAGATAAGGAGAGATAATCTTACATTCCAATCTAGTGAAGTGACATCTTTATTACTGGGAACTTCTTGATTTCCTTCTTTTATACAATGTCTAAGAACCAATTGTTGAGCACTCGATGACGCCGTTGAGCTAGACGTTACTATATCTTCTTTTAAATTCCAAATTCTTGCTGTTGAGTCTCCTGACCTGGAATGGAATTTTCCTATAAATTCAGCAATGAAATAGTGGCATTAGATTAACTGTGTTGGAACCGCAGATAACACATCTCGCTCTCAAATCCAATTCCCCCCACCTCAGGCAGGGTGTAATAAATTGGGTAGTTAATGTCGAATCGGATAGACTCCTGTCCCTAATAAGACCTTTTTGCACATTGTTACATAAAAGTGGTATAGGGCCTTATTTAGAGCGAAAGATGTGAAAAAAGCCTTGAATAAACATAATTTCAGGCATGTCAAAAGTAAAAGGCTTTTTTGTCATACATCCTTGGTTGAATAGCCTGTTAAATTTAGTACACACAAACTGAAATAAGAAAATTGAAGAAGAAAAACTGTCATTCATTTTGGGCGGAGCTGACTCTGATGACCCTGTATGGTCGTATGGCTCCCCCCAGTCTATACCGCAGTCTTATTATTATTGTAATTGTCATTTTTTCCTGGTCGATGAAATAATAAATCTCTCTCTCTGTTGAAACCCCACCACTTCAACAAAGTGGCAATAAATTGTGTGGGCTACATCAAACTGTGAAGATTCTAGCTCTTCGAAATATTAGCATATATCAGGTACTGCTTTTAAAGAGCTTTATTGCGAGTGAAAAATGATACAAATCTGATAAATCAAGAGTGTTAACTCAAAAGGGCAAAACTTGAAAATGCTATTTTGAAAAAATGAGGAAAATGAATGTTTTTGATTTTTAACTCAGATTTTGATGAGTATTGCTTGAAACTTATAATTATACTTCAGCTTTTCAGATTGAATTTTTGTGAAATTTCCACAATTACATCACTTATATAATGTCTGTACATACCCTGAAGCCAGAAGATCACAAGTTGGATTCCATGCACAAATAAAAACTTCAGAATCGTGCCCTCGTAAGACCGTGGCTTTATTCACCGATATTTTTATGTCATTAAAATTGGTTTCGACTTCCATCGGTTCCGTGTTATGAATTGAGTTAACTTCATTTATTGCTGTAGATATGAACAAATGTTAATTTTGAAACATTTAGCTATATTTTCCAGCGAATACCGATTCAAGAAAACTGACAGTTATGGCACGTTATAACCCCAATTTCTGGTCCAAAGCTAATAATAAGCCGGCCCATCAAAAAATAAGCTGACCACAGAAATAAGGCCAAAAAATTTGCTTATTAGCTGTAAACATGGTAATGCTATATAATGGCATATTGATTGCTCTATTCACTCAAAGCAGGGTACCGAAGCCTTAACAGAGTGTATAAAGAGTATTGATATAAGATTTCCATGCAACAGTATCGCCTATCGCTAGATATCAGGGCCTTGTTCAGAGCGGAAGACAAGAGAGGAGCCGTATGAAAAAAAAAAAGTACGAAGAGCATACAAAACGCTGTTAATTTATAACACAATCACAGGGCATCTTTGAAGTGGCACAAATTTTACCGAAAAACAACAAATCTTGTGGTACCCCGAAGAAATTTGAAAAAATATGAAAGAAATAGCTTTCTAGGATACACTTTTTCCTTTTTTAATTTTTGCGAGATAGTGGCAAGTTGAAGGGTAGAGTGCTGTCCCAACAACTATATAAATACCATTTTAACAAAACATTCAAATAACCTCATATCCAAATACATAAAATATAAATTGAGTACATAATATAAGGTGGATACATAAATATCAGTGGGTGCTCTCTGCTTCTGTTCAGAGATGAGTGAATAAGAATTGTACATAATCAATATAGCCTACCAGGAGACAAAATTTTTGTTCCAAAAAAAAAAAAACATTTTTACAGAAATAATCCATAGGTCTATTAATGTCTTGGGAAAGCTAGGCAACATACTACTAAAGATCAGATACAGGACTTTCATGTCTATATAATTGAACATCGCTTTGATTATCCGCGATTTCCACAAGAAATGCATTGGGAAGGATTCGGGGCCCTGTCTGTCTTCTGATATGTTGCGAGCAATGAGGAAAAACGTCATGTCGTGCCTATGTTGCGACACTATGAATTTAGTTTTTCTCCAATTGGAAATGCCCTTATTCCGACTATATTCAATATTCCATATTCATAACTCTTATTTCAGAATCTATTTGGAACAGTGAAACATTACTCAAATTTAACCACGGCTGGTTGAAAATAAAATATGTAGTGAATTACCTAGACCATTTGTGCTGTTGGACTCTCCGTTAACTTGAGGCTCTTGTTTAATTGAGGTTGTTGAGGTTGCCGCGGTAACTACTGTTGATGTCATAATGGCATCAGTATTATTAACTGACGACTGTAAAGGAATGTTCGTCGTCGTGGAAACCGACGCATCACCACCGTCTTGTAACGCCATTTCAACATTGTTAGTGTTTTTCGTTTCTTCAGCGCTTTTCTGTTGCTGTGCTCGAGCTTTTTCCTGCTCTTGTTGTAGTTTCTGAGCGGCCATTTTTTCTTTTAATTGTTGTTGTCTTGCCAGAACAACATCAGGCATAACTGCGTCAACTAATGATAGGCTTTCACTGAATCTTCCTTCAAATATCATCCCATCCTGAAAAAATAGTAGGGATTAAAAAATGTATAATAACATTCCATCTCGGAAAAAACTGCGAGTTAAAAAAATTTTGTATCATTACATCCCGCAAAAATATTGAGAGTTTAAAGTCCTAACATCCCATCCCACAAAAAGCAGGAGTTGAAAAAATTAATTGGAAACATACATCAGCAATACTGGTGGACTATCATATTGTTTTGTTAATATCCTTTTCGAAGCGATACACTGAAGAAGGTCTAAAAAAAGTTACCACGGAAATACCAAAAAGTCCGCGTCCTCACTCAGAAGTGAAGAAGGCTCATCTCTTAGTTGCAAAAGTTACAAGCAACTAATGAAAAAGTTAAGAGCCACTGGAACTATGGATTTACGCGTCAGCAAATGAAGATTGTATGATGCATAAAAATGACCTTTTTTACATTTCAAAAGGGAGGGCTCAGATCCCCAGAGCAATGTTCCCTCTAATTTTTTGTAGTATGTGTGCGCAGAAATTTTGGTGTGTGCGCACTTTTTTGGAAATGACTAATATTTGTGCAAAAACCAATGAAGAAATTTTGGCGTTCTAACCGGGTAAAAAGTGGGCCAACAACAAACTTTCTCAACCTGCCAACCGAGCACATTGTTACATTACATCGAAATACGTCTGTGTGCAGTAAATCTATGCGTGGGCGCAGCCTCTGTAAGCTGTGTGTGCGCGCGCACACGCGCACATCTTAGAGGGAACATTGCCCCTGAGTATGTCCCTGCCTTTCAGATTAGTCTTGTCTACAGCCTTTTTCATCACATAAATTTGAAATTTCACACAAAAAAACTATGTACCTCATTAATGCTGATCTCTGCTTCAACATATTGTAGGCCTTTCTGTATGATGGATATGAGAGCAGCTGATGGCACGAGGCCGCCATTGATGTTTGATTGACTGATATGGGACTCCAGACCGAATACAAACGCACTGTGGTGAAAACCTGGAAAAAGTGAAATGTGAATAAATAAATAGGTCAGCGTTCCCTTCGTTACATTCCTTTATGGTACTCCCGTAATGTGTGTACCAGGTTAGGGTTAGGCTATAATTTCATTCTGATTTTCCTTCTTTTAATTCTAGTATGAGTTCGGGGACTGTCAGTGTTAGCCAAGTGAATATACCCCCTGCCTATAGGTTTCAGTCCCTTTACACAACTTGAAGTAGGCGAACAAAATTAGTTACCTCAATATCGCACAATGGCACACACACTTCTACAGCCCTAAATTTTCCCGCTGAAACAAATAATCCTTCCCCACCTCCAGAAACTATAACTTCCCATGAAAGTATGAAAAGCGATTTTAATTAAGCTTCTCCTACCATGGTATTATAGAAAACAGGACCAATCAAAAGACTATTTATCAAATCTTCCCTAATTTTTATGTGAAACTCATTGTATACACATAGACTCCTATACGCTTCCTGCTGGACATTAATAATGACCCATTTTAGAATACATTCAAAAATCCAGACACAAAAATATAGGGTGTCCACCTTTAATTTTATAAATATTGAGGAGGGAATTATTCGATACAATATATTGTTTTGGCCCTCACAGATGTATTAAATGAAGAGAAAATACTGATTAAAAATCAACAAACCTGGTTGAGATATATTGAGAACTGACTTCATAACAAAATTGAAATTGTAAAGGGACTTTATGGACACCCTGTATTATTTCAGCAATCAGTGTGCGCTGACTTATGGCAAACTAAGAATCTACCAGTCCTGTAGTTTGATATTTGTTAGTGATTAAAATTTTTTTTCTCCTAAACAAGCCCTAAAGCAGCAGTTTCCAACCACCAAGGGCGCCACAGAGCAATTGGAGGGGGCACACACAAGACTGATTTTATATTTCCCTTCACAAGAAAACTCCCTGTTCTTCCTAGTTTCATTGCTTGATAAGATTATTGTGCACATTTTATTGTGCATGAATTGTTTAACATTTTAACAAATAACACTATAAATACCAATGGAATGATAAAACAAGGGAGCCACGAGCCATAAAAGGTCGAGAACCACTGCTCTACTACCAACATTGTTGCTAGATTGACAGCAGTATAAAAACCTTGGCTGCACGACAGAAATGTTTAGAACTAACTGAATATTCAAATTGATTCAAAATTGAATAATTTCATTTGAAAAATTATCATGTCAAGAAAATGGAGTCTCAGAGTATGACTAAAGACTCCTCCATATCTCTTCCTGAAAATTATAAAAAGTACAAGATCTACTGTGAAAATTTTTATATGTGTTAGCTTAGATTTACCAATTACCATGATCTATGAAGCTTACTATTGAGACAACCCGGGCGATATCAAACTCGAATTATCTATGCGCATGTAGTCGTGTTTTGGCATGTTTCTACTGATATTGGAACCCGGCCAGAGTCCTATTTTCCAATTCCACAGATCAGAAATGTATAAGGAAGTGGAAATTTCTCAGGAGTCAGTATTTCTGATTTTTAATAGTGATAATTGGAAATCTTCGACTGTTAATCTAAGCCTATTAGCCTATTTATTTTCCTTCTTAAAAAATTATATAATGCTTGCAAATGCTCAAAAGGTTCACGCTATCAAAAGTTGTTATTCTCATCAGACAATCAAAAACGCCTCGAATAATTTTTGTGATCAAAATATTTTGTTTTTACAGGCTCTTTTTGTGCCAAATAAATTCCACTGCCAAACGTAATTGTCCTATTTGGATTTTTGAATCAAATCATTATATTTTAAGTAAATTTCTAAGTTTTTAGTTTCAATGTTTTTTTGTTTTTAATTAAATCCTATTATCTCAATTTTCTCTGACTTCACAACTAGAGCCAGAACTTCCTTCAACTTCGTTTCCGAGAACAGAATAAATATTTTCACTAAATCAATACCAGAGTGCATTTTAAATGGCTCAAGAGTCTTGTTTAGAATGCAAATTCGTCCAGACCAGTGGTGTGCTTCCCATAAGAGGGGCGTAGAAAATTATTTCTTAGGGGGAACATGAAGCTGATTATAAAAAAAGGTATATTTGTCAGATTTGATCTTGCTCGCCATATTTTGGATATTTACATTTCTTACCGTAATTGTTTTGAGATTGCAGAGAGCTGTTGTATCTTTATTTTAAAAACAGTGAAAAACCATCTAAAAACACCAATAAACCTGCTAAAACGCCTAAAAACAGTGAAAAACAGTCTAAAAACACCAATAACCCTGCTAAAACGCTTAAAAACAGTGAAAAACTGTCTAAAAACACCAATAACCCTGCTAAAACGCTTAAAAACAGTGAAAAACCGTCTAAAAACACCAATAACCCTGCTAAAACGCTTAAAAACAGTAAAAAACCGTCTAAAAACACCAATAACCCTGCTAAATCGTATGTAAAATGTATCCTTTTCATCCAGGTATTTTCAACAAGTTTTTTTGAATAAGTTTCACCTTATTATCTATTATTTGTAGCTTATTGTTAGCTAGTTATTTCTGAGGTGTGGCTCGAGACTTGACAAATTCTGAAAGGGGGCGCAAAATATTTAAAAGAACCACTGGTCGAGACCAAACAGCCCTTCTGAGAAAATGAGCATTGCTAAAAGTATTTTCGCTTTTACAATGTAGAAAAAAAAAAAATCAAAAATAATCGTCACCTGACTCCTCCAGGTACCTATAGACCAGGAAGTTTACTTCATCCGACGTGATGCTCATATTTAACATGGAAGAAATTGCGATTTTCCAACGTCTATATGAAAAAAATTAGGATTTTTCAATCATTTGTGACGTTGTATAGTATATATCCAAAAGTTTGTTAGTAATCCATGCTTTTAGCTTCTGAATCAAAATATATCCAATTTTCTTTTTGATAAAACTGAAGAATATTTCCAATTATTTGACACTGTATATCCTAGTGGTGATTCTTTGAGTTGAAATTTCTGTTCTAGGCTAGTTTAGTAATATAAAAATCTGTTTGAAGAGAACGTTGGTTAGAATTATATAGAATCCAACAAAATTTTATCATCATTTTAATTTATATAATTCTTTTTAAAAGAATTCAAAGTTCTCATCCTACCTCTGTAAAGAAATGGAAAAGAGGTGAGTAGAGGTGGTTAATATAAGTAAATCTGGTATGACAAGGACATCGTGAGCAACATACATCACAGTTTTGGGTGGCCCTCAACCTACCTGTATAATGAAAACTTCCATAATCTGGTAAGCAATTACAAAATTTTCAACATGCAGGCTAAAGTCTGTTAGAATTTGGGACGGTATGTGCCAGGCTCTAGTTGCGCAAGCAGCTACTAAAATTGCAATCTAATAATGTGTGTTGTATCGACGATGTTTTTTCGGTTTATTGGACACAAAGTGGACCTATAGGTCATTTGGGTATTATGTTGTTGTTCTTGTTGGTATTTGTCATTTTGTCATTATGAAAAAAATCGCTTCTTTTATTTACCGGAACAATTGCTTTGAAATTATCAGTGGTTGAAGTTAGTATTTTTTGCTAGAAAGATATTACTTTTATTTGTTCCTAAATTTAATACAATAATACAATTACAATTGAGCTGTGTTTTCCCCAGCCAAGATTTATGGTTATATTATACTTCTGAATAGCATGAAACAAACTTGGTACGATGCTTCTTGTCAAACAGGAAACAATATTAAACTACTTTGCTAAGGAATGTTCAAATATTTGTTCCTGGATATGACAACGCCCTACAGACCAAATTTGAAATTCTATAGTGTGACTTATAATGAAGTTGACAAAGTAAAAAAACTAAAGGACTACTACAATACTAGCAAGAGTGTAGTAAACTACCTGGTAGGTGGGCAAAGCCAAATAGAAAAAATTCCGGTACTCCCAAACTTCATTATATATCAGTAATAAATTACCGTATCTAAATCCTTTAAAGTGAAAATGTGCAAAAAAACATGAAAATCATTTCAAGCATACCCAATTATTTCATTTATATTTGCAACTTCGTAATGTTCAAATTTGAAATCTTAGTGTGTGTGACGTATATGAGGCACACATAACAAGGACATAATAAACTGAGTTGGCAATGACAATCCCCGAAGATTTTAGTTCTTTCAAAATTAGTGGCACCTTTCAAAAAAATTATTCCAAATAATGGTCAATTTAATTCAAAATAATAGTCAAATTTCCTCAACATGAAATTTAATTGATTGAAGGGCATAGTTAAGTGGGTAGGCTATTCAAAACCTTGAAGATTCTGGTTCTTTGCTTTTCACAGAATATTTATCTGAAAACCTGTTTGAAGTAAAGATGGAAAAATTGCTAACAAAAAATTTATTATAAATATTTCATTCATTGTCATAATATCAAAATAAATAACATTTGAGAATTATCATCTTTAATTAAAAATATATGTTTAAATTTTCTGTCAGCTAATCATTATAAAATATTGTTAATTTCCACTTACTAATTATTGAAATGTAAGGTACTACCAACAAAATATGGTAACAAAAATGGTTGATTTATAGCAAACAATTGGAAAGAATATCAGATCTGAACCGGTATCCATCAAAATGATAATAGAACTACTTTCAAAAAATTCTTGACAGTGTTTTCATATGTATATTATTTTTGAACTACAAACGAGAATATTGTTCAGAGACCAAAGACTTATCGATCGAAAGTTAGGGGATCCTCAAAACAGCACTCTTACGGTACTCCATAGTGACACTAATATATTAATAACACGCTAATTAAACCACATGATACATCCAAAATCACTAGACTTCTGGTCCAACATATGATGAATGCACATGCAAAATCTGGAGCAGATTCAACCTCGCTTTCGTGAGATATCGCGTGCATCTAACAGACAGACAGACAAACACAAAGACAGACAAATACCTATCAACATACTTACCGATTAAAATCGATAAGTAATAATTGATCACTGCGTCCAATTTTCAAAATTGTTAAATTCAAAATAAATTAAAATTCAGATATTAAAATGGCCGATAACACTATAGTAAAAATTGCCAATAACCTAATACAAATTCATCAAATGGTAAAAAAATTATGCTCCAATAAATTCTTGGCAGTGTTCCCATATGTGTATTATTTTTGAACTACAAATAAATGATCACTGTCTCACCATTTTCAAAATTATGTGAACTCGAATTTAATTAAAATTCAGATATTAAAATGGCCGATAACACTGTAGTGAAAATGGCCAATAATCTAATACAAATCCATCAAAATGGAAAGAACTACGTCAGAAATGACTTGGCAATGGTTTCATATGTATTTTGTTTATGAACTGCAAATAGTAGTTCACTCTGTCCCGGGTTTTGAAAATTGTGTGACCTCAAATTTAATTAGACCTAGGATAATAAAATTGCTGATAACACTGAAGTAAAAATTGCCAATAATCTAATACAAATCCATCAAATTGGAGAAAGATTTACGTCCAAATATTCTTGGCAGTGTTTGCATATGTATTTTGATAATGAACCGCAAATAAAAGACCAATGCATCTCACATTTTTAAAAATTGTGTGATTAAACCCAGCATATTGAAATGGCCGATAACACTATAGTAAAAATGACCGATCATATGACACAAATCAATCAAAATGGTGAACGAGTTACATTCAAGTCTTTGGCAATAATTCATAACATGTATCTGTATTTTAACTACAAATGGGAGACCAGACCATTGTGCTGCTATTTCTCAATATGGACTGAAATTTAATTAAAATATTATAATAAAAATAGCAAAATTATTAAATTTGGGTATAAATTCATTTAATATGGCAGCAGAAATGCTTTAATAGTATTGGCTATGTCTTTAGATTAATTAGTTTATTCACTGCACTTAGAATAGATCGCTGTGTCTCCAATGTGTGAACTCAAATTTATTTGAATCCAAGATATCAAAATGATTGATGACACGATGGTTGAATGATACAATGCTTTCAAAATGGTGACAAAATTATAAAAATTCTTGGCAAGTGTCCACATATGTATTTTGTTTTTGACAGCAAATTTCGCAAAAAGTTTAATTAAATTTAATATGTTAATATTGTAGGCAAGATTATTACATCAAAATGAAATAAAATTTTATCGATTATGGTGGCAGAGAGGATTCAACAACATTGGCAATGTCCTTAGTTTTTGGCAAGTCAGCGAATAATGATTTCATAATGAAACTAGAAGCCATTATGACTTCACAGAGCTCTTGTGACCTTTACCGCCAAAAAAACTGAGCCACGTACCGGGTGAAACCATTATTCTGACAAGAGGGGATGTTTTTGAAACCGCATTAATAAACAAACCAAGAATGAAAATAGATTTCTTTTACAAATTGGACTGAACCATTATGAACTCCCCCTTTTTTGCGGATGACAAATAACGCGTTCTCCTATCGTGTTGTTGTTTCCTCCATCGCTCATTTTATCTCTCTTTCTTTTATTACTCGTCCACCTCTTTCTATCTTCATTTTCCCTTACTGCGTCACTCCTCCCTTTTCCGATACGAGACCTCATTATGTCGTAACCAACGACTTATTTCTATCTTCCTCTCTCTTTTTTATAAAACAATGAGCGATGTTTTCAATATCGAATATTTTTTCTCGGTCGTCGAATGACGAAACAACGTCTCAAACCGTGGAAAATTAACCCTTTAAGGACAGATAGACGATTTCATGGAATTTTGTTGACATAAGGGGTTGTTAGCCTAGTCTCCATTTAGATATCAAAATACTGTTAAAATAAAGAATTTCTAGTAAAAATTGGCCAAAATTGAAGACGAAAATAACTAATCTAAATGTGAAAAGAGTACCCATAGTAAGCTTTTATAGAAGTTTTAATCAAATCAAGGACCTCACAAACCAAGCAAAAAAAAACAATTTTTATTTTCTTTTATGCTGATTATGGAATCAAAATAAACTTATACTTTTATCAGCAAGCCGTTAGCAGCTTGATGTTTTCAATTCAATTTGCTCAAACCAAGGTCATGCACTCATAAGTGAAGGTCACAAATCTGTTGGGCCAAGTTACAATGCAATAACTGAAATGTCAAAAGCTACAGAAACTATATTAAAAGCCAATAATACCTTACAGTTACTAACTTTTTACCTCGATACGAAAATACTGCCAATAATAATTTTGTACCCAAGTCTGCTCAAGTTGAAGCAAATAGTTGAAGCAAATAGTTTATCTAAAACTACAAAGATTACTGATATAAGTCTGCTATACAAATTCAAGTCTTCCAGAAAGGACAGCTTGTCAAAATCGGGACGTATGGCAAGCCTACAAAGTTACACAGTGACTACTGAAATGCAGAGAGCTACAGAAGAAATTAATATTAGTCTACTTAAATTCTATTGTTACTAACTTCCGCTCAATACAAAAATACAGCTGATAATAGTTTTTTATACAGTTATATTTTATCCACATTTCATTGCTGAATGATTACTTGTATACAGCATAGGCCAGAAGCCTCCGTGCCCTAACTGTTCCTTTGCACTGACCATCACAAATAATGATCAACCAATTATTGTTAAATTATATATTTTCTGTATTGCTTCAAATTTATCATAGTGTTGACATTGTATGTGATAATAAAATCTCTCTCTCTCTCTCTCTGCTCAAGTTGAAAACCAATTCTGAGGTGAAGATAGAAGTTTGTTCAATGCAAAGTCTAACCCCCTGACTAAAAGTAGAATGACTACTTATTATATTGGCACGGCGGTGTGGCTCAACGGCTAAGCGTTAGGAATACGCTCGCCACCCCACCTCTAATTACTCTGCGTGGGCTCGCAGGTTCGAATCCCATGCAGGGATGGTTATGTGCGAGAGGATTGCTGGACTCCTCGCCGTCGTTGGGTGGTTCACGTAACCGCTGGTCGGTTACGGCTTCCTCCACCACCAATTCCCGGCTTCCGAAAACAAACAATACAGTAAAATTAATCCCATACCCGACTTGG